TTTATAAAGCGTGACTCATATCGAAATATTTGCCACTATTAGTTTGGTATTTCGTAATTCATTTGCTATTATTTTTCTCACTTTTTTAATTTTTATTCTTTTATTTTTTTTAAATATATGTAAGTATTTTTATTTACATTTTAATTTTTTTATATTTTTATTTTTGATTTACACTTTTTTATTTTTATATTGTTAATTTTTTTAATTTTCATTTCTTAATTTTTATTCATCTATTTCGTTAAAATTTTTATTTCATATTCTTTCTTTATTTTAATTTTTAATTTTTCGTATTTTTTAATTTTGCAATTTTTTGAAATTTTTATTTCGGTAGATTTGATTTTGGTAATTTTTCACTGTTGCATTCTTTCATTTTATAAATTTTTTATTTTAGATTTGGTTTGGGTCATTTTTTTATTTTTTATTCTTTAATATAAAAAAATTTTTAATTTTCTTCAATTTTTAATTTTTTAGATTTTTTAAAATTTATATTGTATTCTTTATTCAGAAATTTTTTCAATTATTGGAAGACGATGGGAAAAATTAAAAAAGAAAAACAATTGTATTTTCTAATAATATTGTATTCTTTTTTTTAATTTTGTAATCTTTCATTAATTAAATTTTCCCTATTTTTCAATTTTGTATTCTTTTATTTTATTTTTTTAAATTCTTAATTTTCTATTCTTTCACTTTTTTAAATTTTTTATTTTGGTATTCTTTGGTTTTTATAATTTTTTAATTTTGTATTCTTTCAATTTTTTTTTTATTTGGGAATTGTTTTGATTTTGGTAATTTTTTCATTTTATATTCTTTCATCATTTAAATTTTCTCCATTTTTCAATTTTATAAATAATTTAATTTGATAGTTTATTTACTTTCTTGTTTTATTTTTTAATTCTACATATTTCTTATTTTAGTATTATTTTTTATTTATTTTTCTAATTTCATTCATTTTTATTTTTATCTTTATTCATATATTTTATTTAAATAAATAAATATAAATTTTAAATATAATTTTATTTTCCTAATTCCATTTATTTTGTTTATTTATTTGTAAATCATTATAAAATCTATTATTATCTAATAAATAATGTTTATTTTTCAATTATTTATAAACAAATATATTTTTACTTTCTTATTTTTTTTCTTCTCATTTTTATCAATCAAGGTTAACAACTTGCCACCTGTTTTTGACTATGAAATAGAATTTTCCTTTATCAACTATATATCGCAATGTCAATTATATATTTTGTAAGAAGTATTTTTTTTTACTTTCCAACTCTATAGCGAAATGTAAAAATATACCTATACTCATTGACGTCATTTGTGAAATTTTTTTTCTTTCCTTTTTTTTCTTTTTTGTAAATTATTTGTAAATTAATAACAAGATTTTGTTTGAATGATATTAAAACTTGTTTTCTTGGTCTATATAATTACAAAATTGAACTCGCAAATTTGTGTTAGTGACATATATGAATCACATTTGGATTTTAAAAAGATTTTCATTATCTTAATGATACATCATGATAAACAGTATATTAAAATTCCTTCTATTAAAAAAAATGAGCATCTTTTTCTTTTAGGAAAAAAAAACAGTTTCATCACATTATCAATATTAAAAATGTCTCTTAACGTGTTTTATTGCACGTTTACTTTCTTGTTTTAACTTTACACTTGAAAAATTTATTTGTTTTGGTATTATTGATGTTATCATTTTTATAGGAGGAAATAATTTTTTCATATTAAATTTATAAAATTATATTAATTATAAAATTTAACAAAGAAACATTGGTTTTCTTATTTTTTTTATTTTTGACTGGAAAAAAATTTTTTTTCCAGAAAAGCATTTTTTTTAATTTAAAAATTATTTTGTTCATTGCGTACTTAATACACTGAAAAAAAATTATTTGATTCAAATAAATAACAATAATAATTAATATTTAACTTGAATCAAATAATTTTTAATCAAGTCAATAATTAAGTAATAATTAAAAATTATTTTTAGAAAATATTTAATTGCGATAATAGACAAGTAGTCAGTTATTAGAATTAAATAAATTTTTTTTTGCAGTGTAGTTTATATAAAAAAATTATAATTCATATTGTATATTTATTACTCCTTAAAATAAGGAAAAAATGTGGAATGATGATTTTTATGAGTCTATGATAATGCACGAGAGGAATAAACGATTTTCGCGACTTTCACTCAATTTTTCGCGCAGTAGAATTTAGATTTCTCGAAAGCTATATCATCAAAGAATATATACTATATATATAGTGAAGGTATTATGAACTTTCGTTTTCATTTCAGCGACTGCAAACATAAAATTGATACGCTTTAACAATTTCCCTTTTGTTTCCACTGGCATAACGCTTTTGCTTTGTTTTCCCCTATATGTGAAAACAATATCAATAAATTCCAAATTAGTTTAAATCATATTTTCAGAATTGTAAATCATTTTTTTTTCTAATTAAGTTTTCGAAATATACAACTAAAAATGTTTTAAAATATTGAAATTTTGTAAAATTTAATTGAAAATAATTGAAAAAATTTAAATTAAAAATTTTTTTTATTTTCTAAATAAAATAAAAAAACAACTTTTTAAGAATTTTAATTGCGGATTTTGAAAATAACTGAATTTTCAAAAATTTTAATGAAAAACCTTAAATTTTAATTGTATATAATAACTATTATCTTTCAAAACTATTTTAAAAAATTTTGTTAAAATAATTCAATTTTTAAAATATACTTATAATTAAAAATGTTTTAAATTATTGAAATTTTGTAACATTTTATTGAAAATAATTTAGTTTACCAAGTATTTTATAAAAAATTTAAAAAAAAATAACTTTTGAATAATTTTAATTGCGGATTTCGAAAATAACTGAATATTCACAAATTTTAATGAGAAATCTTCAATTTCAATTATTGTTTATAACAACTGTTATCTTTAAAAAACTATTTTCAAAAACTTTGTTAAAATAATTCAATTTTTAAAATAAAAAACTATTTTCAAAAACTTTGTTGAAATAATTCAATTTTTAAAATATACTTATAATTAAAAATTTTTTAAAACATTGAAATTTTCTAAAATATAATAGAAAATAACTGATTTTTTCAAGTTATTTATTAAAATTTTTGAAAATCAACTTTTGACGAATTTCAATTTTGCAAATTTGGAAAATAATTGAATTTTCAAAAATTTTAATAAAAAATCTTTAAGTGTGAATTTAAAAATGAAATTTAATGAAATTATAGATTCTAAAAATTATATTAAAAAATATTTTCCAAAAAAGTAATTCTTAGAATTTTTCCATTCAAGTTTATTAAAATTCAATTTATTATTTTCAATATTTTCAATTACACGTTTTCGAAAACTCAAATACGTACAAAAAATAATAATATTGAAATTTTTTAGAATTATTTTTAATATATTGGAGAAAACAATCATGTTTAAAATTTTTTAATTAAAATTCTTCAAAAAATTAATTCGTTTTTTTCAATTATTTTCGAAAAATTATATTTGAAGATTTTTAAAAAGTTTATTCTTGGAATTGTTTTATGATAATTTTTTGAGATTCAATTCTCTTCGAACAACGTAAATTAAAATTTTTAAATGACTTATTTTAGAACTTATTAATAATTAAGAATAATAAAAAATAATAATTAACTTATTATTTTTTTAGACTTATTAAATCATGTTCATATTTATAATTAAATTTCTTTGATAATTTGATTATTTTTCTTTATATTTTTCAAAAATTCAATTATTTCAAAAATATTTTGCCAAATTTCAATTATATTTAAGAGATTTTTCCAAATTTCAATTATTTTTAAGAGATTTTACCAAATTTCAAATATTTGGAATTTTTCCAATTGTATATATAATTGAGAAACTATTATCTTTCAAAAATTATTTTAAAATATTTTCAAATTATGAATTTTAAGAATTTCTTTATTATAATTTTTTGAAAATATTATAATTATCTTATAATGACTTTTCAGTTACAGTTACAATGGTTGTAAAAAATTAATTTTTTGTATTTAAATAATTGAATTCTCGAAGAACTTTCGGAAAATTATTAAAAATAATTTATTCAGAGATGAAGTTTAGTTAAAAATTGTAGAAAATAATTGAATTTTGGAAGAGTTATGTCGTTATTTTTAGAAATTATGAAATTTCAGAAGGTTTTCAATTTTATTTCCTGGGGAAAAACAAACAAGAAGTATTGAAATATTTATTTAAATTATTTAAGTTTTAAATAATTGTATTTAGAAATCAATGAAAGGAGAAAATCAAAATACAAAATAAAATTTTTGTGACAACACTGAATTAGATAAACGACTTTTTCAACTTTTTTTGTATTTTTAATCGACTAAAGCGACTATTTTTGCGCCTTGAACTCGATTCAAGGACTGAATTCAGATAATAAATAATAAAATTAATTATTTTTCCTCAAATTTGCCTCGTAAATAAATAAAAATAATAGGCATTAATCTAATAATTATATTTAGTTTTTTTGAATATATATTATTTATTTTTTTATTATAATATATTTAGAGTTTGATTCTATTGCTGAAGGAGAAGCAGCAAAAGTGCAAAAGTGGTCGATGAGAAGCTCACATGTCCGAAGGTCGTAAAACGCCTTCACTATTTTTTTTTAATTGCAGAAAAATCAAAATAAAACTCTAATTAACGATAATTTTCTCTTCTTCGTTTTCTTCTCAATTATATTATATATTTTTTTCGAAAATCGATGAATGAAAAAGTAAAAACTATAAAGTTTGATTTTTTTATGAAAATTATAATATTTAGGAAGACAAATTTTTTTCATTTAGTGGACAATTTTTTTTCATGTAATAAACATTGGAGAGAAGACAAAAATTTATTTTCTGGTGATTTTCCTTTTAAAAATTAATACTTTTGTTATTTGTTTTTTATTGAAAAGTTTAAATTTATAAATGATAATAATTTGTCAATTTGTTTGTTTTTTTTTTGCAGAAAATCGGAAAAATGGAGAACCAGCAGGTCTGGGTGAGGGATTCCGAGGAGGGTTTCATTATCGGAAAGTTCGCTGACATGGTCGACGGTGATGCACTTATTGTTCCTTTGGATAGAAAATATCGTCAACGTACTTGTCCTCTGGATGAAGTTTTTCCTGCTGGAGAATACACCAAAGATGTTGAAGACAATTGTAAGAAAACTGACGCAGAATTTACCGATTTAGTCGAAAAAAAATTTTCACATAAGAATGACGAAAGAAAAAAGAAAAATATTTAATTAGGAACAATTTTACCTAAAAATTAGTATTCATATTTTTTTTTTTTATTTTTTATCTCAAAAAATTTCCATTTTTCTTTTTTATTTATTTATTTAAAATATACTTGCAAAGCCCATTCGTAAAATAAATATATTTATTTTATTTTTTATTTATTTACGTACAAAAATAAACGGGGCAAGACATATTTTTATTTCTTTATTATTTATTTATTAAAAGTTTAGAAGTTTTTTTTTAAATTATTTTTTAATTATTGTTTTTCATTTTATATTTTGGGTATATTTACAAATATTAATATTAATAAATTAGATAAAAGTAAATCAAATTTTGTATAATCTTATTGCAATTAAATTTATTAATTTTGATTCACATAAATTTAGTTGTATAATAAGATGAATTCTTTAAAATAAAATCTGATAACGGAATTATAATTAGGGAAGAGAAATTAATAGAATTACAAATTAAATATATTTTCAATACTTATAGAATTATTAGAATTAATAAAATTATTTTTATTATTATTAAAATCATTAGAATTATTAGAAATAATTATTATTTCTATAGAAATAATAAAAATAATAATAGAGAGCGTGAGAATAATTATTTCTATTATTTAAATTATAATAATTATTTAATTACAATTAATTAATAACTAACTACCGTTAGTACCGAAATTACAACTACGAATCATATTATATTCATTACATATTCTAATTAAAATTTATTATATTTTTATTATAATTCTATTCCTCGTGTATAATTAATACAATTACAGAAATTATAATATAATTTGTAGTATTTTAAACATTTTATTAATTTGCTTCTGTAATTAATTAATTTGGTGAGAGATTAATTAGAAAAATTAATGTTCGCCTCTAAATTGAAAGAGTGCATGAATTATTTTAATGAAAAAAATTTTATTAATTCTCTGATTTTCTTCTTGGGAATTAAAATTGGATAGAGAAAAGATCCTTTTTTTTAAATAAAACCTAAATGAATGAATGAATTTTTAATTTTCTTTATTAAATGTGATAAATGGAAGTAAATGTTTATTATTTATTGTTACAGGTGCCTTAATGTACCTGAACGAAGCCACTCTTTTAAATAACATACGAACTCGTTACTTCAAAGATAGAATATACGTAAGTAGCAGATGTTGAGTAAAAGGATGATTTATTCGCAGGATTTATTATTTTTTCTTTGATTTATTTCATTCATTTTTTTTTTCATTCATTTTTATTTCATTTTATTTTGATTTATTTTTTATTTTGTTTCTTATTTATTCTTATTATTTCTTTTTAACAGTTTATTTTGTTTACTTATTTATTTTCTTAATTTCTTGTTCATTTTGTTTAAATTTTTTTTATTTTTTTAGTTTTTTGTTTATTTTTCTTTAATATATTTATTTTGTATTTAAAGTTATTTTTTTAAATATTTTATTTTTGTATTCATTTGTTGTTTATGTTCTTTCTTTATTTGTTTTATTAATTTCTCGTTCATTTTGTTTAAAATTATTTCATTCATTTCCTGTTTATTTCGTTTATTTTTTCTTTAATTTATTTACCTATTTCGTTTTTAAAGTTTTCATTTTATTTTTAAAACTTTTATATATTCTTTTTATTTATTTGTTGTTTATTTTGATTATTTATTTTGTTAATTTTTTTGTTTATTTATTTATTCTCTTAATTTCTTGTAAATTTTGTTTCAATTTATTTTATTTTTTTATTTATTTGTTGTTTATTTTGTTTACTTATTCATTTTTTTAATTTCTTGTTCATTTTGTTTAAATTTATTAATTTTTTTATTTATTATTTATTTTTTTTCTTTATTTATTTTATTTAGATATTTATATTCTATTTATTTTTTATTTACGCAAACGAGTTTACAAAGAATTAAAAAACCTTTCATCCTAAAAGTACTAAATTTATTTTATCCACTTTATTTACATTTTATTTATTCATTTATTTTATTCTTTCACACGAAAACTTTAAGTGCATCTTCACACTTTCTTCCGTAATAAATAATGAACAATTTCAATAAAGACTACTTGAAGTTTATATGAAAACCAAAATCAAATAGAGAATCTCAACTTTCTCCACTATGTAGGTACATAAAAAAGTTGAATTCAACTTAAAATCTTTCCTAATTGATCTAATTAATATCGCGAGTATAAAAGAAAAAATACACAACATACATTACTAAATATGAATGAAATTTTTTTTCTAATTCTAGACTTACGTCGCTAATATTCTAATTGCCGTGAATCCTTATTACGAGGTCAAGGATCTTTATTCACCTCGTACGATTAAGGCATATCAAGGGAAATCTTTGGGGGAAACGCCTCCACACGTTTTTGCCATTGGTGAGTTGCTTTCAAAAAAAAAAAGAATTAAAAAAATTATCCTCGTCATTTTGTAATGAAGGCCCTTATTAATTTTAAACTCATTAATTATTATTCTCTTTCAGCTGATAAAGCCTTCAGAGACATGAAAGTGCTGAAGCAATCGCAGAGTATAATTGTTTCCGGAGAATCAGGAGCTGGAAAGACCGAATCTACAAAATATCTTCTTCGTTATCTATGCGATCTTTGGGGATCGACGGCTGGACCCGTTGAGCAGAAAATTCTCGATGGTAGATTAATTTCACTACTTTTTTTTCTTATTTAATAATAATAAATTCAATATTTTTTTATTTTCTATTTCCATAGTTTTTTTTATTTTTGCTCATTTTTATTTTTCCTTCTTTCTCTTTTTTATTATTTCTTTCTTTATTTTTGCTCATTTTAATTTTTCCTTCTTTCTCTTTTCTATTTTATCTTTCTTTATTTTTTCCTTTTTTTATTATTTCATTCTTTTCTCTTATTTTACTTCTATCCCGTTTTCGTTTTTTAATTCTTTCTCTTTTTCATTTTTTAGCTTCTTATTTTTCCACTTTTTTGTATTTTTTCGCTTTTTTATTTTTCCCCTTTTTAATTTTTCCTTTTTTTATTTTATTACCTTTTTTCATTTTTTTCTCTTCTTTATTTTTCTACCTTCTTCAATATTTTTCCTTTTTATTTTTCTACTTTTTTCGCTTTTTTACTCCTTTTTTCAATTTTTCCCTTTTTCATTTTTTTTTCTTTTCTTATTTTTTCTCTTCTTTTAAATCAAATTTACGTTGAACTGGAAAATATAAATTTAGTTTTTCCCTAATTTTCTCTTTTTAATTTTTTTTTCCTTTTTTGTTTTTTTTTAATTCTTTTCCTTTTTCAGTTTTTCGATTCTTTATTTTCCACTTCTTTTTATTTTTCTTTTTTTCTCTTTTTCTATTCTTATTCACTTTTTCAATTATTTCGCTTTTTTATTTTTCCACTTGTTTCGTTTGTAGGCTTGAAAACAATTTAAAAGCAATTTTTTAAAATCAAATTTACATTGAAACGGAAAATATAAATTCAGTTTTTACCAAAATTTTCTCTTTTTCTTTTTAATACTTTTTTCCTTTTTGGTTTTGTAATTCTTTCCCTTATTCAATTTTTGCTTCTTTATTTCACACTTTTTTAATTTTTTAAAACTTTTTTCTATTTATTCGCTTTTTTATTGTCCCATTTTTTATTTTATTACTTTTTTCTATGTTTTTACTCTTTTCCTTTTTCAGTTTTTTCTTTTCTTATTTTTTTCCTTTCTTACTTTTTATTTTATTATTTCTCGTTTTTATTTTTCCTTTTTTCTACTTTTTCCCTTTTTTATTTTTTCTACTTTCTTCAATTTTTCCTTTTTTATTTTTCTATCATTTTATATTTTTGTTTTGTTTTTATTTTTCCCATTCTTACTTTTTCTTCGTTTTATTTTTTCTATTATTTCGCTTTTTTATCTTTCAACTTTTTTTATTTTTAGGCTTGAAAACATTTTGAAAGCAGTTTTTTTTACTCAAATCTACAATGAAATGGGAAATATAAATTCAGTTTTTACCCTAATTTTCTCTTTTTCTTTTTAATACTTTTTTTCCTTTTTGGTTTTGTAATTCCTTCCCTTTTTCATTTTTTCGCTTCTTTATTTTCCACATTTTTAAAAAAACTTTTTTCTCTTTTTTATTTTCCATTTTTTTTATTTATTTAAACTTTTTTATATTTTTTCGAATTTTTATTTTCTCTTTCTTTATTTTATTACTTTTTTATATTTTTTCCCTTTTTTACTTTTTACTTTATTATTTCTCATTTTTATTTTTCCTTTTTTCTATTTTTCCCTTCTTTAGTCTTTCTACTTTCTTAATTTTTTTCCCTTTTTATTTTTTTATCTTTTTCTATTTTTCTTTCTTTTGTTTTTATTTTTCCCTTTCTTACTTTTTCTTCGTTTTATTTTTTCTATTACTTCGCTTTTTTGTTTTTCAAATTTTTTCATTTTTTTAAAATTTCTTCTATTTTTTCGCTTTTTTATTTTTTTTAAGATATATATCTTTCAAATTTTCTTTTTAGGATTGAAAACAATTTGAAATCAGTTTTTTTAAATCGAATCTAAATTGAACTAGGAAGGACAAATTTAGTTTTTCTCCTAATTTTCTCTTTTTTCTTTTTCCATATTTAATTTTTTTTCCTTTTTCATTTTTTCGTTCTTTATTTTCTACTTATTTTATTATTTTTTTCTCTTTTTAAGTTTTCCTTTTTCTTATTTTATTACTTTTTTCTATTTTTTCTCTTTTTTTTCTATTATTAATTTTTCCATTCCTAATTTTCTTACTTTCTTTAATTTTTCCCTTTTTTTCCTTTTATTAATTTTTAGTTTTTACTTTCTTCAATTTTTCCCTTTTTCTATTTTTTTTTCTTTATTTATTCCCTTTTTTGCTTTTTTCCATTATTTCGCTTTTTTATTTTTCAACTTTTTTTATTTTTAGGCTTGAAAACAATTTGAAAGAATTTTTTTTTAAATCAAATTTATATTGAACAGGGAAATATAAATTTAGTTTTTCCCCTAATTTTCTCTATTTTTAATGCTAAAGTTTCCTTATTTACTTTTTTATTATTTTTTCCCTGTTTTTATTCCTTTTTTTATTTACTGATTTTCTTATTTATTTTCCTTCAATTTTTTAAAATTATTTTACTTCATTCTTTATTTCAATATCTTTTTTAATTGTAAACATAAAAAAAACATGGATAAAAATTATTATTAAGTTCTAATTACAATATTTAAAATTATGAAAAAATTAAAATTATACAAATCAGCAATAAAAAAATTTAAATTGTAATAAAATAATTATAATGACACATGTGGAAAATAAATTTTTTCTTCTCAATTACAGCCACACCAGTACTGGAAGCATTTGGTAATGCAAAAACAAAACGTAACAATAATAGTTCTCGATTTGGAAAATTTATGGAAGTTCATTTTGACGCCAAGTGCCAAGTTGTGGGCGGTTATATTTCTCATTATCTTTTGGAAAAATCACGAGTCTGCCTTCAGAGTTTGGACGAGAGGAATTATCATGTTTTTTACATGATGTGCGCTGGTGCATCGCCAGATTTAAGAGCAAAACTCGGTATCACAAAGCCCGATGACTTTCATTATTTACGTAATGGATGCACGCAATATTTTTGCAATAATTCTTCAGAGAAGAAAATTAATAATACCCAAAAAAGTCGCGATCAAATTGATAAGGGAAGTCTTCAGGATCCAATTCTCGACGACGTCGAGGGTTTCGCCGCAATGGATCAGGCATGAATTTTTTATTCACATTCAAAATGCTTAATTATTCGTTTTGAAAGTTTATATTTTGAAAACTTTAAGTTTAAAACTAAATCAATTTACTTCTTGGTCGAAATTAAATTGATTTCGATCAAGAAGTAAATTTCGATTAAAAAATTAATTACGATCATAAAATGAACATTGAAATTAATTTCTTGAGGGGAAAATAGTAAAAGAAAAGTTTGAATCTACAAAGTTCTTATCAAATTAAAGTCAATAAAATTGATCGGATCGTTTGTGGATTAATTTTCCCCCCATGGAGCTTGAGTAAAGATTGTAAAGTACCGGTATTTTTTTTTAAATAAAAGTTGTAATAAAAGTTTTCTTTTTTCCATAGGCTTTAACTCGACTAGGGCTTTCCGATGTTGAAAAAATGGAGATCTACACAATGGTGGCCGCGGTGCTTCACCTTGGAAATATCACCTTCGAGGATAATCCAGAAGATACAAAAGGCGGTTCGAGAATAACTGCAATTTCAGAAAAAGCCATTTTATTCGCCGCTAAATTATTGTCGGTGGATCCTGAGGAATTGCGACAATCTCTCGTTTCAAAAGTGATGCAAACGAGTCGAGGGGGAATTAAGGGAACTGTCATTATGTACGTAACAAATAAGGAGTATTATTATTTTTTCTATCATCAATTTTTTTAAATTTCGTTTTTGTTTGTTTAATGTAGGTATTTAAATAATTTATTTTGAATTTATTTATTTGAGTTTTTTAGTACTTAATTAATTCTTTTTGTTTTTTTTTATTTGGTTTATTTCGTAATTGTTTACTTAGGCGGCAAGTCCCGTTTATAAATAAATAAATATTTATAAATTTTTTCACAAGTAGAAATTTAGAAAAAAATAGAGAATTTGAAGTAAATTTTTTGTATTAGGGTTCCCTTGAAGGTTTACGAGGCTAACAATGCGAGAGATGCTCTCGCGAAAGCCATTTACAATAAACTTTTCGATCACATTGTTGCTCGGATAAACAAAAGTATTCCGTTTAAAGCTTCTAGTTACTATATTGGTGTTCTCGATATTGCCGGATTTGGTAAGGTTCATTTTAATTTTATCATTTCTTTTCTTAATTTTACTTATTATTTTTATGTAAATATTAATTTCTTTTTTTATTTTTCATTATATTTTTAATTTTTAGAATTAATATAATAAAATTTAATCATTTTATTTTTATTAATATTTCTTATTTCATTTCTTTATTTTTATTTTATTTTTTATTCATATTTTTAATATTTTGAATTAATTTAATTGAAATGTAATAGTTTTATTTTTTTTATTATTAAATTACGCGCGAAATTATTTACATATTTTATTATTATTAGGCAAAGTGAAAGAATTTTTAATTTTCAAATATTAATTTCAATCTTCTGTCTATCTTCTTCTATATTAATAATCGTTGTATTCCGATAATCTGTTCGCAATTTCAAGTTAGTTTCAGTTTGCTTTTTTGTTTCTTAACTTTTTAAATAATTTTCCATTTTAAATGTTATCAATTTTAAAATTAATTTACTGAAAATCATTGAATTTTCGCAAAGTATTTATCAAAAAATGTGAAAATAATTTAATTCATTTCAAGAATTTTATCAACATTTTTTCAATAATTGAATTCTTTCGAGAAAATGTAATTAAACATGTATTGAAAATAATTTAATTCTTGGCAAGATTTTAATTAAAATTCTTCGAAATAATTGAATTGTTTTGAAGAATTTATTTCAATTTTCTTGAAAATATTATGAAATTTTTTTAAATAATTTTTACTGAAAATTTTTGAAAGTAATTGAATATTATGAAGATTTACTATTTAGTTTTTCAAATAATCGTGTTTATTATTAATTGTAATTAATAATTTTCATATTAAATTATATTTAAATTATTCATATAGAAAATTAAATTCTTTCAAACAATTTTATTAGAGTATATTGTGCTGTTATTTTTTTTGGATTTATAATTTTAGTATGATATTATATTGTTTTTATAAAAATTCATTATTTTAACTATTTAAAATATTTTATTAGAGTTTTTGTAAATAATTACACTTTTTTTCAAGAATTTCATTCGTAAAAATAATTTTAATTGAAAATTTTGAAAATAATTGAAATTTACAAAGATTTTTATTAAACACTTTTGAGAACGATTGAATTGTTTCGAAAAATTTTATTACAATATTTAAAAATTATTGAACATTTTAGAGAAATTTTATTAAAATTATCTTGAATATAATTGATTTTTTCCAAGAAATTTTATTAAAATTGTATTGAAAATAATTGAATTTCTCAGAAGAATTTTATTATTTACAAAAATAATTAAATTCTTGCCAAGAATTTTACAGTTTATAAAAATAATTGAATTGTTTCGAAGAACTTTTTATCAGAATTGTTGAAAATAATTGAATTTAAATATTTTTAAAAATAATTGTATTCTTTCGAGAAATTTTATTAAAATTATATTGAAAATAATTGAATTCCTTTGAAACATTTTATTATTTATGAAAATAATTGAATTTCTCAGAAGAATTTTTTTATTTACAAAAATAATTGAATTCTTGCCAAGAATTTTACAATTTATAAAAATAATTGAATTGGTTCGAAGAATTTCTTTTCAGAATTGAATTTAAATATTTTAAAAAATGATTGCATTGTTTCGAGAAATTTTATTAAAATTGTATTGAAAGTAATTGAATATTGCTCTAGAGAATTTTATTATTTACGCTGAGAATAATGAAATTCTTGCGAAAAATTGTATTAAAATTTTTGAATAGGTAATAATAAACAAGAATATTTAATATTATGTACTTAATAAGTGATTTCTTTAAATTTTAAATCTGTAATCATTCAAAAATTGATTTTTATTCTTGAAAATATAAAATTTTTTAATTGACTAGCTGCATGCAACAACTCGCCGAGCGCTAGGCTGAACATTCAGCGCTCGGCGAGTTGTTGCATGCAGCTACTCAATTTACAAAATAATAATAAATGAAATACCGCGTTCCGCGCGCATATCATTTGGTATAGTTTTGAAATGATTTCAGTAAAAATTGCAATAATAATTTTCTTTTAGAATACTTCAAAGTGAACAGTTTTGAACAATTTTGCATTAATTACTGCAACGAGAAACTTCAACAATTTTTCAACGAAAGAATACTTAAATTCGAGCAAGAACTTTACGCTCGAGAATCTCTGAATGTTCCGAAAATCTCCTACGTTGACAATCAGGATTGTATTGGTTTGTATTCTTTCAATATTCCAAATTTAATTCTAAATTGAATCTAATTATTAAAACTTTAATTTCTAAATATTTGCGTCTACTTTTTAAGTAATCAAATAATTATTGTGTGAAATTGCAAATTTTAGATCTCATTGAATCGAAAAATACCGGTATCTTCAGTTTACTTGACGAAGAATCAAAATTGCCAACGCACAGTTTTGCCCATTTCACTAGTGAAGTGCATCGAACTTGGAACGGTCACTTTAGAATTACTTTGCCAAGAACTTCAAAATTAAAAGCACACCGTGAACTTCGTGATGACGAGGGTTTTGTCATTCGACATTTTGCCGGCGGTGTCTGCTATCAAACGGTAAATATTTTCACTTTATTCTTCGGCTTCGTAGTCATCTACTCAAACCTACTACATATTTACTATTTTTTTTATTACGATTTGATACTATTTCCATACTTATTTCAATTTGTTTTCAATTATTTTCAAAAAATTATAATAGAATTTTTCGAAAGAATTCAATTATATTTTCAAAAATTATTGATAAAATTCAAGAGAAAGAATTCAATTATTTTCGAAAATATTAAAATTATTTTTCGCGTAGAAATTCAATTTTCAATACAATTTATTTTAATAAAATTTCTTTAATAATTTTAATTATATTTTTTCAATTTTAGTAAATTTCTTCGAAAGACTTCAATTATTTTTATTACAATTTTATCTAAATTCTTCAAAACGATTCAATTATTTTTGTAAATAATGAAATTCTTCATTCAGGAATGCAATTATATTTTCAAAAATTTTGATAAAATATTTCATAAAATTCTAAAGCCAAAATTCTTTGAAAGACTTCAGTTATTTTTTATACAATTTTTTAACTAAATTCTTCAAAACAATTAAAACGATTCAATTATTTTTGAAAATAGTAAAATTATTCTTCGCAGAAGTTCAATTATTTTCAATACAATTTTAATATAATTTTTTTATGGATTTTAATTAATTTTAAACATTTTAACAAAATTTTTTGATGGATTTTAATTAATTTTAAACATTTTAACAAAATTTTTTGATAGAATTCACTTATTTTTAATACTTAAATATAAAGTCTTTAGAAGAATTCAATTATTTTTAATGCAATTTCAATTAAATTCCTCGTAGAAACTCAAAATTTTCTTCAAAACAATTGAATTTGTATTTGTATTTTTTTTAATTATTTTTCTGAATTTTTTTCACAAATAATAAAATTTTCACATGAATACAGTTATTTAATTAATTTAATTTAATTTAAATTCAATTTTTTTAATACAATTTTAAATGAATTCTTCAAAAGATACAATTATTCTTGAAAATTTAATTAAAATTCTTCGAAAGAATTCAATTATTTTTAAAAATTTTGATAAAATTCTTCATAAGAATTAAATTTGAAGAAATATTCAATTACTCAATAAACTCTTTATTTTTGTATTTAAATAATTGATTTTTCATCAAACTTTCTAAAAAAAAATTGATTTAAAATTGAATTTTTCAGTTAACATTTTTAGAAATAATTAAATTTCAAAGATTTTTAAATTGAAATTCTTGAAATTTTTTATTGTTGTAAAACTGATAATATTTAAATTTTTATTCTGAAATAAAATTATTAAAGTTTATAGATAATTTTATTTAAAAATTTCAACAAACCAATAATTGAATTTTGGAAGAATTTATTATAGTCGTAATTTTTAGAAATATTTAAATTTCAATAAGGCTTTACATTATTGAAATCATTTAAAATATTTTAATTCCTATGGAAAACTATATGGATATTAAAATATTTATTTTAAAAAAATTATTTTATTTTTGAGTGTAATTTAATTTAGAAATTATGAAAAAATTTTGAGTTGTCAAATTTAATTTTTCGAGAACTACTTAGCAACTTCTTGCTTCTTTTTTAAAATTAATTATTTAGTACAAAGTCTGCTTTATAATTAAAAACTCTGCAAAAGTTTATTTTCATTTGATAATTATAAATTTATTTATTTAGTATTAGCTATAAATTTTATTTTCAATGATTAAAAATTCTGTTAATTTTACTTTTTTATCCCGTTCCTATTGCAAATAAATTTACGTATATCTACAAAGAAAAAATTTAAAACTTTTTGAGATTTCGTTAAATTTTTAAATTAAATATGAGTCTTGGTTCATAGAAAACAATTAATTAGATAGCAGAGCGTATTTATATTTAATTTTTTTAATAATCGAATAAAAGATTATTATCTTTTATTCATGGAAACTAATTTTTTTAAACATTTTAAAAGACACAAATGTAATTATAACGTTAGAAATTACGCTGTTTATTATATTTCAAACATGTTCGGGGTTACACCACTCTCCCCTAATCTTAAAAATCAATAGAAATAAGAATAAAAAAAATTATTCTCAGCTAATTTGCAAATAAATGGTGCGTTTAATTAATTATTTGCTTTTTTTGGTTTAGAATCAATTTATAGAAAAGAACAATGACGCTCTTCATGCATCATTAGAGTGTTTGATACAAGAGAGTGAGAATAAATTTCTTCGTACACAATTTGCCAATAATTCTAGTCAAAAAGGAAAATTAACATTCATCAGCGTCGGTAGTAAATTTAAAACACAATTAGGCGAATTAATGGATAAACTTAAGAGCAACGTAAGTTTTAAACTTAAAATTTATTATTTTAATATAATCAATTAAATTATTTTAGCTAAAGATAAATGACTAATGAATTTTTTTTTTAAATTAAAATTTTCAAACAGGGAACGAATTTTATTCGTTGCATTAAGCCGAACAATGAAATGGTCAGTCATCGTTTCGAGGGGAACAATATTTTGGGACAATTACGATGTTCCGGAATGACTTCTGTTTTGGAATTGATGGAACACGGTTATCCAAGTAGAGTTCCGTTTCAGGAACTTTACAATATGTACAAGTCTTATTTACCGCCGGAATTAGCAAAATTGGATCCTAGATTTTTTTGTGAGGTATTTAAAAATTTGTTTTTGAAATTTTTAAAAAAATTTGGTTGTTGTTAAAATTAAATTATTTTTTTCCTATTTTCAAGGCCCTGCTGCATAGTTTGAAGTTGAATAAAAAAGATTTCAAATTTGGCATCACTAGAGTTTTTTTCAAACCGGGAAAATTTGCCGAATTTGATAAAATCATGAAATCGGATCCGGAAAATCTAGAGAAACTTGTGGCGAATGTGAAAAAATGGCTATTGAAGTCACGCTGGAATAAATTGCAATTTTGCGCATTATCTGTGATAAAATGTGAGTTTACATTTTTTTACTTAATTTTTTTAAATTTAATTATTTTATTTATACTCTTTATTTTACTTATTCCATTTATTTTATTTATTTTGTTATTTATAAAAAATTAATTTTTTTCAGTATCTAATTTTTATTGTTTCAATAATTTTTTTACTGTTTCTCTATTTTTAAATTACTTTTTTAAAAATTTATTTATTGTTTTTTTTTTTTACAGAAAATTGTTTCTTTTACAGAAACTTTGTTTATTGTTTTATTTACAGAAAAATTTTTTTTTCCTTTTACAGAAAATTGATTGTATTATTTATTGTCCCTTGTTTTTCTTTTTACAGTAAAGAACAAAATTATCTATCGTCGAAATCATTTGATTGTTATTCAAAAAATGGCACGAATGTACATTGCCAAAAAGCAACATCAACCGAGAATAAAAGGAATCGTGAAAATACGAAATTTAACGAGTCAACTGTCGAGAATGGAGGAAATTTCGAAGCAATTGAAATCAGCTAAGGAGAAAAGTATCAGCGACATTAAAAAATTACAAGCCGAATTGGAGGCCGCAATGCAAAAAATTAAGGTAATTGAATTTTAACTGCAATTAAGATTTTGTTTTATCATCAAAAATAGATTTGATTTAATGTAGAATTTAAAAATTAAATTTTTTTTAATTATTTGTAATAATAAAAGTACAAAATTAATATTAAAGAAAATGTATAAATTAGGTATAATTTTATAAAATTTTGAAAATAATCGGATTTTAGAGAAAGAAGGAAAAGTAATAAATTCTAAATATAAAATTTAGAAATTTTAGTAATTTTTGGAAGATTATAAAATTAATTGTAAAAAAATGTCTTTTTTAGAGAAATCCAAAGATCAAGGCGACGGAAATTGATGCGACCTACACGAATTTAGTGAATCAGATGAATAAACAAATGGCAGCCCTTCAAGATATGGTTAAACAGCAAAAAATAGCGGAGGAGCAGGAGAGATTGAGAAAAATCCAATTGGAAATGGAGAAAGAGAAGCAAAAGAAAGAGGAGGAGGAGCGCAAGAAACGGGAGGAAGAAGAAAATCGAAGGAAGAAGCATGAAATTGAAAACAGAAGAAAAATTGAAGAGGAAGAGAGGCGAAGACAAGAGGCCGAAGATCTTAAAACTGCTGCCGCTCTTCAAGTAAATTCATTTTCAATTCAAATATTTAAAAATCCCATTTTTCTGAATTTTACATAAATAATTTTTAAATTTAAATTAAAAAATTTTTTGAGTAAAATTTAAAAGTTTTCTGAGTAAAATCTATATTAATAATAGTTGTATTCTGGTAATTTTTTTTATTTCCTAATTTTATTCATAATTTTGGTTTTCAATGTTTTGAATTTCAATATTAATGAAATTCTAATTTAATGCTTTGAAGATTAAAAAACAACAAAAATTAATTAAAGCAAATTGTTTTTAATTAAGAATATTTCTTTCATATATTATTTCTTTTATAATTTTAAATCTGAAATAATTGAACTCTTATAAAGAAATTTATCGAAATTTTTCAAAATAATTGAATTTCTTGAGAAAAATTTAATTACAATTTTTTTAAAATAATTTAATTCTTTCGAGAAATGTTATTAATTATGAAAATAATTGAAATCTTTGATAAGAATTTTATTAAAATTAAATTAAAAATAAGTTAATTCTTATAAAGAATTTAATCAAAATTTTTCAAAACAATATTGAATTTCTACGAAAAATTTTGCTGTTTAGGATAACAATTAAATTTTTTCAAAGTAGGATTTAATTAAATTTTTTTTCTTGTAAAGTATTTTCTGAAAAATTTTATTAAAATTCTTTAAAATAATTAAATTCTTGTAAAAATTTTTATAAATTATGAAAATAAATTAAATCTTGCTAAGAATTCTATTTAAATTTTCGAAAATAATTGAATATTTTAGAGGAATTTAATTAAAATTGTATTGAATACTTTTCAATTCTCATACAGAATATTTATGAAAATTTTTCAAAACAATTGAATTTCTACGAAGAATTTTGCTATTTAGGATAACAATTAAATTTTTTCAAAGTATAATTAATTTAAATTTTTTTCTTGTAATGTATTTTATGAAAATTTTACAAAATAATACAATTTTTCGGAAAAATTTTATTAAAATTCTTTAAAACAATTAAATTTCTGCGAAAAATTATATAAATTATGAAAATAATTAAATTCTCATGAATAATTTTGTCTGATGTTTTTAAAGTAATTAAATTTCAGCGAAAAATTTGATTAAAATTGTATTAAATTTTTTTCTTGTAGAGAATTTTATTGAAATTATTATTGCGAAAAATTTTATTAAAATTCTTTAAAATAATTAAATTCTTGTGAAAAATTTTATAAATTATGAAAATAATTTAAATCTTGATAAGAATTTTATTTAAATTTTCGAAAATAATTAAATATTTTTGAGGAATTTAATTAAAATTGTATTGAAAACATTTCAATTCACATAAAGAATTTAATCAAAATTTTTCAGAACAATTGGATTTTTGCTAAAAATTTTTTCAAATTTTTAAAAATAATCGAATTTTTTAGAGAAATCTTATTGAAATTGTATTGAAAATAATTGAATTCCTTCGAAGGATTGAAAACAATAAATAGGTAATTATAATTAATAAGTAAATTTATAGCTAATAATAGATTTTTTAAATTTTGAATCTGAAATTATTCCAAAATTGGAATTAATATTTCAAAATAAAAAAGTTTTTTCAATTTTCATAATAATAATAGATGAAATACCGCGTAACTTTTTTTATTTTATTTAATATTTAATTAAGAATTTCTTGTGTCCATGTAAAATAATTTTGATACATTTTTAAATTCGTAAAAACTACATTTGATTGAAATTTTAGAAGTAAATTACAGTTGAGCATTTCTATGATAAAATTTACTGCACTTTTTTATCTGATCAGTTTGTATTTTTATTTTACTTATTTTTATTTATTTTCTCTTTATCAGAAGTCACACTAGTTAACGCTTGATAATTAACACTCACGTTCGCTTTTATATCTAAAAAGAACTTTATTTATTTGTGATTCATAGCCATTGCTATATATAGTTATTAATAAGCATAAACTATAAATTCAACTAAAGCACATATCACTAACTTATTGTTAAATAGTCGCAGCAATTATAAACATGTCCGATCAGTTTGAAAGCGACAATGGAACTTTAAGATTTTTAGATTTTTATTTAAAAATTCGTGTAATTAACGTTTAAAATACTTTTTTTAATATTAATTAATTAGTTAATTGAATAAAAATACTCTCAGTTAATTGAAACAATAGAAAGCACTAATAATTACTTATTTAAATCAATAAAAAAAACTTTTAATTACCTACTTATTTGAATCAAGAAGAAAAACTATTAATTTTTTATTTAATAAAAAAAACTATCAATTAGTTAATTTAATGAATAAAAAGAATTATTAGTTACTTATTTGGCAAAATAAAAAGAACTTAATTTTTGTTACTTGAATCAATAAAAAACTATTAATATTAAACTATTAATTTGTTAGTTGAATCAATAAAAATACTGTTCATTTGCTAATTGAATCAAGAGAAAAACTATTAATTAATTGTTTCTGTTTCACAGGCACAAATAGAAAAGGAAGTATTGGAAGAGAGTCATTTCCGAGAGATTTTGGAACAAGAAAGAAGAGACCACGAATTGGCACTGAGACTTGCTCAAGAATCAAATGGACAAGTTGAAGATTCTCCACCATTAGCTCGAAGGTAAATTAACTATTTACTAATCAATAAAATTTTTCTCTCTTTTTTTGAATTTTAGAATTTCGATAAATTCTAAAAAAATTAGAAATTCTTCATATGTTATATATTTTCCCATCAATAATTATTATTTGTTTCGATGTTTAGAGTAAATGTAAACGTCTTTTTTTTATATTTATAAAATTAAAAACTCTTTTTTAATCAAAGAATTTCCAAACTATCGTATTTGAAAAATACTAAGAATTAATCGCTGAAAATAAATGGAAATTGATTCGAAATATTAATTTTTTGTTGCTATTAACAGCGCTCCTGATTCACGTGTAACGGCAACAAGCAACAATAGACTTATAAGGTATTCATGTTTTCAGGAAATTGGCATGCAAATATATTCCTTTCTTTTGTCGCTTAACTTTTAACCGCAGCGGAATCATCATTCTTACCAAAAAAAAAAAAAAAAATAGTAGATGATCTTCACGACTTTGGATTCATTAATTTCTTATAATATGGACAATGTGTTTTTTCTTGGTTTTGAAAATTAATATTTTCTGCATGTTCGAACTTATTATACTTTCCAGTTTCTCCTTTTTCTAATTCTACTAATTTAACTCAATCTTTGGTTTTCTATGTATTTTACATCGTCAGGGTTGCCACAAGTCAAGGAAATTTAGGAAAAATTCAGGGAAAATGAAATTAGTCAGGGAAATCAGGGAAATGAGAGAAAAATTTATAGAAAGTATTGAAAAATTATCGAACAGCTAGAATTATAGCAAAAATTCTGTCTTCTGGTGTCAAAAAATATTTTTGAAAAAAGTAGAAATCTTAATTAAAGAAATTTTTTTCACCTTCAAAATCTTTGATTAGCGATGAATTTTAAAAAAGAATTTAATTTTGCTTTGTTCTGTAAATAATTAAATTTATTTTAAATTAAAATAAATTAATAATTTAAAAAATGTAAAAATGAACGATCACTCCAAGTGTTAATTTTTTTATTTTTTAATACAATTTTTTAATAAAAATATAAAAATTTGACATACTATCAATCGGATAATTTAATTAAATTAAATTTATTTTCAATTAGATTGAATGAAAAACTGAACGATCACTCCGAGTGTTAATTTTTTTATTTTTTAATACAAATTTTTAATAAAATTTTTTAATAAAAATATAAAAATTTGACATAGTATCAATCGGATAATTTAATTGAATTAAATTTATTTTGTATTAAGTTTAATTTAATTAAAATAAATTTAAATAAAATTCTAGAATAACTTTCTTAATGTCAATTAATTTTAATTAACTTTAAAAAAAAACTTTTAGTTCAAAAAAAGTTTCAATTTTGAAAAATAATTCAATTTCAGAAAGATAAAAACTAAAATTCTTGAAAATTTCAACTCATATGAAGAAATTAATAGTAATTAAATATTTATTTTAAAAATGATGTATTCAAATCGTAAATAATTTGATTTAGAATTCTGAAAAAATTAGATATCTATGAAACTTTAATTCAATTCTTAAAGATTCTTGAATTTTTACAAAAATTTTATCAAATTAGAATTTTTAGAAATAAAATGAAAATAATTAAATTTATTAAATTATTTGCATTGAAGATTTTTGAAAAAATCGAATTTTCAAAAAATTTAAATTTAATAATTAATAAATAATTTTGAAATTAAAATTCTGAAAAATAAGGTTTTTGAGAAGCTTTAATTGAATTTTTTTACAATGCTTGAATTTTTTTTCAAATTCAGTATTTTCAGAAAATTTCAGAATCATTAAAATTTTGTGAAATTAAATTAAAAATAATGTAATTTTTTAAAGAATATCATTAAAAATTGTCAAGAATCGAATTTTTAAGGAATTTAAATTTAATAATTAGTAAATAATTTTGAAATTAAAATTCTGAAAAAAATAAGGTTTCTGAGAAGCTTTAATTGAATTTTTTTAAAGATGCTTGACTTTTTTTACATTCTTATCATATGAGAAAGTATTAGTTTAAAATTCAGTATTTTCAGAAAATTTCAGAATCATCCAAATTTTGTGAAATTAAAAATAATTAAATTTGTTAAAGAATTTCATTAAAAATTTTCAAAAATGGAATTTTCAAGGGATTTTAATTTAATAATTAGTAAATAATTTAAAATTAAAATTATGAATCAATTCGGTTTCTGAGAAGTTTTAGTTTAATTAAATTCTTTAAAAGTACTTAAATTGTTAAAAAATTTGTTAAAAATGATCAATTGAATGGTAAAATTTTGTAAAATTTAATTAAAAATAATTAAATGTCTTAAAGAATTTTATTAGAGATTTAAAGAAATGAAAAGCTCAAAGAATTTTAATCTAATAATTTGTAAATGATCGAATTGAATTTTACAAAGAGTCACAACAAAATATTATGTTTGTCAGTGTAAAAAGCAGCATTAAAGGTTCTAAATTACATCTAAAATAATTTAATTACCAAAGAAATACAATTACAATTTTTCTTAATTAGTTAATTTTAAAAAAGATTCAAATTGAATTTTTTTTAAATATTGAATTTTTGGAAAATTTTACTTAAACTTCAGAAAAATGAATCTTTTAAATTGAAATTCTACTTTCTTAAAGGGAATTGAATTTTCATAAACAAGTAATTGAAATTTTTTAAAATAATCGAAATAATTGAAGTTTCCTAAAATTCTATTTAAAATAATTGAATTTCTAAAAATAATTTTATTGAAATTTTTTGAAAATAATCGAGGGAATTTTATTTTGAACTAGTATTTTAATTTTTTTTAGAGGAATCAGATGTTAAAATTCTATATGGAAATCAGGAAAAAGTCGAAACTTTCGAAAAACGAAAGTAAATTTTTGTGGCAACTCTGATCTTATAATTACCTTACATATACTTCATAGATTAATTAATATTTGATTTTTCTACTTTAGTTGGTAACATTTTTTTTCTCCTTAGATTCTAGTGGTTTATTTGGTTGTGTACGTGTTTTAAAAATTATCGTCTGCATGTAAAATGGAAATAATGGATTTTTTCAAAAATTGTCAAAATCAATAATTCAAATTTTTTTCATTGACAAATAAATTTTTTTTTTCTCAGATCGGAGCAGGTTCGTAATCATCAAGCAGCAATGGCGAACAAAAAATACGACCTGTCCAAGTGGAAATATTCAGAATTACGAGATGCCATTAATACATCGTGTGATATTGAATTACTTGAGGTAAAAGCAAAAAAAAAAGAATTTTTATTGCCTTTCAATTTTTATAAAATCTTTAGAAAATAATACAGATTTTTTTTCTTTTTTATTCGAGCAGAATAAACTGATAGAGCTTCTATACTATAAAATGCAATACGTCATGAATGGCATTAATCTAATCTATAATCTAAATTTCAGAACACAATTCCAAGAAACTTCAACGTGAATTTTTACCTCTAATTACTAAATTTTTCTCCACTGACAGTTCTTTTTATAGGTTTTGTAAAATTTCTATAAATTTCTAATTGAAATCAATTTTTTTAAACTAATTTTTGCATTATTATTTGATCTTGAAAACATTAAAGAATTTTATTAATTTTAAAATTCCAAACATTTTAAGAAGGGAAACTATCAAAAACATTAGAATTAGTAAAGATCTGAAGTAATTCTAACAAAATATGAATTTTCTAAAAATTGATTTTTTAATTCTACATAGAACAAGAAATAAAATTCTGTTTTTCTAAGAAAATAAATTTTAAAAAAAACATATTTTGCATTAATATTAATTAGTTCTTCAACAATAATTTATGAGTAACGTTTTTTACTATTTTAGAATGTTAAATTAATACTTGAAATATTACTAATATGGATTAAATTATTGAAATTTCAAGAAATTATGTTTAGTTTGAATTAATTTAGGATCAGGGAAAAAGTCAATATTGTGTCTGGAAATCAAGGAAAAATAAAATTAATTTTTTTGGCGACCCCACAAAAGCAAGAATTAATTTTGTTTTCATTTGGAAAATATTGATAAGTATTTTTTTAATAAATAAATAAATAAATGAAATATTTTTATTTTTTAGGCATGTCGACATGAATTTCATCGTAGACTAAAAGTTTATCATGCTTGGAAGGCAAGAAACAAAAAGCGCACGACAATGGATGAAAATGAACGAGCGCCGAGATCTATTATGGAAGCAGGTAAAAAATATTTTTTAGAAAAAAGCGGAAAAAATATGTAAATAATTTAACTAAAAAAATAATTTAAAATATAGTCTACTACAGGCTTTGCACTCATCTACTAAAAGCTTTTTTTATGGTTTGCTATTTGGATACTTTTTTATGTTTCGAGACACTAAAAGATACTTTTTTTCCATTTTTTTGTGAATTTTGGTTATTTTTATTTAAAACAACTTGAACCCATTAATCACTGAAATAAAAACTATAATATTTATTTTCTTCACAATAATAATAAATACAAGAATCACCTCATCAACTTATTTCACTAATATAGAAATTTTGTTATTAAATTTAACTTTCGCATTCAAATTAATCTAAAGTAATTAAATTTTAATTGATTCAAATCTCACTCGATACAAATATTAAATTATTAATACTTTAGTTATTGATACAGAAAACCTCAATTTATTAAAATTAGTATTAAAATTTTTATCTTTCTTTGCATTAATTATTTTACTTACAAGTTAATTTATTTATTTTCACCTTTTTTGAAAAACAATTCATAGGTACCTAGTATAAATTTCATCAAATTGTATCAATACGTTTTAATTAAAATGTAATTTATCGACAGCTTCTTTTTTCAATCTTAACGCTCCATCCGTCGCATGGTGAGAATTTCCCTCACCCAGTTTCTTTTTTTATTTATAACTTTTAAAATACAAAAAATTATAATTTCATACTCTCAGTACCTTTTACGGCACTCTTCTTCTTTACATTAAAACAATTTTGGTGTTTTTTTATATTTTAATTTCTTTGTTATTGAATTTGAAAGCAGCAAATGTCGGGGATTTTTGACGCGAAGTGAGGGAACTTCTCACCATGCGACTGACCGCGTATACTCGATTTCATTTGTCATTAATTTTTTATTTAAATAATTAACAGGAAATAAAAGTTAATTTTACTGCCAATAGGTTGTTTAGAAATTCTAATGAACATTCAAAAAAAAATTTGGCATTTTAGAACAAGTTTGGACTAATTTATGAGGGTGAGAATTTCCCTCACCTGCGACGGATCGCGTTACAAAAAAAGGTGCGACGGATGGAGGGTTAAAGCTACTTTTTGCTACTTTCTTTTTTTACTAATTAGTGCGAAGTCTGATTAAGTAAAAAAATTTATTTACAAAAATATTAAATAAAAACTTTAATTCGAAAAAGTATAAAAAATTTAGTTAAAAGTAGGACTATGTAAATTTTTGTAACTTTTATAATTTTGAACGAATTTGAAATAATTTAATTCTGGAATAGAGTTTTATTAAAATTAAAAAAAAAAAAAGAATTGAATTATTTCGAAGAATTTGAATGAAACTTTTAAAAATAATTGAATTCTTTCGGGGAATTTCATTTAAATTGTGATGAAAAATAGGAAATGAATTTCTACGAAAAATTTTATTAAAAATTTTTTATTTATTGCGGAGGATTTTATTAAATAGAAAAAAAATTCTCTCGAAATACTTTCATAGAAATAAATTGAAAATACTTGAATTTTTGCGAAAAACTTTATCAAAAGTATGAAAATAATTGAATTTCTACGCAAAATTTTATTATTTATATTAAGAATAATTGAATTCTTGCGAAACATTTTATTAACAATTTTTTAAATAATTGAATTTCTATAAAAAAAATTTTTTCATTGATGAAAATAATTGAAATCCTTTAAAAAATTTAACTGACATTCTATTAAAAATAATTTAAATCTTTCAAAGAATTTTATTACAATTTTTTGACAATAATTGAATTCTTTTTTGAGAAATTTTATTTAAATTGTATTGAAAATAATTGAATTCCTGCAAAGAATAATTTTATTATTTATGAAAATAATGAAATTCTCGATTTATAATTTTATCGAAATTTTTGTAAATATAATTAAATTCTTTCAAATTTTTAAAAATAATTGAATTCTTCCAAGCGAAATTTTAATAAAAATTGTACTGAAAATAATTTAAATTTTTCCAGAATTTTCATTGAAATTAAATTAAAAATAGATAATTGAATTCTAGCGCAAAAATTTTTATTACTTATGAAAATAATTGAATTGTTTTGAAGAATTTAATTAAAATTGAAAAATAATTTAATTCATTCTAGTAATTTAATTAGAATTGTATTAAAAATAATTGAACTCGTGCAAAGAATAATTTCATTATATTTATAAAAATATAATTGAATTCTTGCTCCAGAATTTTATCAAAAATTTTGAAAAATATAATTGAATTATTTACAGAAATTGTATTGTAATGAAAACAATTGAATTCCCGCGCGAAGAATTTTATTAGTTTTGAAAATAATTGAAATTTTGCTTGAATTTTTTGAATTATTTTATAATTTTATCAAAATTTTTGAAAATATAATTGCATTTTTTTCTAAGACTTTTATTATAATTTTTTAAAAAAATAATTGAATTCCTATACAAAGAATTTTATTATCTATAAAGTGTTTATTTCAAGATTTATTATTTATGTAAATAATCTAATTTTTTAGAAGAATCTTATTAATATTTTTGAAAATAATTGAAATTAGTTAAAATTTTATTTGAAATAATTAAAATCATTCGAAGAATTTTATTAAAATTTAAAAAAATAATTGAATTCTTAAACGAAAGATTTTATTATTTATAAAAATAATTGCATCATTTTGAAGAATTCAATTAAAATTGTATTTATAATAATTTAAATCTTTCAAAGAATTTTTTTTAAAATTGAAAAAAATAATTGAATTTCTTCGAGAAGCTTCATTAAAATTGTATTGAAAATAAGTAAATTTCTCTGAAGAATTTTGTTATTTATAAAAATTATTTACTTTTTGAGAAAAAATAATTTAATTTCTACGAAGAATTATTTTATTTATGATAATAATAATACGATTCTTGCAAAGAATTTAATTAATTTTTTTTTTTTTTGAATAATTAACAGTAACAATTAATTAGTTGATTAGTTAGAATAAATTATTTGCTAAAGTTACAAATAAAACGTGAATTAAATATTAAAACCTCCAAATAATGAAATTAAATAATTATGATGTTTAATTTAAATTTTTGAAAATTTTTCGTATTGAATGATAGAAAATTGTGTGTTCTTTTTTTGTTTGTTTAATAGCCAAGGTACCGCACTCGCCTTTAAAACAACCGATACTGGAAATTTCGCAAAGATTCTTCAGGATTCCTTTTGTTCGTCCTCCGGCAGCTGGACAATCTGATAATCCAAACAGTGGAGGGAAAAGAGGCTGGTGGTATGCACATTTTGATGGACAATATGTTGCAAGACAGATGGAATTGCATCCTGACAAACCACCAATTCTCTTAGTTGCTGGTCCGTTGTGAATTTATTATTTACATTTTTCTCAAATTTCCCCCAACGAATGTTCTCTTTTTATTCTCTCTTTAGAACTTCTACTCTAACTCTTTTTTTAAAATTGAAAAAATTGTTTCAAAAATCTGAATAATTAATTTTTCTTCTGCTTCTTTTTTTTGATAAAAAATTGTTTCTTCGTTCTTTTTTATTTTTTTCGAAAAATGTTAAGTTCTTCTTCATATTTTTTTTGGTAAAGAATTAATTCTTCAATTTTTCTTTTTAGTAAAAAATTATTTTTTCGTTTTTTTTTTTGTAAAAAAATTCTGTTTCATTTATTTATTTTTTTTGAAAGAAGTTAATTCTACTTGATATTTTCTTTTTGGTAAAGAATTAATTCTTCTTCAATTTTTCTTTTTTTTGGTAAAAAATTATTTCTTCGTTTTTTTGTAAAAAATACTTTTTTATTTTCCTTAGAAAAAAGTTAATTCTCCTTTATATTTTCTCTTTAATAAAGAATTAATTCATCTTTAATTTTTCTTTTTGGGTAAAAATTCTTTTTTATTTTCTTTGGAAAAAAAGTAAATTTTACTTCATATTTTCTTGATGGAAAAGAAAGAATTCTTCAAATTTTTCTTTTTAGTAAAAAATTAATTAATTGTTTTTTTTTTTTTGAAAAAAATTCTTTTCTATTTTCTTTGGAAAAAGTTAATTCTTCTTCAAGTTCTCTTGTTTGGTAAATAATTAATTTTTCTTCAATTTTTCTTTTTATCAAAAAGTACTTTTTTATTTTTTGAGAAAAAAGTTAATTCTATTTCATATTTTTTTTTGGTAAAGAATTAATTCTTTTTCCTTTTTTTTAGTAAAAAAAATAATTCTCTGTTTTTTTGGAAAAATTTTTTTTTTCTTTTTTTGGAGAAAGGTTAATTTTACTTCATATTTTCTTTTTGGTAATGAATAAGTTCTTTTTCAATTTTTCTTTTTAGTCAAAAATTAATTCTTTGCTTTTTTCGTGTAAAAAATTATTTTTTATTTTCTTTGGAAAAAAGTTAATTCTTCTACAACTTTTCTTTTTTGGTAAAGAATTAATTTTTCTTCAATTTTTCTTTTTTGGTAAAGAATTAATTTTTCTTTTTAGCAGAAAGTTTTTTTTTATTTTTTTTTAGAAAAAGTTAATTCTACTTCTTATTTTCTTTTTGGTAAGGAATGAATTCTTTTTCCTCTGTTTTTAATATAAAATTATTCTTTTTTTTTTTTTTTTAAATTTTTGTTCTTTTTCAACTTTTCTTTTTAGTCAAAAATTAATTCTTTGCTTTTTTCGTGTAAAAAATGATTTTTTATTTTCTTTGGAAAAAAGTTAATTCTTCTTCAATTTTTCTTTTTTGGTAAAAAATTACTTTCTCGTTCTTTTTGTAAAAAATTGTATTTTATTTTATTTTTTTTGAAATAAATTAATTCTACTTTATATTTTTTTATGGTAAAGAATGAATTCTTCTTTAATTTTTCTTTTTAGCAAAAAATTCTTTTTAATTTTTGTTATAGAAAATTTAATTCTACTTCACATTTTCTTTTTAGTTTTTTTGTAAAAAAAATTCTTTTTAATTTTTTTGGAAAAAAGTTAATTCTACTTCATATTTTCTTTTTGGCGTAAAATTAATTCTTCTTCATTTTCCTTTTTCTAAAATATGAATTCTTTATTTTTTTAGAAAAATGAATAATAAATAAATGAATAAATGAATAATTTTAACAATATTTTGTGAATTAAAAAGTAAGATGTAAATATTTAGCTTTGTTTTGGTTTTTTTTTCTAAATGAAAGATATTTTCCCTCCTTTTTTGATATAATTGTTGAAATGAAAATTGTGTTTACTAATCTTTTTCACACCTTTTGTGTTTATCGGACAAATGCAGGCATTGACGACATGCAAATGTGCGAGCTGAGTCTGGACGAGACTGGTTTAACAAGAAAACGTGGAGCTGAGATCTTGGAGCATGAATTTAATCGTGAATGGGAACGTCACGGCGGTAAACCTTACGTGATACCAGGAGATCGTAAAAAATAAATCCCACTCATATTCATCAGGGTTTCTTCTTCAATTTTTAAAATCAATTCACGAGACTATAATAATTAAATTCCTTCCTATTTTTATATTCTCTCGAACTTGCATATTCATTCATATTTTTCCATCAAGTTTATTATTTGTCAAATCAATATTCTTGCGCATAAAATTATGATTCGTCATTGGGGGAAAAATGTCGTTTTCCTAGAAAATTATTATAGTTATTTTCCGCATTTTTTTCAAATTTGACAATTGGAAAATATTTTATATTTTTTTTTATTCAAATTTTTAAATTAAGTATCTTTTTGTTACTTATTTTTATTTTTTAGACACTTTAAAAATTGGAAATTTAATTTTATATTTAAGTTTAGATATAATAATTCAAATTTTGTGAAAGAGAATTTCTTTTTGGTTAGTGATGACTTTCTTTTTTGCAAAAAAAAAAAATAGTATTTCTTTATTTCATAAAAAAATAGTATTTCTTTTATATTGTGATTAATTTTTCGAATATTATTTACATTGTTAAAGTTTAAAAGATTCGTACATTATAAAAATAAGTTTCAGTCGCAATTGCATCTGAATTTATTGAAAAGTATTTTGAAAAAAAATATATATTATATTTATGCGAACGAATGTCTATGAAAGATAAATACACTATATTTAAGTTTATAATGTATGATAGTTTCAAGAAAAAAGGTATTTACGTAATGAAATTATTTTTAGTCTTATTATCTTTAAAATGACGATAGAATGTGATGATATTTCCAAATAAATATCAAGAATTTAAAAAAAGACGAAATTTCTTTTTTATTCATCTAAAATTGGATGTGGAATTTGGGAAAAATTGAGAAGAAAATAATTTTTACTTAAAGTAATATTTTATTAAATAAGTCTTAATTATTTTTTTATAAAAAAAATATATTAAAATTTGTTCTTATTTTTATTTTTACTGTAAAATAATTTTTTTTCACCTGCTACTTGGTGCAATCCAACCGCCAAATTCTTTCTCTAATTCTTGAGCAACTGCTAAACATAATCTGTCCTGATTTTTATTCGCAATTAGCTGTGAATAAATTAGAGGAATTTTTTTTTTAGTGACGGAAATTTGAAATTGAAATTAAGTTTTTTATGAAATTGGATTTTTTTTCTTTAGGAGCATGTCGATTAATTTTTATAAATAGAAAAAAGTAGTTTATTGTGATGGAAGAAAAGGAAATGAATGGAAAAATTGACTTAATTGGCCAAAAATGGAAATGAAAAAAAAGGATTAAATATGAAATTGAAATAAAATTATGATTAGTAATGAATAAAATTTGATAAAGAAGAAAAGTAAATTTACTTGAAAACCAATTGGAAGTCCTTGTTCATTCAGACCCATTGGAACTTGTGTCGAAGGAAATCCGAAAATATTAAACAAAATGCAATAACTTCCTCCGGGAGTATACAAAAATGACTGATTGCGAAGTAAAGCTGGCGATGGATAAGTTGGAACTATCAAAACTCCATTCGTACCAAGCATATTCTGCAGAAAAAAAATGTATTCAATCAAGAAATGTTTTCTTAAAACGAAGAATTTAGAATTCCTTTGAAAGAATTCTTCTTGTAAAATTTCATCTCAATTTTATTTTCGATTTCATTTTAATTTCATTAAAAAGAAAGAATAAAATCTTTATTTTTGTTTTACGGTTCAATTTGATTTTAATTTGATTTTTTATATCAGTGAAAAAACGAAGACTTTATTTTTAATTTTTGTTTCAATTTCATTTAATTTTCTTTTAAATTTTATTTTATCCAAAAAAAAAATAAGTGAAAGTTGTATGTATTTCTTTGCAAAAGTTTTTTCCAATATTTTCCAAAAGTTTGTTTCTTTTTCTAAAAATCTTCGCTCTTTTGGTAAATTTTGAACAATGAAAATAAAACAATTATTATTTTTCACACAAACCTCAAAAGCAGTTTGTAATTTAGCAGCTCTTTCTCGATAATAATCCAATCTAGATTCATAAAGAAAGCCTTTAGTGTCTTTAAAAATACCCATCAAAATTGCATTTTTTGTATGTTGCGAAAATCCAAAAAGTGCTTTTCCCAATTCAATAAAAGGATTTTTTTCATTCTGAAATGAAGCAAGAAGAAAAAATTTTTTTTAATTAAAAGAACAATTGAGCAACAATTGTGTATTAAACTCACTTTTGGATCATCTGGATTTAATAAAATTCTCGGTATATCAGCCATGCAAAAAAACATAGCTGTCGAAATTTCGTAAACGTCTTTTAATTCATTCATATTTGGCTGCAAAATATTAATTCTTATTGTTTATTATTTTCAAAATTTTTTAATAAAATTCTTCGACAAGATTTAAATTATTTTCATAAATAATAAAATTCTTTGCGCAGGAATTAAATTATTTTCGTAAATAATAAAATTATTTTTCACAGGAATTCAATTATTTTTTTCAGTATAATTTTAATAAAATTCCTCCAATGAATTCAATTATTTTTTCAATTTTAATTAAATTCTTCTAAAGATTTAAATTATTTTTAATATAATTTTAATTAAATTCTTCTAAAGATTTAAATTATTTTTAATATAATTTTAACTAAATTCTTCGTAAGATTTCAATTATTTTTCATAAATAATAAAATTCTTTGCAGGAATTCAATTATTTTCAATACAATTTTAACAAAATTCAATAAACAAAAATTTTTAATTATAATTATTAACAGACCCGATTATTTTAAAATGTTGAAAAAAATTCTTCAATTATTTTCAGAATTTTCAATTAAAATTATTTAATAAAACTACATTGTTATTTTCAACAAATTTAAAGAAATATTTCCAAAGAATTTTATTATTTAGAAAAACTCTAATAAAACTGTTTAAAAGTATCTATGTAATTTTTCATCAATAATTTTCATAGAATTTAATAGTAAAATTATTAATATTGCAAAACAAAAACGATGATATTAAAAAATTTTTTTAAATTAAAGAAATTATTTGAAAGAATTATATTGTAAAAATTAAAGAAATTCTTCGAAAGAATTTAAATTTGTTCTCAATATTTTAATAAAATTCCTTGAATAAATTAAATTATTTAAAAAAATTTTAATAAAATTCTGAGAAAAATTTAATTATTTTCTAAAAATTCAAAAAGTTTTAATAAAATTTAATAATCAAATGTTTATTTGAAAAATTTGAATGAATATATATCTTTATTTACTCTCCCTGCTTAATTTCGCAGGGTTCGAGGAACCATAATACAAAAAATTCTTAACCTAATATACAATCTCTTAACTTAACTTATCCTAATACAATAATCTTATTTCCTAAGTATTCGCCAGTGCCGGGCTTCCGTTTCCCGTTCCATTTGGCTTCGTCAAATTAAAATTTTAATTTTAGCATCGTTCCCACCCTCTTTATCTTTAATTTACCCTACTATTTTCTCATTTGTTCTAACTCATACATCCATTTCTCACCTTGCCCATTCTCATCCATTATCCATCCTATCCTTTCATCCACACCTTTCTCATTTTCTCCACGACTTGCACATCTATCCAACACATGTTCCCAATCTTCCAACTCAAAGCCACACACCCTACACAGTCTCTCACTCTCATCCATCCAATATTTACATTCATTCATTCCTTCTCCCATTCTAAACCTTATTATCCTGTTCCATCTCTCCTCTTTCCTTACTCTCTTCAAGTATTGAGGTATTTCACCTCCTCTTACCATCCCATACCATCTGTTGTATTTCGAGTTTCTTATCCTTTCCCATCTCTCTTCCCTCTCTTTCTCCCTCCACCCCTCTCTCAATTCCGTCCATTTTCGACCTCCTTTCATCCCTTCTTTAATTGCATCCCTTCTCTTAATTTCCCATCTTGACAATTCTTTCCTTCCTTTTTGCTCCCTTTCTTTCACTTGCCCCACGCACATTTGAGTCCAACTACACCCTCCACCCTGTCTTAGCTTTTCCTCAAAACTCCAAGCTCTACTTCTCTGCCTCACCACCATTTTCTCTCTTCCGACTTCCTCTCTTAACATGTACCCTGGACAGTATCTACTCACACCCATAACCCATCTCAAAAATTTCTCGTGCATACTTTCCACTTTTTCCATTTCCATCCATCCCCAAACTTCCACGCCATAACTCATCACCGACCATACTAACATATCATACAACCACAATCTCTTTTTCCAGTCGTTTTTGAACATTCTCTTCCCTATTCCCCATACTTGACCCATTATCTTATTCGCTCTTTCCACTCTCCTTCTCACATTCAACTCATGCCCTCCACCATAATGCAACCAAAAACCCAAATAACAAAATTCATCCACTTCCTCAGCCACCCTTCCATTCAGTCTCCATTCATTCTCTTTTCCATCTTTTTTCTTCATAAATCTCATCGCCTTAGTTTTTTCCACATTTATCCACAAATCTTTCTCTCTCACATATTTTTCAAATTCTTTAATCAACAAACGCATCCCTGACTCATTCTCTGACATCAAAACCACATCATCCGCGTAGGCAAGTGAATAAATTCTCCCTTTACCTAATATTATCCCCCCTTTTCCTCTTCTTTTCAATTTTTCCTCCAAGTCCGCCATCAACAAACTGAAGAGAACAGGGCTTAGAGGGCAACCCTGCATCAGGCCTCTACCTAGCCAAAACTCTTTCCCAATCGTTTCTCCTATTTTGACCTGCGTCCTCACATCCGTGTACATTTCTTTTATCCTCTCCACTATTCCTTCCTTTATTCCTTTTTCCTTAAGTGCTTTCCACAATATTTTTCTATTCACAGACGGGAATGCAGCCTTAAAATCTACAAATAGGGCTATTAGTTTACCCCCTTTCTCTCTCAAGTTCCTATTCACTAAATAATTGAGGGTGTATATGTGGTCCATTGTACCCATACCCTTTCTGAATCTAGCCTGATTGTGTGGGATACCTCCATTTTCCTCAACTTCTTTCTCCAACCTTTTCCTAAGTACCTCCGCATATACCTTACAGCTCACTGGCATTAAGGTAATTCCTCTGTACTCCTCTATTTTCTCTCCCTCCCCTTTTTTAACCAGTGGCACAATCAGGCCCGTCTTCCACTCCTCCGGCCACCCATTTCCTTTCCATACCTCGTTGACAATTTCCCATATCACCCTTCTCACCTTTTCACCCCCATATTTAATACCCTCTCCCTCCATTTCATCTTTACCCACCGCCTTATTCCTCTTCAGCCTATCAATCGCATCTTCTACCTCTTCTCTTGAAACGTCTTCCACATCATCCTCTCTCACTATCCTTCTTCCTTCACCTCTTATTCTGTAACTCGTTCCCCCACTCATGTCCATAAAATACGTAGTCCACTCTTCTATTTTAATTTTACCATTTATAGATTTCCCTCTCTTTCTTTCTCTATTTACTACCTCCCATTCTTTACCTTCTTGTACCGCCTTCTCTACTTCCTCCATGAATCTTTTCTTTTCCATTTCTCTTTTTTGTTTTAGTAATTTCTCGTGTTCCCTGTGTTTCCTATTATACTCTTTCCTCTCAATTTCCCCGTTCCTCCATTCTTTTATATAACCTCTCATTCGTTGCCTACTTTCTTCACATTCACTATCCCACCACTTTCTGTGTCCCAGTTCTTGCCCTTCTACATTGCCCATTTCTTTTTTAACTTTCTCAATCTTGTCCTTTAACTTTAGTATTTTATTATCCACACTCTCTTCGTCCTGCCATTCTTCCATTTCTCTCCGCATTCTTTCCTGGAAATCCGCTAACCTCTCCGCGTTCCATTTACCCATTTTAATTTTCTTTCGTTTCCCAACATCTATCTCTATTTCTGGATCTCTGCTTCCATTTCTGTGTCTCTTTTTCCCGTCCCTTAATTCTACCACCAACGGAAAATGGTCAGACCCTATTTCTCTCCCTACTTTCATTTTAATTATTTCCTCTCTTCCCCTCTCATCTGTCAACACGTAATCAATAGTGGTTTCTCCTTTTCCTCTGTAAGTAAAATTTCCTTCCTCGTCTCCTCTCATATTCCCATTGCAAATGGACCATCCTTCTTCCTCCAACAATTCCAATAATCTTCTACCCTCTTCATCCACTTTCTTATGCTTGGAAACTCTAATGTACTTCTCCATCTCTTCATCCCATAAACCACCCCCCAATTCTCCTGTCCATGCATTTAAATCCCCCCCAATTATAACCTTGTTGTCCTTTCCTTTTTGCATCCAATCTTTAATTATTTCCCAACCCTTTTCATCGCCTCTTCTTCTATAAATTCCTACAATATCTAGCGTTCCCCTACCTCTCTTAATACTCCTTACTATACAATCGTCGTTCACTACCATACCCTCTTTTCTTACTTCCTTGATCTCTTTTCTTACCCCTGAAATAATCCCTCCTGATCCTCTTCCTCTTTGTCCATCTCTCTTCGCTTCTTGCAATTTCCATTTGTACCCTTTTGGCAATGTTCTTTCAATTTTCTTAAAATCTTTCTTCTCTACCCACGTCTCACTAAGAAACAGCACATCCCATTTTTCTATAGTTCTCCAAAATCCTTCATCTTTATTTTTAATTCCCCCTACGTTCCAGAACCCCACTTTTATTCCTGCTTTCTGTGTTCTCTCCCAACTGCCCCTTCTTCCTGCCGAAAAACCTGCTCTCTACTTCTCCTGTATCCTACCTGCGATGTATTTCTCTCTCTTCTCCTTTCTTCCTCCACCACTTCTCCAGTCACTTTACAAACCACCCATTTACTACCATTAACCCACAAACAATCTCTTCCCCTTTTAACCTCACTACCTTTTACCCTCTCTTCCCATTTTTTCTGATCTAGTTTTCTTGAAATCACCCTCTCTTTCCACGTTTTGTCCTCCTCTATCATTTCTTTCCTGCCTTTCAATTTATTTTTTGCCGACATGACTTTCATCTTTTGGTCTTCACTTTCCAGCTGTACGATCCAAACCTTAGGTTTAATTTGAATGAATAAATTCTTTATATAATTCAATTACTTTCATAATTTTCAATTAATTATTTTTCAATTGCTTTCATAAAAAAAAACCTAAATTTTTTTCAAAAAATTAAAGAATTTCCAATTTTTCCAATTAAATTTCATTCCAAAATTTTGATAAATTCTTCGCAAGAATTCAATTATTTTCATAAATAATAAATGTCTTTGAACGAATTTAATTATTTGAAATTTTTTTGATAAAATTCAAATTCTTTGAAGAATTTAACTACTACTTTTTTTTCAAACAAAGTTTAACTGCGAACAGATTAATGGAATACAACGATTATTAATGAAGATTAGGTGTTAATTTGTATAAGAGATTTTTTGTTGTTTAATAAATTAATTTTTTTCCGTTTAATTGACTTTTTTCCCTTTTTTTGTCTCTTACTTACACTATCGACACTTGCAACACGTTTTTTAAGGAAATTAACAGCTTTTTTAATTGAATTTCTTATATCGTGAGTAACTGGTATTTCACCGGGACTATTGGGAAATTTTTCCATGTAAAATAATTTCAATTTATTAATATCAACTGGATCGTCTAATCGTAAATTTTCCTTGTAATTTTTACTCAATATTTTCATAGCAATTAGAAGATCTTCACTGTATCTTGTCATTGGACCAGTTGATAAGTAATTTTGAAAAATTGGAGACGGCGACATTGGATAATGACCTCTAATAGAAACAGCGCCTGGTAAAAAGTTGAATAAAATAAAAATAAATAAAAAGAAAATTGAATCGTGAATTTCGAAAAGAACTCAACTTATGGTTTTTAGAGTTAAAAATTCTTTTTTGAAATTCACGATTCAATTGAGAAATTATTTTCTTTTTACTAAATTATTATTTTTTTAAATTAATTTTCTTTTTGTGATGAATTCTTTTTAAATAATTTTTATCTATGACAATATTTACTTAGACAATAAATAAGACAATATTATAAATATTTGTTATAAATATTGTCGAATGAAATAAATAAAAATTTAGTAAATTTTATTATAAATGTTTTTAGTGAATTTTTTCATTTTTTCGGGAATTTTTTGAATGAATTTTTTTCTTTTTTTAATGAATTTTTTTTTGTAATGAATTTTTCTTTTACGATTAAATAGAAAAAATAATACCGGAGGTAGCTTTGTGACCGAAAAGTCCATTAAATAAACAGGGAACTCTTATTGAACCGGCAATGTCCGAACCGATTCCTAGGGGAGTTGCACCAGCTCCTCCTAATGCACCCTTTCAAGTAAATATAAATTAAAAAATTATTTTTGACTGTAAATAATTTTTTTTCTTTCATTTAGATTTACCTCACCGCCGGAAGAACCGCCAGCTATTCGTCTAGTATCATAGGGATTGTTTGTCGAGCCATGAATGAGATTCGATGAATCAAATCCAGAACACATTTCTGGAGTATTTGTCACGCATAATGGAATTGCACCCGCTAATTTCATTAATTTTACTGCTTCACCGTCTTCAGGTGCTTTCTCGTCTTTACGAGAAAGTGTGCATGCCGTGAAACTGCAACCTTGCAAAACAGAAAAGAAATCTTCTTAAAACAATTTTTTTTCATTAAAAAAAATTATTGAAATTAAAAAATTAAAAAATTTTTTTTAATTCATTTTTTAATTTTTAAAAAACGATTAACAATTTTTTGAATTCATTTTTTAAAAGTAAAAGAATATTTTTTTAATTCATTTCTTAATTTTAATAAATCATTTTGAACTTTTTCTTATTAATTTACATAAATTACTAAAAATCATATCCAATTTTTTTAACAAATTAAAGAAAATAATGTCCATAACTTTTTTTAAATTTAAATCAATTTTTAAAAAAATCATGCCATAATTTTTTTTTCTATTTAAATAAAGAAAAAGACAAATTATGAATCAAGACTTTTATTTCAGTCTCTAAAGTAAAAATCAGGTTTTGGAAATTTTTTTAAAAACAAATTTAAAAAATAATCATTACATTAAACAAATTATGACATTTTTTTGAATTTAAAAATAAATTACGTAAAAATTGTGGTATTTTCTTTAAATTTAAATATAAATTGAAAAAATTACGATATTTATTTGTTAAGGGCATTTGAACCATTATGACGTCACAATTTGTGCAAAGCACGTGTTCTAAAATTGTGACGTCATAATGGTTCAAATACCCTTAATTTCAAAATAAATTTTTAAAAAATTAGTTTTTTTTGTAAATATTTTTTTGGGCAATTCAATTATTTTCAATACAATTTTAATAAAATTTCTCAAAAGAATACAATTATTTTTAAAAATATTAACTAAATTCAATTATTTTCAACAATTTTAATATAAATTATACATTCAATTATTTTCGACAATTTTGATGAAATTCTTTTTAAAAAAATCATTATTTCCAAAATGTTTAATAAAATTCCTTCAAAAAATTCATTTATTTTCAAAAATTCAGATAAAATTCTTTGAAACATTTCAATTATTTTTATGAATTGTAAAAACCTTGGCAAGAATTCAATTATTTTCATAAATAATAAAAGTCTTCAAAGGAATTCAATTATTTTCATAAATAAAATGTTTCGAAGGAATTCAATTATTTTCAATCCAATTCTAATAAAATTTTTCAAAAGAATACAATTTTATTTTAAAATATTATTTAAATTCAATTATTTTCAAGAGTTTTAATAAAAAATCAATTATTTTTAACAATTGTGATTAAAAAATTTTTCGAAACAATTCAATTATTTTTGTAAATAATAAAATTCTTCTGAGAAATTCAATTATTTTTAATACAATTTTAATGAAATTGCTAGGAGAAAATTCAATTATATTCAAGATAATTTTAATAAAATTTCTCTAACAGTTTTTATTATTTTTAAAAATTGTGATAAAATTTTTCTAAACAATTCAATTGTTCTCAAAAGTTTTTCATAAAATTCTTTGTAAATTAAAATTATTTTCAATTATTTTCAATTAAAATTATTTTAAAAAGTAACATTATTTTTAACAAATTTAATGAAATTCTTAAAAAAAAAATGTAATTATTTACAAAAACTCTAATAAAATTGTTTAAAAGAATTGAAAAAATGTTGACAAAATTCTTGAAATGAATTCAATTATTTTCAAATTTTTTGATAAATACTTTGCAAGAATTCAATGATTTTCAGTACTTACATTAATTTTAAAATTGAAAACATTTAAAAAAGAAAATTATTTCAAAAGTTGGGAAACAAAAAATCAAACAGCAACTAATTTCAAACTGCGAACAGATTACGGGAATACAACGATTATTAATAAATATAGAAGATAGATTTTAAAAAATTTGTATTTTTTGTAAATTTGAAAATAAATTAAAAATAATTTATTTTGTTTAAAATTAAAAAAAAAACTAATTACAAAAAAGTTACATGGTTTTTTCTGTATACGTTTAAAAAAATTAAAAAATATGGGTGAATATTTTTTTTCTAATTTATGAATTAAATTTAAAGAGAAATAAATTGAATATTCATTTTTTTTAAATTGATTAATTAAATTAATTAATTAAGAGCGTACCTTTGAGTGCACAGGCTTCTTTAACAGAGAATGGTACACCATAAAGTGGTTGCTCTCTCTCCAATGTGTGAATATTCACCACTCCAGAATCCAAATTATTGTCACAAATTTTTGCCTCCTTTGTTGCTTCATTAAATCGATTTTCAATGACAGCATTTATTTGTGGATTCACAGCAATTATACGTTCAATATAAGCTTTCACCACAGCCTCACTTGAAATCTTTCAATTATCATCAAATTAAGAATCAATAATTCATTTCACTATAAATAATTAATTATTAATTGTAATCAATAATCAATAATTAATTAATTACAATAATATTTGTTTACAAATTACAAATTTTTTTATTTTCGAATATCAAATTCAATTTTTTAATAATTACAGCTTTTCAAAATTTGAAAAAATTAATATATTAATAAATAAATAAAATTTTTTTTCGCAGGAATTTAGTTAAAATTTTAACTAAATTTTGCAAAGCGATTCAATTATTTTTAAAAATAATAAAAATTCTTTGCGCAGGAATTCAGTTATCTGTTTACAATTCAATTTCAATGGAAATTTTGGAAAAATTTCAATTATTTTCATAAATAATAAAATTATTTTTCTCAGGAATTCAATTATTTTCAGTATAATTTTAATAAAATTCCTCGAATGGATTCTATTATTTTTTCAATTTTAGTAAAATTCTTCAAAAAATTTCAATTATTTTTAATACAATTTTAATTGAATTCTTCAAAACGATTCAATTATTTTTATAAATAATAAAATTTTTTATTCAAGAATTGAATTATTTTTAAAAATGTTAATAATATTCTTCGAAAAAATTCAAATATTTTAAAAAATGTTGATAAAATTTTAGAGTTAGAATTCAATTATTTTCGTAAACAATAAAATTATTTTACATAGAAATTCAATTATTTTTAGTACGATTTTAATAAAATTTCTCCAATGAATTCAATTATTTTTTCAATTATAACTGAATTCTTTAAAACGATTCAAATTTCAAAAATAATCAAATTCTTTGTGCAGGAATTCAATTATCTACTTTTAATTCAATTTCAATGAATTAAATGATTTTTAAAAAAATTTTAATAAATGGTTCTAAAGAAATTAGATTATTTTCACAAATAATAAATGTTGAATTAAAAATTTCATAGATAATAGAATTCTTCGTATTCAAGTACGAAAATTTATTAATGGAGAAAAAAATCTATATTTTTGATTTTTCTAAAATCTATTTTAAATTTTTTTCTCTGTGTTTTGATAGATTTATATTTACTACAAATAGTTAATTATAGTTTTTTTTTTAAATGAACCTCTCGATTTCGAATTTTTTTTGCTAATTCCTTGGCACTGAGTAATAATAATGGATTCTTAATAGCTGGCAGTTGTTTCGGTCGATGACTATTGACAAACCAATAAATGGGCTGTAATATTTTTGTTATTAATTTTAATATTATCATTGCTAGACGAACTGTTAACTCCATTCTGAAAATTGGCAAGAAAAGAAAAATACTTATTTTTACTTCTTTACAAAAGGTAAAAATTATTTCGAATTGTTATTGCTTTATTTTAGTAGATCAAAAAATGCAAATAAGTAAATTAATGTTATTATTATTAATTACTACTTTTATTATTTTTATTTTTATTACTATTTTTATTTTTGTTATTATTTTTTTGTTTCTATATATTTTTTTACCTATTTTTTTTTATTTTTATTATTTATAAATTACTATTTTTATTTTTGTTACCTATTTTTTTGTTTCTATTATTTTTGTTACCTATTTTTTATTTATATTATTTTTGTTACCTATTTTCTTTTGTTTCTATAATTTTTGTAACCTATTTTTTTTGTTTCTATAATTTTTGTTACCTATTTTTTTGTTTCTTTATTTTTTGATACCTTTTTTTGTTTCTATAATTTTTGTTACCTTTTTTTCTATTATTTTTGTTACCTATTTGCTTTGTTTTTATTATTTTTGTAACCTATTTTTTTTGTTTCTATAATTTTTGTTACCTATTTTTTTGTTTCTTTATTTTTTGATACCTTTTTTTGTTTCTATAATTTTTGTTACCTTTTTTTCTATTATTTTTGTTACCTATTTGCTTTGTTTTTATTATTTTTGTAACCTATTTTTTTTGTTTCTATAATTTTTGTTACCTATTTTTTTGTTTCTTTATTTTTTGATACCTTTTTTTGTTTCTATTATTTTTGTTACCTATTTTTTTTTCTTTCTATAATTTTTTTTAACTATTATTTTTTTCTGTTTATTATTTGTTATCTATTATTTTTACTATCTTACATAATATGAACATTAAAAATAAAAATATTAATATTCAATTGAAAAAATGTAATAAATAAGACCTTGTAAAGTGTAAAATTAATGGAATTTTCTGCACGTTCTTGTTTTTATGATTGAGTGCAATGTGTGAAAACTAAACTTGGAATAAGATTTCAATTTGAACGGGCACAAAGGAAGCATTCTTGATGATGTTTTGAGCTTTAGACTTTCAAAATAGTTGCACGTGACGGCAATTTGGAAGAATTGCAAATTGCATAGTTTCTTATTTCATAATTTACTTCTCTGTTATTCATTGCAATTGTTCCGAAAAAAAATGAGACGTTTTTTAAGGAAATTTTTTTTTATTGTCACAAATTGAGATAAGCGCATTTTTTTTCTTGTTAAAATTTAATAATTTTTAAGGATCAAGCTATCGTAGATCATTTATCGTTTATTATTATTGAATTAAATAGACAAATAAATATTCAGTAACAAATAATAATAAATAAAAATTAATAAAAATAATAAATAAATGTATTTTACTTTTTTATTTGCACTATTACAAAAAAAAGGAAATAAATAATTATTTATTTCTATTTATCTATAAGTTTAATGAGAATTTAATTATAAATAAAAGAAAACAATAGAAAATAATGAAATGGAAATTAAAAAATAATAAAGAATAGAAAATTGAAAAGTTTACTAAATAATCAAAAATTGCAGTGAAATAAAAAAAATTTTAATCTAAAAAATACAATAAATATAAAAAATGAAATAATAAATTAAAAAAAGTGTAGAATTTTTTTTTTTTGATAAGCAGAAGAAATTTGATTTATTAATTGCAATCAATCAAATTGATTATTGTACCAAGTGAAAAAAATGCATGTATTTCCATTTTTTTATTGAGTCTATAAAATTATCATTTAATAAGAAGTAAAAAAAGGTGGAGTTATATTTGCAAGTCAAACGATTATTCTCTCATGTTATTGGCTTTTTTTCTCTAATTAAGTGAAAATTCAACAATAAATTAAAATTCATTCAAGTTTATAAAAAAATTTGAAAATAAAAATCAAGGTTGATACAAATATGTCATCGTTAAAACTGTTAATAAATTCCAATTCAAAAATAGCGCAAAACATTGTAAATATTATTCTAAAATTTGTGATACATTTTTCATTAAAGAAAAGGTCAAGTTATTTGACTTGATTTCGTATTCTGAATTTATCAAAAAAAAAACTATGTCGTCAATTTGTTGCATTCTTTTATTTATTTCTCTTTTTCTTCTACATTTTTACGACTTATAATTAAATAAACATTTTTATGCTACTAAAGAGATTAAATTAAATAATAATAATAAAAAAAAAGAAAAAAATTACAAGAAGGGAACAAAAAACCTTGAATCAATGTAAACTGTAGACGCTAGGCAGACAAGTTTGTATTATTATAATCGAGATAAAATCGTGCATTCTTATTATTATTTTCTATCAGTGAATTGTTTACATATTTTCGATTTTTTAATGACAAAATTTTTGTTTTCTAATAATTATAATTCATTATTTTGAATTTGAAAATATTTTCCTTCTTGGGTGGTTGATTCTAATCGTTTCTTGTTTTTTGCAAAAAAATAAAAATACAAAATAATCATGTAATTATATTTATCAATACAAATTTATTGATCTTCCAAGAATGTATTTCAAGTGAAAGTAGTGTATTCGAGCACTTTCGACAATTAACATTAAAAAAAAAAACAAAAATAAAATACCCAAGCTCCACAAGTAAAATATGTTTTAGTGTTGAATTTTATTTTTTATTGAATTTTTCCTTTAAAAAAAATTTTTTTTTGTTGAATTTTTATTCAATTTTATTTTACATAAAATAAAATGAAATTTTTTTTATATTTACCCAGAAAAAAAAGCAAATATTTTTTTTTCAAATTTGAACTCTAAAAACTACTGTAGAGAAAATTGAATTTTCAAAATTTATTTTATATTTCTTTTGTTGAATAAAAATTAAATGAAAAAAATGAAATTTTTTACTCAATTTTTTTTATATTTGCCCAGAAAAAAATAAAGCAAATATTTTTTTTCAAATTTGAACTAAAAATTACTATAGAAAGAAAATTGAATTTTATTTTTTAGTGAATTTTTAGGTTTAAACTTTTTGTTTTTATGAAAGAAAAAATGAAACTTTTTTCATATTTCCCCGCAAAGAGAAAAAAAATTGAGACAAATTTTTTTTGTTTTCAAATTTGAACTAAAAACTACTAACAGAAACAAAATTAAATTTTATTTTTTATTGAATTTTTCAGTTTAAAAAAAATTTTTTTTTTATATTAAATTAAAATAAAAAAATGGTAATTATAAAGATAAAATGAAATCAGGAAATGTAGTGAATTTGTAATTATTATTCTCCTTTTTTTTAATTTTATTTATGCAAAGAAAAATCTACATAACAAAATCTTTGCATGTGACATTAATGTATTTACTGAACTTGTACCACTGGAGGTCAAGGGGATACTATGTTATCGATATATTTTACCTGATAAAAAAAATCGTATTTAAAGAAATGATAAAATCCGCACCTTAGACAAATAATTCATTGAAACAAATAAATAATAAAATTAAAAATAAACCATTTTTTATTTATTTAATTATTTACTTATTTATTTACTCATTTATTTCTTTGCATATTTATTTACTTACTTATTTATTTGCATATTTATTTATTAATTACTATTTATTTACAATTAATTAATTAATAATTAACAATTAATAAATTAACAGTAAACAATTTGTAATTAACAATGAATAATTAATTAACAATAAATCATTAACAATTAATCAATTAATAATAAACAATTTGTGATTAACAATAAATAATTAATACTTAATTAATAAATTCTAATAATAATTAATTTATCTTCTATGTAAATTTTTGATAACTTTTCTTTAACAATAAACTAACAATACTTATTTTTAATATTAACACTAAAAGTGATGTTTCTTGGAAAAATTCTTTAAACCAAATGTCAACATTTGTTCACATAACAAATTACTTTTTTTTCTCTCTTTTGTTGGATTGTTAAAGGATTTTTTCTTTAAATTCAGGGTTTTCAAGTTTCAATTATTTCCAAATAGGCAAATATGATGATGAATAGTGTGTTTTATTTTCAATGTGTGAGTATTTATAATTATTATTGACCATTTTAAAAATTGTTGAATGTCAAAAATTAAGAATAACATTTTTTTTAATGTAGTTTTGTTTTTATTTTTGTTTTAGATCCAAATATAAATTCAGAATAATTTTAATTTCTAGAAACAAGAAAATTTTATGTTTGGTCAAAATAATACATTATTTTCGGTGTGAAAAACATATTTTTTTTCTTCCCGCATAAATTTACATTTAGAATAGTCGATCGTTAGAATATACACCTAATGAAATTATTATGCGTTCGTATTTATTTCCTCAAAATAATTTTTTTTTTTTTCAATAAAAATTATTCATTGAGAAAATTTTCAACTAAAATAAACTTTTTGAAAATTTCTTATCGAATCGAGGAAAATCAATTACTAATTTTCCAAGTTAAATATAAACAAATAATTCAAAAATCGGATAATTACAATTTCTTTGTATTTTTTTGATAAAAAGTAATAATAATAATAATAATAATAATAATAATAATAATAATAATAATAATAATAATAATAATAATAATAATAATAATAATAATAATAATAATAATAATAATAATAATAATAATAATAATAATAATAATAATAATTAGAATAATAAATAAATAATAAATAAAATGATAAATAAATTAGTGAATAAAATAATAAATAAGATAATAGACAAATAGTAAATAAAATATGAAATGAAGCAATGATTAAAACAATAAATAAATAAATTAGTAAATAAAATAATAAATAGATGAATAATATACAAAATAATAAATAAGAATGAAAAATAAAGAGAATAAAAAAAAATAATAATAATAAGAGCAAAAGTAATAATAATATTAAATCAATTAATAAGAGGTTCACAAAGAAAATATCAAATTGTAAGCATGTGTAATTAAAAAATAAAAAGAAAGATAATTATTATAAATATATAAAAATGAAACTCACGTGTCTTATCGGGCGAGAAAATAAAAGATAGTATAAAATATATAATTGAAGACAAAAATAGAAATTTTATTTTAAATACTAAAGAAATAAATATTTACAATGTGATGAAACTTTTTAAACAACATTTAAAAATATAAAATTTAATAAAACACAATTTGACCAAAAAATTGTTGATTTAATGATCAATAAAAATTATTCGTCTTTGATCATTACTACACGAGAGCGAGTTTATAACTGTTGGTTCTCTTTTGACCAACAGTTCAACTTGTTTGATATAAGGAATAAATTTTCGCTTCACTTTTCTTCCTGATTAAAAACGATTATTTCCAACATTTGCAAATTTTCACTTTTTACACGAGAGAATTCAAATCTTATTTCTTTTTTTTTCGCAGTATAAGTAGTAAAAAAAACTGTATAAAAACTACTGTAAAATAATAAATTAATTAATAAAAATATAAAAAAAATTATTAATAAAAATAAATTAAACTTCCCTCTATGAGGAAGCGAAATATTAAAAATAATTGAAATGTGATAAAAATAATTAAAAGTAATTAAAATATAAGTTTCTTTTGTAAAATTTTTCTTCAATTAAATTATTTTTTATTCAAAATTCTTTTTTTCTAATTTAACAATTTTTGTTTTCAATTTCGCCTCAATTTTTTTGACAATTTTTAATTTTACTATTTTTATTTGAAATTTCTCACTTTGTACACATATTTTTTTTTATCTAATTTAATCATTTTTGTTTGCAATTTGTCTTCAATTTTTTTTTTTCAATTTTAAATTTTACTATTTTTTATTTAAATTCAAAATAAATTGAGTTCAAAGTACAATGAAATTTAAAAAAAATAATTGTTTATGACAAAATTACAAATTATAAAATACTAATTTTTAAATCTATTTATTTATTAAATTTTATAATTAATTAATTGTCTAATTAAAAAAAGAGGAAAAATTTGTACATTTTATGAAGCTGATAATTATTGATTATTGTTCTTTTCTCTAAATAATAGAATGAAATAATATTGCATAATTTTAAATACGTATAAACTTTTTAAATTATATATTTTTCACGTAAACATTACTATTATTGTTACGTAATTTGTAAACCGGATTATTTATCAAATAGTGATAATATTTATTTATTTTTTCCAAAAGAAAATCCATCTGTAATTTTTTTTCAATGAGCTACCTATATACAATTTTTGTTCTCTTTACAATTTCCGGTATTGAAAAAGAACTAAAGAATGAATATATTTAATTTCTTCAAGTTTAAAACTTTTCTTCCTTTTAGAAAATGTGATAAAGTCATTATCACAAAAAAAGAAAATTTCCAAAATCGAAAGGCATACTTCAATCAATTTTTATCCATTCTTGGAGGTAAGTAGTAACTTTAAGAAAAAAAGTTTGATAAAACATAAAGTAGGAAGCGCGGATAAGAATGTGTCCGCCCGAAGGGCGGGCAGATTTTTTTTTTAATAGAATTTTAAATAAAAAAAAATCAAAATAATTTTCAATTAACAATAATTTTAATCGAAAAGAATTAAAAATACTTTTCAATAAAATGTTGAACAAAAAGAATTGAAAATACTTTTTAATAAAATGTTGAACAAAAAGAAGTGAAAATACTTTTCAATAAAATTTTGAACAAAAAGAATTAAAAATACTTTACAATAAAATTTTGAACAAAAAGAATTAAAAATACTTTACAATCAAATTTTGAACGAAAAACTTTGAAAATACTTTTTAATAAAATTTTGAACAAAAAAAAATTGAAAATACTTTCCAATAAAATTTTGAACAAAAAGAATTGAAAATACTTTTCAATAAAATTTTGTACGAAAAGAATTCAAAATATTTTTCAATAAAATTTTGAACAAAAAGAATTCAAAATATTTTTCAATGAACAATAATTTTAATTGAAAAGAATTGAAAATAATTTTCAATAAAATTTTGAAAAACAAGAACTGAAAATATTTTTTGAATTGAATTTAAAACAGTAAGAATTAAAAATATTTTTCAATAAAATTGAGGAAAGTAATTTTAAAATAATTGAAAGTATTTTTCAATAAAATTTTGAACAAAAAGAATTCAAAATATTTTTCAATGAACAATAGATACTTTTAATCGAAAGTAATTGAAAGTATTTTTCAATAACATTTTGAGAAACAATAATTGTAAGTATTTTTCAATAAAAGTGAAGAAAATAATTTTAAGACAATTAAAAATATTGTTTTCAAAAATATATTAAAAAAAAAAAAATTTTTAACGAAAATTGCAAATATTTTGCAACAAAATTTTTAATAAAAAAAACTTGCAAATATGTTTTTCAACCTCTATTATTAGGTATTAATTGAAAATATTTTGTCAATAAAATATTGAAAAAAATAATTTTTTAAAAAAATTGAAAATATTTTTTTCTCCATTTTTTAAAATTTTGTGCCACAATGTACTTTTTTCAAAAACAAAACTATAAAAGAAATGCTATATTAAAATATTGTTATAATAATTTTAAATCTATGGGAAATATTGACATATTGTATTAAATTTTTAATAACTTCAACCTTGGGATTAAAGATTAAAAAATAATTAGGCGCATCATTTCGTCGATGACTAAATTCATAAAAAAGGGATTTTGAAATAAACGCCTTATCATTAAATCCTAAAATTCTCGTTTTTCAGATAATTCTATTTAATTTTCTCATTTAGATTTACTTAATCTCGTGCTTTTTTTAAAGATTTTTGTAGATATTTAATTAATTAGGTATTATTTTAATTCAATTTCAATCAATTTAGAATCAATTAATTTTAATAAAATCGATTACAATTCGAGAGATTCAATATACATATATATTTATAAATCATTAATAATAATTTCGTTATTATTACTATTTTTATTATTTTCTTTATCATTATTTTTATAATAATTTTTGTCATTATTTTTGTCATTGTTATTTTTTTTATTATTTTTTTTTTGTCATTATTTTCGTTAATATTTTCTTTACTATTATTTTTAATAATATTGTCATTATTATTATCTACTATTATCACAACTGTATAACAATAATTATCTACAACAATATTAAGTATAATATTCGTATTAATAAAATAATAAAATTCATACAAATAAATATATATTTTTCTAAAAATTGATTGTATAAAAATGTTCAGTAATCGTACAGATATTTTGGAAACAATATTTCGATGAATTATGGTAAAATAATAACAATGGTTTCTTTATGATAAGACGTTATAACATTTATATTACACATAAGATGTCTTAATTATCCATCGCACTGATTAATATTTTTGTAAGTTGCAAGAAATCTTGCATCATATGTATTCGAAAAGTCAATATTTCGAGTAAATCATTAATAATTAATGACTTATTATTGTTTTATTGTTGAGAAAAAATATAAAATTGAAAATTAACTGACGATTTTTCATTTTTGTGAAAATTTCTGTTTTTAATTCGAAAATTCTTGTATAAAACGATTTTTTTTTACAATTATTGAAAATTAATGTGAAAAATTTTCATTTTTTTTCCTAAAAGTGGAAAACAAAATTTTTATTTCGAAAATATTCTCGTAGAAAATTTTTTTTTAATAAAATTGAAAATTAAATTTTTATTTCGCATATTTTTGTACACATTTTTTTTATCAATTGAAAATTAAAATTAAATGAAAAATTTTCATTCTCTCTCTGTTTTAAAAAAATTGTTTTCAAAAAGTAAAAAAAATTTTTAATTTGAAAATTTCCGTAAACAAATACTTGTTATCAATTGAAATTTAAATGAAAAATTTTTCACTTATCTATAAAAATTTCAGTCGAACGTGAACAAAACATTTAAACTCAAAAATTCAAGTATAACATTTTATTTATAAAAAAAATTCTCGAATAAAAAGTTTATTTTATCATTTAAAAATTGAATTGAAAACATTTTAGAATAAAAATTTCCAGTGTAAAAATTTTTTTATTACTTAAAAATAGAATGGAAATTATTCATTTCGTATTAAAAAAAGAAAAAAATTTCCTAAAATTAGAAAATTTTTGTATAACAATTTTTTTAACAATTGAAAATTAAATCGAATTTAATCATTTCAATAAAAATTCTTATAGGAAAGAAATTTTAATTTCGAATATTCCAGAATATTCTAGTAGAAAATTTCTATTATCAATTGAAGATTAATTCAAAAATTTTCATTTTCCTTCAGTGAAAAAAATTGAAGCTTGAAAATTTTGCATTTTAATAAAATTCTTTTAAAAAAGGTAAAAGAAATTTTTAATTTGAAATTTTCGTAAACAAATATTTGTTATCAATTGAAAATTAAATGGAAACTTTTTCATTTCAAAGAAAATTTCTGTCGAAAGTGAACAAAACATTTAAACTCAAAAATTCCAGAATAAAATAAATTTTATCTGAAAATTCTTGAATAAAATCTTTTTTATTATTTGAAACTTTAATTGAAAATATATTAATCAAAATTTGTAGGGTAAAAATTTTGTATTTAACATTTGTAAAATAAAATGGAAATTATTAATTTCCATAAAAATTCCTAAGAAAAAATGTTTTATTTCTAATATTCTAGTAGAAAATTTCTATTATCAATTGAAAATTGAAAATTAATTGAAAAACTTTTATTCTCTTTCTTAAAAGTGAAAAAAGGTTAAGCTTTCAAATTTTAGTAAAAAATTTTTTTTGTGAATTGAAAATGAAATGAAAAATTTACATTCTCCTTCTTAAAAGTGAAAAAAAAATTAAAGCTTGAAAATTTTAGTAGCCAATTTTTTTTAAATTAAATAAAAATTTTACATGTTAATAAAAATTCTTCTAGAAAGGTAAAAAAGATTTTAATTTGAAAATTTTCATAAACAAACATTTGTTACCAATTGAAAATTAAATGAAATTTTTTCATTTCACAAAAAATTTTCTGCCGAAAGTGAACAAAACATTGAAACTCGAAAAGTTTAGTAGAAAATATATTTTTATCAGAAAATTCAGGAATAAAAATTTTGTTTATCATTTGAAAATTAAATTGAAAACATTTTAATCAGAACTCTTGCAAAAATAAATCTTTAAATCGAAAATTCTTTTATAAAAATTTCTTTTTTAGTTCAAAATTGAATGAAAATTGCTTATTTCGAATTAAAAGAGGAATAGAATTTCCTAAAATTCGAAAATTTTCGTATAATAATTTTTTTGTAACATTTTTGAATATTAAATGGAAGTTAATCATTTCAATACAGTTCGTAGGTAAAGAATTTTTACAATTTCGAATATTCTAGAAGAAAATTTTTATTATCAATTGAAAATTAATTGAAAAATTTTCATTTTCCTTCTTAAAAGTAAAAAAAAATTAATCTTGAAAATTTTTTTATCAATTACATTAAATGAAAATTAAATGAAAATTTTGCATTTTAATAAAAATTCTTCTAAAAAGGTAAAAAAATTTTAATTTGAAAATTTTCATAAACAAACATTTGTTATCAATTGAAAATTAAATGCAACTTTTTCATTTCAATAAAATCTTCTCCTTCTGTCAAAAATGAATAAAACATTTAAATTCGAAAATTTTAATAGAAAATATTTTTTTATCATAAAATTCTCGAATAAAAATTTTGTTTATCATTAGAAAATTAAATTGAAAACATTTTAATCAGAATTCTCGGGAATAAAATCTTTAATTCGAAAATTCTTTTATAAAAATTTCTTCATTAGTAATAAACTGAATAAAAACTGTTAATTTCGAAGAAAAGATTTCCTAAATCGAAAATTGTCGTATAAAATTTTTTTTACAACATATTCGCTTCCTCATAGAGGATGTATTTTAATTGAATTCAATAAAACAATAATTTAAAAAATTAAATTTCAGGATACGTTCTCATGATTGATGTTGGAGCGCAAATTTCCTGGACATCATCTGCACTTCCCTATTTAACAAGTGACATCTCAGAAATTCCCATAACATTCAATGAAAGTGTGTGGCTCGCATCAATCGACAGTATTTGCACAATATTCGGAATAATTCTCTATCCCAGCATAATGGACGTCGTTGGTAGAAAATATACAATTTTAATTTTCACCCTAATTCAAATAATCGCTTGGATAGCAATAAATTTAGCGACAAATTTCATTTCCCTTCTAATATCACGAATAATAGTCGGCATTGGTTACGGTGGTATATTTAGTTTTCTAACAATTTACATTGGTGAAATAGCCGAGAAAAATTTACGTGGCATGTTTCTTTCAATTGACAAAATATGCGTGAATTTCGGTGGTTTTATTTTAAATTCAGTTGGAGCATTTTTATCCTATAGAACAATGAATTTAGTTATGATTTCAATACCTCTGATTTCTCTCAGTTTATTTCCGTTAATGCACGAGACACCGTATTATTATTTAATGAAGAATCGAGAAGAAAATGCTATTCGTGCATTAATGAAATTGAATTGCAAAGAGAATTCCATGGTGGTGGATGATATTGAGAGAATTAGGAGAACAATCGAGGAATGTGGAAGTTCGAAGAAATATGCAATTCAAGAATTATTTAGTGACAAAGGCAGTCGAAGGGGTTTGATTATTAAAATAATCACCGATTTGACATACGCTTTCTCGGGTTTTATGGTTATTCAAACATATGCGCAGGATATTTTCGAATATACTGGATCGTCAATGAAACCGGCTTATTCAGTTATGTTGATAAGTGGAGTACAATCTTTGGTTGGTTTCTCTTCGGGTTTTTTAGTTGATTATTGGGGTAGAAGACCAATTTATCTACTCTCAGGAATAATGTCATCAATTTCTTTAACTTCAGTTGGAGTTTTCTTTTTTTTCAAATATTTCCTTGAAATCAACGTCGATAATTTCTCATGGACACCATTAGTTTTGTTGACATTCTTTCTAATTGTCGCCAATATGGGTCTATCGACAATACCACATATTTATTCTGGTGAATTATTTTCTGTTAAAGTTAAAGGCTTGGCCGTTATGATATCGTCAATTTTCGTTGGATTCTCATTATTTTTGGCAAAATTTATGACACCATTTTTAAATAAACTCGTTGGTATTTATTCAGTATTCTGGTTATTTTCGAGTGTTTGTTTCATCGGACCGCTTTGTATTTTTTTCATTGCACCGGAAACAAAGGGGAAAAATCTCGAGGAAGTTTTAAGTATGCTACGCTCTTAATTTTTTTTTTTTAAATTCCAGACTTCGCACTCGATAATTAATTTTGAAAAATTAGCAAAAAGTAGCTTTCAAACTAAAAAAAAAGTAGTAAAAAAGTATGTATCTATCACAAAATTAAACTTGATGACCAAAAAAATATCGTCTTTGAAACTTCACAAAACTGACAAAAATTCTATTCTATATTTTATTTTCTTGACTTTTTCCTAATTTTCATCAAAATAATATTCACTTCTTTCTTATCCTGCTAATAAATTGAATTCCTGCAACAAAATTTATTTTTCATGAAAGAATTAAAATTTTTTTCGAAATAACTGAATTTGCATTTTAAAAATTTTTAATTTAACTTTTTTAAATTTCTCTAAAGAATTCAATTATTTTCAATAATTTTCATAAAATTCTTTCAAAGAATTCAATTAATTTCAGTAAAATTTTAATTATATTTCTCGAAAGAATTTAATTACTTTTAAAATTTTTAATGAAATTCTTCGAAACAATTAAATTATTTTCAAAAATTTGAATGATTTTCATAAGTTTGAATATTCTTTGGAGGAATTCAATTAGTTTCAATAAAATTTCTTGATAAAATTGAATTATTTTCTAAAAATTTTATAATATTCCTTGTGAGAATTCAATTAATTTCAGTAGAATTTTAATTTAGTACGTTTCTGTTCATGAAAGAATTTAAATATTTATAAAAATAATTAAATTCTTGCGAAGAATTTTATAAAAAATTTTAAATAATTGATTTTTCTCGACTAATTTTATGCAAATTCTCATTTAAATAATTGAATTCCTGAGAAATTTTTATTATTTATGAAAAGAATTGAATTCTTACGAAGATTATTAAAAAAAAATTTTTTTAAATAATTGAACTCTGTTTGGAAATTTTATGAAAATCGTTGAAATTCGAAAAGTTTTAAATAATAATTTTTTTGAAAATGATATTGAATTCCTAAACAGCATTTGATTATTTATAAAAATAATTGAATTCTTGGGAACGATTTTACTATAATTGTTTAAAATAATTGAATTTCTAAGAAAAAGTTTATTACTTTTAAAAAGAATTGAATTCTTCTGGTAAATTTTATTATTTGTAAAAATAATTGAATTCTTCAAGAGAATTTAAAAAAAACATTTTTTTAAATAATCAATTTTTTCAAAGAAGTGAAATTATTAAATTTTTAAGAATAATTACATTTTTTGAACAATTTCTCAAACATTGTATTAAAAATAATTGAAATTCTGCAAAGAATTTTATTATTTGTGAAAATAATTGAATTTTGCAAATAATTTTATTAAAATGACTCAAAATAATTGAATTTTCAGGAATAATTTTGTTCTTTATCGACATACTTAATTGAATTGTTTCGAAGAATTATTTATGTAAATAATTAAATTTTTAGAAAAAATTTTATTAAAATCTAAAATAATAATCGAATTATTTAAAAAAAATTAATTAAAATTGTAGGTATTAAAAATTATTGATTTCTTTCAAACAATTTTATTAAAATATTTGAAAATAATCAAATTCCTGTGAAAAATTTAAATATTTTTGTCAATAATTTAATTCTTTCGAAGAATTTTTAAGAAATATTTTTTAAAATAATTAATTTTTTCGAGGAATTGAAATTATTAAATTTTTAAGAATAATTACATTTTTTGAGCAATTTTTGTAAAATTGCATTAAAAATAAAAAAAAATGTATTAAAAATAATTGAAATCCTGCGATGAATTTTATTACTTGTGAAAATAATTGAATTTTGCAAAGAATTTTATTAAAATTTTCAAAAATAATTGAATTTCTGAGAAGAATTTTATTATTTATGAAAAAAATTGAATTATTGCGAAAAATTTTATTAAAATGTTTAAAAAGAATTGAATTTCTGTAAAAAATGTTGTTATGTTTGAAAATAAATGAATTCTTGGTTAGAATTAAATCAACAATTTTTTTAAAAAATTGAATTTCCATGAAAATTTTTTTAGAAAATGCTATTCTAAATTAATTGAAATCCTGTGTAAAATTTCATTTTATTTATGAAAATGATTGAATTTTGGATGAATTTTATCAATTTTTTTTTAAATAATTGAATTCTTTTGCGAAATTTTATGAAAATTCTAGATATTGAAAATAATTGAGTTTCGAATATTTTTTGAAAATAATTGAATCGTTTTAAGGAATTTGATTATAATTTTTGAGAATAGCTTTTTGATTTCTAGTATTAGCGAATTTAAAGTAGTGTAAATTCTAAAAAAAAAAACAGAAATAGTAGCTTTTAGTGGCTGAAATCTAAAAAAAAGTATCAAAATAGTAGCACAAGGAAAAAAAAGTAGTAAATAGTCGGTTTTAGTAGATTAGTGCGAAGCCTGAAATTCTCTTTCTTTTAGTTTAAGGACATTTTATCCATTATGACCTCATAATGGTTCAAATGCCGTTAAAAAAAATTTGAATTAATTTTAAATAATATATAGTTTCTTTTTTCTACTTTATAAGAAAAAAGGAACTAGTGACTGCGATACTTATTGTAAAATAGAATTAAAAATATTTCTAATTATCAAATGTAATTATGTACAGGAACATAAATAGTGGGACAGTGGTCCAGAATATAAAAATGGACTTTTTTTTATATTGTATCCTCGTTACTTGGAGGAGGTTGCCATCCTCCGAAAATTCTCTCGATTTCTTGCGCAACGGCAATTGTCAAATGATCGCAATTTGATTTAGCAGCGATCTAAAATTTTACAGTTACAATTTTATTATATTATTTTCTATCCTCATTTTTTTTTTTTTTGAATTATTAGAATAATAATTATTACTCACTTGCAATCCAACTGGAAGGCCCTTCTCCGTAATGCCCATTGGACATTGAGTGACCGGAAGTCCGAGGGAATTGAAAATCGTCATAAATGTAGAATAGTAAACGTATTGCAGCATTTCATAGTGAAAAAATGCCGAAGTGGAAAAAGTTGGACAAATTAAGATGCCATCGTCTCCTAATAAATCCTGTGAAAAAAATAGTTATTAAAGAAACAATTTTTTTGGAGAACTACATTGTAGAAAATGCACGAGAAAATTTAAGAGAAAATAAAACAAAATGAATTAATAATATAAAAAATGAAATTGAGAATAAAACAGGAAATAGAAAATTAAATAGAAGAAATATATTGAAAATAAAATAGAATATAAGAAAGAAAATAGAAAGTAGAGAATTAAATAGAAAAAAAATAAAATAGAAATTAAAATAGAACATAAAATGGACAACAGAATATAAAATTGAAAAAATAAGAAACAGAGAATAAAGTAGAAAATAGAATAGAAAATAAAACAAAATAAAATAAAAATTAAAAATTAGAAAAGTAAAATAGAGTAGAAAATAGAATAAAATATATGTAGAATAGAAATTAAAATAGCAAATAAAACAGAAAATTGAAAATAAAAAAGGAAATAGAGATAAAATAGGAAATAAAGAATAAAATATAAAAAAATATTGAAAATAAGAAATAGAAGACAAAAGAGGAAATAAAGAATAAAATAGAAAATATAGAGCAGAAAATAAAAAATTAAAGTAAAAATAAAATAGAAACTGAAGTAGCAAATAAAATAGGAAATAGAGATTAAGGTAGTAGTCGCGCTGCTGGCTCTGGCCAAAGGTTTTCCAGGCCGCTTACTAGAGTGGGGCAGTGAGAGTGAGAGAGACAGTTTAACTCCCTACTCTATTCGTTCGTATGAAAATTCGTATAATTTAGTTATTTTTTTAACTTTCTATCAATATATTTATAGTTTGGTGCGGTCAAAAAATGTCATGTTTTTTCTATTCATTTGTTTCATCTAATTGAATACTTTGGTAGTTTTATTTCAAAATCTGACGATTAGTTATCATATAAATAATTATTAAACAAAATTAATACATGCATTGGGTGCTCCCTCCATGCAAAATGTATGAACTTTGAATTCATTTTTTGAAGCTTTGAAACGGTCAAAATTAATGAAATTGGTCTCATTCTGTAGATAAATACTTCAGGAATAAGTATGCAAAATTTAAAAAAAATCTGACGAAAACCATTTTACGCGACTAATACCTTAAAATAGAAAACAGAAAAAAGAAACGTGAAAATATAATAGGAAATAGGGAATAAAATGGAAAACTGTAAATAGAAAAGTGAAAATAAAATAAGAAATTAACCAGAAAATGGAAAATAAGAAAGGACATAAAATAGAAAATAAAATAGAAACTAGAATAGAAAATAAAACTGAATATAGAAAATTAAATAGGTAGTAAAAAATAAAGTAGAAAATAGAAAATAAAATAAAATATAAAATGTAAAACAAAAATGAAAATAGTAAATAAAGCAGAAAATAGAAAATAAAATATGAAATAAAGTAGAAAGTAAATTAAAAAATATAAAATAAAATAGTAAACAGAAAATAAAAATTAAAATATGAAATAGAATAAAAATAAAAAATTGAAAGTAAAATAGGAAAATGGAGAATAAAATAGAAAAATAAAAAATAGAAAAGTGACGATAAGCTTAATTAAAGAAAATAAAATAGGAAATAGAACAAAAAATGAAAAATAAAATAGAAATTAAAGTAGAAAAAAGAAAAAAGGAATTGTAGAATAAAATAGAAAAAATCTATTGAAAATAAAAGAGAAAATAGAAAATTAAATAGAAAATAAAGTACAAAGTAGAAAATAAATTTAAAATAAAATGTAAAATAGAAATTAAAAGTAAAGTAGAAAATAGAAAATGAAATGGAAAATAAAGCAGAAAATGGAAAAATAAAATTCGAAATAAAATAGAAACTAAAGTAGCAAATAACATACAAAATAGAAAATGCAATAAAAATAAATTCTAAAATTGAAATTAAAATAGAAAACAAAACAGAAGATAGAAAATAAAATAAGAAATATAATAGAAAGTAAAGTAGAAAATAGCAAATAAAATAGAAAATAAAGAATAAAATGGAAAAGAAAATAGGAAATAGAAAATAGTGTAGAAAACAGAGAATGAAATAGAAAATGGAAAGTAAAATACAATAAAAATTGAAAACTGAAACTAAAATAGAAAATAAGAAAGAAAATCGAAAAAAATTGGAAATAAAGAATAAATCAAGAAATAGCAAAAAAAAAGAGAAAACGAAATAGGAAATAGAGAATAAAACAGAAAATAGAAAGTAAAACAGAAAATAAATCAAAATATTAAAATTAAAATAGAAAATAGAAAAGAAAATAAATAAATATAAAAGCAAAATAAAAATGAGTTTTAATTCAATTTTCCTGTTTTTTTACCTCGATATATTTTTTAACAGAATCATTTTTCTTTATCATTCGATTTTTAAATGATTTTGGTAACATATCCACGGTTTTCTTGACGAGACCATAAAATATTGCATGGAAATTGTGAGGCGATAAAAAGCACAAGTACTTCAATATTTCCAAATTTACACTTTTCCATTTCTGAAATAATGTCAAAAATTAATACCTAACTTTCTAAATATAATAAATAAATAATAAGCAAGAAAAAAAAAGAATAGAATTATAAGAAAAAATTCTTGGTAAAATTTTTAAACTTTTTGTTTGACTAAAATTTCCACACAAGCAAATATCCGTTTCTGATTTTCAGATACTGTCCCTTATCTTAATCTTAAATGTGAAATAATCTTGATTTTCAATTATTTCTATTTAAACACTTGTCGTAAGTAAATTTTAACATTAAAATCAAACATTTATAAACATTTATTTATTTATTTTTTTATAATCTTCAATAGTTGAAATTGTGTTACACACTTTATGATAATCTTTATTATTACTGATTAAATCTTTCACAATTGGAAAAATTTGGATTTTTCCCTTCTTTTATTTTCATTTATTGTATATTATGAATATAAAAAACAATGTACAATTATAATAATTTGTAATAAGGAAATTGCCTGTAAAAATCGATTTACAAAAATAGATAAATCTATTAACTATTTGATAATGTTAGGTAAAAATTTGAAAAAAAAATTTTCCACCTAGAAAAAAAAATATTGAAAGAAAATTGTTCATAACTTTTATGAGTTTTCTAAATTAATGCACTAATTCTAGGTATTGTTAATGATATTTTAATTACGGTCTGATTTAAATATACAAAAGAAAAACTTTCCATTTGTAATTGTTTTTCTTTCTTATTTATTTTTGAAAAAACGAAAAATTTTCTACACGTGACTCATTATTAAATAATATTGATTCACAAATACGATTTTTTTGTTGTAAATACAAATTTATACCGAATTTGATTTTTTGAATAAATATAAAAATAAATTTAATAAAATTCTGATTAATAATTTTATTTGTATATCTGAATAAATAGATTAAATTTTTATTTACGTTGAAAACGAAAGTAAATAAAAAAATAATAAAAGACCAAAAAATTTAATTTTTAATAATAATAATAATTTTAACATTAGAGAGATTAATATTAATTAATAGATACTAATTAATAATAATTTTAATGTAACAGAATTTCAACTGTACCTATAGTAAGATTATATTTTATAAATATTTTCAAAGAATTTTAATTTTCTGTTTCGGTTTAAAAAAGAATTTTTAATTTTCGAGAAAAAAAAAATTAAAAAAGCAAACAAACTTTTTTGTTTAACAAATACATACTTTCGGATCGGTTCCTTTCATAAAAATAGATTCCACTCCATCGATTTGAACAATACTTATTGTTGAAAACTCAAAGGCATCCTCCAGATCTTTCAATTGAATCTGAAAACAAAAATGTTACGACAAAAATTATTTTATATTTTCGATTTTTCTCTCTTTGCTTGATAAAAAAAAATACTTAAAAATTATATTACTTTTTTTGTGTTGAAATTCTAAATTACCTTTTGAACTGTAACACCATGGATATTCTCTAAATGTTTAGTGAGTTGATTTATTGCTAATTTAACGTCTTTGTCAATAGTGTTAATTATGCCTTTATCACTTTTGAAATCCATGTAGAAATAACGGATTTTCTTTAAATCCACCTGCAATTAGAAAAAAATATTAATTTTTTTTTGGTGTTTATCATTTGTTTCAAAACTTAATTTTAACTCGAGAGATTTTTTATCATTTACACAAAATAATAAAATTTTATTTCTCTTAATTTATTTTTAGAAACAAAAAATATTTTATTACTTTGAAGAGAGAAGTATCGATAGTTAATTATTGAATTGTTTATATTTTTTGGAATATAAAATTTATTTTATAATGAACAAAAAAGCAGGAAAACCTTTTTATTTTTTATTTAGACTAGAATTTTTTAGAATTATAAAAATAAATGAAAAGAATTCTAAAGTTCTGCAAGTCAAAAACGAAATTTATTTACTTCTTTTTTATATTAAAACTTTTTTACGTATTTTTATTTACTATTATTTAGCAAAAACGAAATTTATTTACTTCTTTTTTATATTAAAACTTTTTTACGTATTTTTATTTACTATTATTTAGATTGTTTTACTTATTTTTGTTTATTTAATTAAAATTTTATAAATTAAAAACAAAAGGAAAAAATCAATATAAAGTTCCTTGATAATAATGTTTGTCAAAGAAATTCAATTATTTTCAACAATTTTTGTCAAATTCTTAAGAAGATTTTGATTAATTTTAGTACAATTTTCATTTAAATTTCTCCAAAGAATTAGGTACATTTTTTTCGAAATAATTAAATTTGCATTTTTACAAATTTTAAATTAATTTTTTTTTAATTTCTCGAAAGAATTTAATTATTTTACACAATTTTCATAAAATTCTTAAGAAGAATGCAATTAATTTCAGTACAATTTTTATTAAATTACTCGGAGAATTTAAGTTTTTTTTCGAAACAATTGAATTTGTGTTTTTACAAATTTTATTCATTTTTTAATTAGTTTCATCAATAATAAAGTGCTTCACAGAAATTCAATTCTTTTGAATGCAATTTTCATAAAATTTCTCAAAAAATTCAATTATTTTCAATATTTACTTGTTTAATTTTTAATTTTAATAAAATTCTTCGCAAAAATGTAATTATTTTCAAAAATTTTAACAAAACTTGGGGCAAGAATTTAATTAATTTCAATACAATTTTAATAAAATTTATTTCTGTCCAATTTTAATCCAATTTTTCGAAAGAATTCAATTATTTTTAAACATTTTAATAATATTCCTTGTAAGAATTCAATTATTTTCAAAATTTTTTATAAAAATCTTTAGAAGAATTTAATTATTAATTTCAGTAAAATTTTAATTAAATTTCTCGAAAGAATTGAAATTTTCTTCAAAATAATTTAATTTGCATTTTTACAAATTTTAATTTCATTTTTTTAAATTTCTCGAAAGAATTCAATTATTTTCAATAATTTTTCATAACATGCTTGAGAATTATTTTCAAAAATTATTTTAAAAAATTTTTATAAAATTTGTTTATTTGAATTTATTTTTTTTTTAAAATTTTAATGATATTCTTCGAAAAATGCAATTATTTTCAAAAATTTGAACAAAATTCGGGACAAGAATTTAATTATTTTCATAAGTTATAAAATTCTTCAAAGGAATTCAATTAATTTCAATATAATTTTAATAAAATTTCTTGAAAGAATTAAATTTATTTCTGTCCAATGTTAATTCAATATTTCGAAAGAATTCAATTATTTTTAAACATTTTAATATTATTCCTTGTAAGAATTCAATTATTTTCAAAATTTTTCATAAAAATCTTTACAAGAATTAAATTATTAATTTCAGTACAATTTTAATTAAATTTCTCGAAAGAATTAAAATTTTCTTCGAAATAATTGAATTTACATTTTTACAAATTTTTATTTAATTTTTTTCAATTTCTCGATAGAATTCAATTCTTTTCAATAATTTTCATAAAATTCTTTAGAAGAATTTAATTAATTACGGTACAATTTTATTTGAATTTCTCGAAAGAAGTTAATTATTTTAAAAAATTTAATAAAATTCTTCGAAATTCAATTTTTGCGCAGAATTTTTTTCCAATTTTTGAAAATAATTGAAAAAAAAATTCGGCGCAAAAATTGAATTATTTTCATAAGTTATAAAATTCTTCGGAGGAATTCAATTAGTTTAAATTCAATTTTAATAAGATTTCTCGAAAGAATTGAATTATTTTCCAAAATTTTTATAAATATTCCTTATAAGAATTCAATTAACTTCAGTACAATTTTAATTTACTACGGTTTTGACTTTATGCTAGTTCGCAATTTTTGAAAAAATTTATATTGAAAATTACTCTCTTTATTTGAACGTTAATAATTTTTTGAACACAATTTAAAAACTAAAAGATAATAAACAGATTCAAAATAGAATTTTTTGTTAAATAATTTAAAAATATCTTCAAGAGAAGAAATATTAAAATAATTAATTTAATCAATTATTCAATTCGGAGTCAACTCTAAAACTATTTTAAAATTATTAACTCAATATTTTTCAGAAGTAAAAAAAATTCACTATTTTGATTGATTTAAATTACAAAAATTCATTAAAATAAATTCAAACTGAATTGAATTTGTTAAAAGAAAATTTTTTTTTATATAAATAAAGTAAATAAAAATTTTGAATTTTACCAAAAATAGTCCGTTATTTTAATAAAAAAATATTGACAAAAATTTAATCTTTTCTGAAAATTCCTCTTTTTATGAGAAAATATTATATTTAAAAAAAATTGAAGATGGAAACTTTTTCTTCTTTTTTTGTTTAAATTTCATTTATTGTCATGTAATAAGAATGTTGTTGATATCAGTGAAAAAAGATTCCATTTTACGGTAATTCAAATATAATTAGTGTGTATAATAAAATCCAGAGTTAAAGTTTTCCGATATGGAAAATCTACTCGAATATAAAGTCGCTCTCAATTCTAATTGGTAAGTTGAAATTCCTTTTGGTGGGAGTCATTATTATTAGGGGGACACAAAACTCATCAATCTTGAATTGAGAATTTTCATAAACGTGTTAGTTTCATTTTCGGCTTTCTCTCATTAACAACTGAAAAAAACTCGAGCAAATATGTCTATTGAATATTCATCAAGAGAATAAATTTTTGTGAATCCATTTGTTTGTGTTGCAAAAAAAAAAAGAAGAGAGAAAAATTTCCTCATTTTCCATCGAAATCTTGAGGGTTGCAAATATAATTTGTCTATTTTTATTCAATTTGAAGGTGAGTCTTTCTTTTTTGCTAATTAAATAATTTCGTTGACGTACTTTTTGACTGAGACGGTTCGAAACTTGTGGATCTTGACTAATAACTTTGAGGAACATTGGAAGATCTTGAGCGAAACGTGTCATTGGTGCAATGCAAAAATATGACGGCCAACTTTCATCGGCACAACCTGGCATATGACCGGAAACTGAAATCCATCCTGAAAATTATTATTTTCGATTAGTTTGTTATTGATTATTTTTTTAATATTTTATTTAACGTTTCGCTCAAAATTTTTTAATTGTGTTTTAGAATTAAAATTTCTTTCCTGGTGTTATAGCTCTCAATTATTTCAATATTCAATTTCAATTCTGAAAAATAAATATTTTACAATTATTTAATTTTTCTCGTAGTGTTCATTTTAATTTTTTTTTAAATTCAATTTCAATTCTGCAAAAAAATAATTTAGAATTGAATTTTTCCTCTAGTTTTAAGTTTCAATTATTTTAATATTCAATTTCAATTCTGAAAAAAATTTACAGTTAAACTCTTCCCTAGTGTTTCTTTTCAATTATTTTAATTCAATTTCAATTCTGAAAAATATATATTTTATAATTAAACTTTTCCCTAGTGTTTCTTTTCAATTATTTTAATTCAATTTCAATTCTGAAAAATATATATTTTATAATTAAACTTTTTTCTAGTGTTAATTTTCAATTATTTTAATATTCAATTTTAATTCTAAAATAAATATTTTACAAATAAGTTTCTAAAATTAATTTTTCTAATATTAAATTTCAATTCTGAATAATGAATATTTTACAGTTACATTTTCCTTTTGGTTTTATTTTTATTATTATTAGTGATTAAAAAATCATTTTAATATTCTATTTTAATTGTGAACTAAAATATTTTCAATGAAATTTTTCTCTTGGTGTCAATTTTCAATTACAATTTCAATATTTAATTTCAATTCTAAAAAAATAAATAAAAAATTTAGTCTGTAAATTAATTATGAAATTGCAAATTTCTCTTTCGATTTTGTAAAAAAAATAGATACTTCAAATATTTTTTTTCGTGTTATCATAGCTGATAAAAAAATATTAATCGTTTATTGATATTATCCAGTTATTTTTTTGGAAATTGTATTAGAAAAGGAAGAGTAATTTTTATTGAAAAAGAATTGAAATAAAATATTAAATAAAAAAGAAAGAAAAAATATGAAAAAAAAAATATATTTTGTGGCTTTTTCAATTTTTTTTTTTTTTGGTATTTTTTGGTGATTGAGAAAATAAGTTCACTTATTCATTAAATTCTTATGATGCAATAGTTCTAATGATTCATTAATGACAAAGAAAAAAATTTGTCTTCTATTGAACGAAGCTTATTAACATTATCGGTGTCAGGAAAAAAAATTATGTCTAATTTTTTTTCTATCTCTATAATTGAGAAATAGTGTATTTAAAGGAAATTATAGTTTACTCGCCTGGTGTAGGTTTATGACCAAATACGCCACAAAACATAGCTGGTAATCGACAAGAGCCTCCAATGTCTGATGCGAGACTAAGAACAGATGCACCTGATCCCAAAAGTGCGGCCTTTTAACAAACAAAATTTTTAATTAATTAATATTTTGAGAAAATGTAAAAAAATTTTTATTCATTTTTTATGCAATATTTCAATTATAAAAATTATTTCCTTTGAAATTTTTGCCAAACGCAGAGAAAATTAATTACTTACTGTAATTAAAGTTAATTAATTAATTAATAATTAAAAATATGAAGGATAATAAAAATATTATTACCTATTTTTATTATTCTATAGGTGAAAAAAAATCATTCTTTCTTAGTCAAATCAAAAGTAAATAATTTCTTTAACTATTTTCAAAAAATTTTAATTGCGATTTTTAAAAAACCTCATTTTTCAGAATAAAATGTTTCAAATTTCATTAATTTCTTCAAGGAATTTAATTTAAAACCCTTTTAAAATTTAATTATTTCCTGAAATTCCTATTATAACGCTTTAAATATTCAAATATTTTCTAAAATTTTAACTGACATTTTTTTTTAAATCAATTTCTATCAGAATTCAACGACGAGAATTGAATTATTTAAATAGAATAATTTTTGTAAATTCATAAAATAATGTTTTTTCAAACATAAATTTAAATTTATAGATAATTTTTAAAGACGAGAAAATAAAATTCTTTAAAATATAAAATTTTTTACAAAATTTCCAATTGTTTCAATTTCTTAAAATTATTCTCGGGAATTCAAGTATATCTTGAAAAAATTTTAACTACCTACTATTTTTCAAAAATCAAATTTTTTCAGAATTTACAAATTAAATAAATATTTAAATATTTTCTGTTCTTTATTTTCTAAAATTTTCGAAATACTTTCAATGTAAAACCATTGGAAAAATTTTTTACGAAAATTTGAACTGCAAGTCTTGCAAAATTCAATTATTTTTTTAGAATTTTTGAATAATATTATTGAAAACTTTTAATTTTTAAGGAAGCTAAACAAATTAATAATTTTTTGTATTTAAATATTATTTGACTTTTACAGCAATTAGCATTTCAAAGATTGAAATTTAAAAACTTTTTGAAATTTTATTGTAGTTCAAAAGAATCCTACTTTAACACTTCTAATTATTTCTTAAAGTTTTAACTAAAATTCTTTTTTAAATCAATTCTTATCAGAATCGAATTATTTAAATACAAAAATAAATAATTCATAGAATATATAATATAATAATAATAATAATAATAATAATAATAATAATAATAATAGTAATTAATAAACATAATAATTAATATAATTAGAAAAAATATATAAAACAATAAAAAAAAAATATCTGGTAAATAATAAAAAGAGTAGTGCTCTTAACCTTTAGATGAGAAAATACATTTGAACTTAAACTCAATCTAGTTTTGCTGAATTCCAATTTACTTTTGTCACTTTTTGACATTAATAAACACGCAATTTCTATGTATGTTTATAGTCACACAAATATGCATTACAGCAATATACATAGGGCTGTGAGATATCTATTTCGCTTAAAACGTATCAAATGAATGGAATTTCGTAACAAAAATCACCTACAGCACGCAAACTATTCAAAAACCGGCTTTGAATAAATTTATTTGCGTAAACATGAATAATCAAAGTTTATACAATTTCCTTTTTCCATTAGAATGAAAAAGTAATTGAAAGGAACTTGACGTCAAATTTTTGCAAGTTATAATCATTTTTCTATTTCTTTTCTATTCTCAGTTTGTAAATAGTTGGAAAAAAATTATTTTTTTTGTATTTTATTGTTAATAATAATAATTAGTGTGTGGAATTAAATTATTTTGATAGAATCAATCTGTGATAATTGAATTTTATCAAGCAAAATATATCTAAACATGTAAATAAATACCCAAATAATTAAATAAATAAATAAGTAAATAAATAAATAAATAAATAAATAAAAAAAAAATAATAGTTTCAGTAAGAGCAATAAAATGGATTTATTCCACTAATTTTCTAGTAATAATAATAATAATAATAATAATAATAATATGTATTTATTTATTATTATTAATTATTTATGTTTATTTATTTACTTATTCAATTTTCCATTATTATTTTATAGTTAATAAAAAAAGTATTTTTATAGTATAAAATTATTTCTACGTACAGTGTATTGAAAAGTAAATTGAATTTTTTTCAATCGCAGGAAAAGGTAGCGAAAAAAAAATTAAGGAAACATTATGAAATTTGGAAATTTGTTCTGTTTGAATTCGTCTTCAAGGACTTTGGATATTCAAGAAAAAGCAATCAGCGATAATGAATCTAGAAAAAAAAGTGCCTACCTTCGACAATTTATTTCGATTCTTTGTGGTAAGTTTTCTATAAAAATATTACTTTTCGTTCTCTTCATTTCTTTTCTTTTTTTTTTTTAAACTTTTTACATTCAGAAATAATGGTGATTTTCAAATAGAAACAAAACAGTTTTTTTTTCAAAATCAAATTAATAATTATTAATAATAATTGTTGAAATAATTAATTATTAATTAATTATGATTATTGAAATAATAATTATTGATTATAATTATTTAAATAATTAATTATTTAAATAATAATAGGAAAGTAATTAATAAATAATTTAGTTCCATAAATTTATGAAAAATGTAATGTAAACTATGTAAACTTTTAGTTTAACAAATTAATTTCATTTTTGATAAAATTTCTAAAGTTTGTTTAATAAATCAATAAATAAATTTATTTATTTATTAATCAATATTAGTTGAAAATATATATTTAAGAAGAAAACATTTTTTCTGAGTGTATTTAGTTTTTTTTATATCGGCTTTAAAATTCGGAACAATACTCAAAGATAACATACGGTGAAAAATAAAATCGTAAATTCCAAATCATTTGTTTTCTACATTTATTAGGGCAGAAGAATTTAAGAAATAAATTTTATTAATTTAAAAGTAAATAATTATTTTTCAAACAAATTTTCAGTCAGAAAAATTAAAAAAAAATATTTACTTCAATTCAAACACAGATTTTAACCAATATTTATATATTCGACTAAAAAAAAAGAAAAAATTAAATAATTATTTTTGAATTAAAAAGTAAAAATTGTAAAAATGTTATTTGAATAAAAAATAATAAATAATGTAAAATTAAATATTTTTGAATATAAAATAAAAAACGCAAATTAAATAATTTTGAATGAAAAATAAAAAACGTAACTTAAATATGAATAAAAAATATAAAAATAAGTAAAATAAATAAATAAATTAATAAAAAGTAAAATTAAATTTTAAAAAATGAATGAAAAGATTAAAAAACATTGAAATTAAAAAATGAATTCGGTCACAATTAATAATAGTAAAATAACTCTGCAACAATGAAACGTTTGTTTTTCAGAAATTATAATATGCTAATAATATGTTAATTAATATTGAATTTTTTAGTGGTAAATTGCGGAAAATATTTTATTTTTCACCGTAAACGTTGTGTATAATTACAAATTTTCTATTATTAACTTTTGAAGTTAGAGATGACAGTGCAACAAAAATTCTGTGGCCTGTTTTTGAGGCCCGACGAATGCACGGAAAAACAAGTTTGTTTTTTACAAACTACTAACAGGAACAGTAATTTTGAGGCATGTATAAGAGAAAGAGAAAAAGAATAAACTTTCTCACAAAATGAGACAAAAAATTTTTTTTCCTTGCTAAAAATAAAAAAATATCTCATATACTTTTATATTTCTTGCCTTATTGTTACATGTCCTATAATGTCTTCAAATACGTAAGTTATGACAAGTTCTTTTGTATATTGTTATTCGTTATAAATAACAGTTACTATTCGAACCGCACACACATCTAATTGGATTAGTTTTCAAAGATTTAAAAATTTAGAGAGAGAAAAAAATACTTTTCCATTTTTTAATCTGGAAATGTTTAATTTATTTATTTACAAGATAAACGGAGATGCAAAAAATTTAATTATCTTTTTTATTCTTTTTGGTAAAAAATTTTTTGGAATAATAGTAAAATTATTTTATTATTATTATTACTGATATTATTTCATTATTATTTTTTTTGATAAACAATTTTATTTAAATTAAAAATTAAAATACCAATTATTATAATTACTTTTTATAAACATTGTTAATCTGGTTAATTAATTTTAATAATTATTTTACTAATATTTTTTATCATGCAATTTTGTTGAATAATAATGTAGCAATCACTATTTAATTGTTATTATTATTATTATGCAAATTAAAAAAGTTTTTTATTTTCAAATATTAATTTCCGTTTAGGAATAATTTCAGATTCAAAATTTTTAAAAATCTAAATTTTAACTAATTTTCTAATAAAATATTATTCTTTATTGTTTTAAAAACTTTAATAAAATTCTTCGCAGGAATTCAATTATTTTTAATACGATTTGAATAAAATTTATCAAAAGAATTCAATTATTTTTCAAAATTTGATAAAATTTTACGCAAAAATTTAAATGACGATGTATTTTGAAAAATTTTAATAAAATCTTAGCAAGATTTTAATTATTTTCATAATAATTAATAAAATTTCTCCAAAGAATTTAAATATTTTCGCAAATTTTAATAAAATTTTTAGCAGGATTTCAATTATAGATTTATAATTTTTCGCAGGAATTTAATTATTTTAAAAATTTTAATTTAATTCGTTTTGAGAAATTGAAATATTTTCAATACAATTTTAATTACGTTTCTGGAAAAAATTCAATTGTTTTCGAAAATTTTAATTAAATTCTTAGCAAAATTGCAATTATTTTCATAATTTTTCGCAGAAATTTAATTATTTTAAAAAATTTTAATTTTTGTATTCATTTTGAGAAATTAAAATATTTTCAATACAATTTCAATTTCAATTATTTTCATAAATTTTCGCAGGAATTTAATTATTTTAAAAAATTTTAATTTAATATTCGTTTTGAAAAATTGAAATATTTTCAATACAATTTCAATTACATTTCTGGAAAAAATTCAATTCTTTTCTAAATTCAACTATTTTGAAAAATTTTGGTACAATTCTTTATAAGAATTCACTTATTTGTAATTTACATTTGTAATAAAATTCTTATCTAGATTTCAATTATTTAAAAAAAAAATTGTAATAAAATTTTTCGCAAGAATTGAATTATTTAAAAAAAATTGTAACAAAATTTCTCGAAAGAATTGTATTATTTAAAAGAATGTTAATTATAACATTCTTCGCAGAAATTCAATTATTTTCAAGATTTTTAATAAAACTCTTTATAAGAATTTTAATATTTTTAATAAATTTTAATTAAATGTTTCGTTAGAATTAAATAGTTTTGAAAGATTTTAATGAAATATTTCGCAAGGAATTTTATTATTTTGAAATATTTTAATAAACTATATAAGAATTCAATTATTTCAGATTTAAAATTACAAAAGAAATATTTTTAATTGAAAACAATTTGGTTTAATTCACCTTGTGTTAAGTAATTAAATTATTTATTTATTATTTTTTTATTGAACAATTTTCTTGAATAATATAAAACTTATCATTCAATTATTTATTTATTTTATAATAAATAATTTCCAATCGTTTCGAAAATGCTTGTGCGTGATTTTCTTTAATTATTCTTTCTCCGTTATCTAATTGAGATTAATTATATTTTCCAATTTTTAATAACAAAGTTATGGTTTTTTGCAGATAAGGATTTTTTAAATATTATTTTTGTTCACATATTTTAAAAATGAATCATTTTGAAAGTGCTTGTGCGTAATTTTTTTTTTAATTATGCATCCTCATTGTCTCATTAATAAATATTAATTAATAATGAAGAATTTAATTTTTTGAATTTCAATTCTGCTTTCAACTTGTTAAAAATGACAAATTACGCAATTTTGTCGATTCTGTAATACAATAAAAGTCTATTTAAAACTATTATCTAAGAGATGCTAATGAGGCACTCTTTGAACTCAAAGACTTCCGGAAAAAATATTATTTTTACATATTTAAATAATTTAACAATTTTGAAATTTATTACTTCCTATATTATCTTATTCTCTTGAGTGGAAAGTGAGAAAATTCACCACAAAATATTTGTGGCGCTAATTAATTATTTTTTTTGTTTATTTATTATTTTTTATTCTATATCTTTTGTATATTTTATTTTTTATTTCACTTATTTGTTCTATATTTTTATTTTTTATACAGAATTGCAGCAAAAATTTGATTTAGGTTTTTTCCTGATTTCCAGATAGAAATTTGATTTCAATTATTTTTTTAATCCTTTCGAGAAATTTTATTAAAATTGTTATTTGCAAATAGGAATTAAATTCTTGGGAAGAATTTTATTAAAACTTGTTAAATTGATAATAGGAATTAAATTCCAGAGAAGAATTTTATTAAAAGTTGTAGAAAATAAAATTGGATTCTTTCGAAAATTTTTTTTTTTTATTGTCCTTTAAAATATGGACAAGGCGATAATTATTTACTTCACGATACTTTAATTTAAATTAATATCCGATTACTAATCCAAATAGAATAATTTTATCATATTCATACTTTTTACACTATCTCTTGGCCATGACTGATATGCGTTTTCTATTTCTGATTGACTAAATTAATATAATTTTTTTTACCAATTCAAAAAAAATGTAATAGACTTTTTTTAGAAAAAATTTGTCAACTTACTTAATTTGTCTAAAAAGAAAAACTTTATCTAAAAGTCTAGAATTTGTCATGAAAATGCAATAGTAAAAATAAAATCCAATTTTTTAACTTCTTTGACCTCTTTATTAACGTCTTCTGAGTAGACTCAAAAAAAGTACAAGATTTGCAGAAAATTATCATATTTATGCGATAAAAATTTATTCCCAAGAAATGTGCAATAAATTGAAAAAAAAAATTTTTTTAAACAGTAATCAATTTTCTATTTTTTAAATTTCAATTTCCAATTTCTATCTATGAAGAAATTTCTCTATTTTGTATTTTTATTTTTATTGTATGTTTTCTTTAATGAATTTGGTAAGGATGCGAAAGTGCCAATGCAAAAATTCCAAAATTACCTACTATTTTTCCAATGGACGTAATTTTCAAAAATAATTCTTTTTTCCAGTTGTCAATTATTTTTTGTTACTTTCAGTAGTTAAGTGACATTCGTCAAATTTATTCAGACAAATTGTTAGTTATTTATTGTTTAAATTAAATTAAATTTTATTTATTGTTAAATTAATCAATCTATTTTCTTTTATTAAAAAATTTGAAAATAATTGAATTCCTTCATTAAAATTTTTTGAAACTAAAATTTCCTCAAAGCAATTAAATAATTGCTTTGAGGAAATTCTTTAATTTTTTTTTATTTTTTTAATATAATTTTAAGTTTATGAAGAATTTCTTTTAAGTTTTTAAAATAATCGTTTAATTTTATTAAATTTTTTGGAAAATAATTAAATTCTTCTCAGAATTTTATTACAATTATTAGAGTTTTTGTAAATAATTCAATTCTTTTGAAGATTTCTTTAAGTCTCTTGAAAATATCTAATGCAGTTTTTCAAATAATTTTACAGGAAAAATTTTTGAAAGAATTGATTTAATTAAAGAATTTTTTTTAGTAATTATAATTAAAAATATTATTATAAAATTTTATTAAAATTGTATATTATGAATATAATTGAATTCCTGCTAAAAATATTACTATATTTATAAAAAAAATTAAATTGTTTAGAAGAATTTATTAAAATTTTAGAAAATAATTGAATTCTTACGTAAAATTTTAATAAACTTGTATTGAAAACAATTGAATTCCTACAATGAATTTTACTATTTACAAAAATAATTGAATTATCCTACAAAGAATTTTATTATTTATGAAAATAATTGAATTCCTTCAAAGAATTTTAGTATTTATAAAGATGATTGAATTATTGCAAAGAATTTTATTAAAATTTTTGAAAACAATTTAATTGATATGAGAAAATTTTTCAATTTTTTGAAAAAATGTAGTTTTTTTAAATTATTTTAATTGAAAATTTTGAAAATAATCGAATGAAACAAAGAATTTTTTTCATTTTAAATTTTACCATTTATAAAAATAATTGAACTGCTTAGAAGAATTTATTAAAATATTTCAGAAAATAATTGAATTCCTTAAAAAAAATTTATTAAAAATAAAAATAATTGAATCATTTTCGTGAAATTTTATTAAAATTGTATTAAATATAATTGAATTTCAGCAAAGAATTTTATTTAAATTTTCGAAAATAATTGAATTTCTTCGAAAATTTTATTATTATTTATGAAAATAATTGAATTCTTGCGAAGAATTGACCTAATTTTTAATTTATTAAAATTTCTTTTAGGAATTTCTTTAATATTTTAAAAATAATGGTTTTTTTCAATAATTTTAATTGAAAAATTTGAAAGGAATTAAAGTTTATGAAGAGTTAGTTTCTTTCTAATTGAATTGTTTAGAAGAATTTATTAAAATTTCAGAAAATAATCGAATTCCTTCGAAAAAATTTATTAAAAATTTAAAAAAAATAATTGAATCATTTTCGTGAAATTTTATTAAAATTGTATTGAATATAATTGAATTTTTTCGAAAATTTTATTATTTATGAAAATAATTGTAATTTTTGCAAAGAATTGACCTAATTTTTAATTTATTAAAATTATTTTTAGGAATTTATTTAATTTTTTAAAAATAATGGTTTTTTTAATAATTTTAATTGAAAAATTTGAAGGTAATTGAAGTTTATAAAGATTTTTTTCCCAATTGAATAGTTTAGAAGAATTTATTAAAATTTCAGAAAATAATCGAATTCCTTCGAAAAAATTTATTAAAAATTAAAAAAAAAAATTGAATCATTTTCGTGATATTTTATTAAAATTGTATTTAATATAATTGAATTTATTCGAAAAACTGTATTATTTGTGAAAATAATTGAATTCTTGCGAAGAATTTAAAACTTTTCAAGTTGTTAAAATTGCTTTTAGGAATTATTTTAATTTTTGGAAAATTTGGAGTTTTTTTTTAAATAATTCTAATGGAAAAATTTGAAAGTAAGTGAAGTTTATGAAGAGTTTATTTTCAAAGAATTTTACTATTTATAAAAATAATTGAATTCTTTTAAGAATATTATTATTTATGAAAATAATTGTATTCTCGACAAGAAATTTTATTAAAATTTTTGAAAATGATAAACAATAATAATTAAATTATGTATTTAATTAGTGAATTTCTTATATATTTAATTTTAAAGTATTTCAAACATTTTTATTTGAAAATAAAAAAAATGTTGCAATTTGCATAATAGTAATAAAAAATTTTTAGGAGTATAATATTCTTTACAGAATGTTTGAGAACCATCGACTGTCCTTAATTATTAATCAAATTTTCAGATATTTTTCTTTTGATCTTATTTTGTAATTTTTAAATAAAATTATTTGGAACTTTTATTTTAGAAATTATTTTTCGAATCTTTATTTTTGGAAATTATCCATTTTTTTCAAAACTTTATTTTAGAAATAGTATATATAGAATATATATAATAGAAATAGTAAAAAAAGATAGTAAAAAAATATTTAGAAATTATATTACTATAGAACTTTCATTTGGAAATTTTGTACCTACTTTGGAAAAATAAATTTTGGAAATTTTAAGTTTTGGTAATTTTTCTTGTCAATTTTGAAATTTGCACTTTTGTAACTGAATCATTTTCTTTTTTTGACAATTTTTCTTAATTATTCCTAAATCGAGAGAATATTTGTGAACATATGACGATACTTATGAAAATAAAATGCGGAATTTTAAGAGAAAGAATAGAAAAAAAAAATGGTGACTAAAATAATAAAAAAAGTGGTATTGTTCACAGGCTACGTTCTGATGATCGATGTAGGAGTACAAGTTTCCTGGTCGTCGCCAGCTTTAGACTACTTAAAAGACAATAGAACAGAAAATTATCTAACCAATGAGGAGGGAGGATTTTTAACATCACTTGACGCGATAGCATCAATTATTGGATTCCTCACATATCCATTATTAATGAATCGTGTTGGTCGACGATACACAATATTTGTCTACGCCCTAATACAATTATCAGCCTGGATTGTATTGAATTTAGCCAATTCATATCTTCTACTTTGCATTGGTCGCATTATCGTTGGCACTGGTTATGGCGGAAGTTTTGGTTTTCTCACAATCTACATTGGCGAGATGACCGAGAGAAATGTTCGTGGAATGTTCCTTTCTCTCGACAAGATTTGCGTCAACTTGGGCGGTTTTATTGTGAATGCGGCCGGTGTTTTTCTATCGTATAGAAATATGAATATGTGCATGAGCGTGATACCGATAATTGCACTCGGTCTATTTCCCCTAATGTTGGAGACGCCTTATTTTTATTTACTGAAGGGCCAAGAGAAGAAGGCGATTGAAACGCAAATGTTGCTGTCGGGTGAGAAATATCCGCAGATGGTTAGCGATGATATTGAGCGAATGAAGAAGACGATAAAGGAATGTGAGGATTCGGAGAAGAATGTTTTTCATGAATTATTCTCTGATCGAGGATCGAGGAGGGGTTTGATTATTAAATTAATCACTGAATTCACCTACGCATTCTCGGGCTTTTTGGCTATTCAGAGTTATGTGAGGCAGATTTTTGAGAAATCGGGATCGACATTGGAGCCTGGATATTGCGCGATGATTGTCAGTGGTGTTCAGGTGATTGCTGGTGTGCCAGCTTCGCAATTGGTGGATCGCTGGGGTAGACGACCTGTTTATTTATTCTCTGGATTTGCGTCGGCGATAAATTTATCAATTATCGGTGGTTATTTCTTTTTTTACAATTACATGCAATATGATATGTCGTCAGTTTCATGGATACCGTTAGTTTGCATGGTATTATTGCAAATTGTTCTCAATATGGGAGTATCGACAATGCCCTATATTTATTCGGGAGAATTATTTTCGGTTAAAGTGAAGGGACTCGCTTGTATGCTCTCATCACTTTGTCATTCAGTTTTTGGTTTTATTTGTAAATTTCTATTGCCCGTTGTTGTCGATTCATTTGGATTATATTCGGCATTTTGGTTCTTTGCGATTGTTTGTATTGTCGGGCCAATTATTGTCTTTAATATTTCGCCTGAAACTAAAGGGAAACATCTCGAGGAGGTTTTGGAATTATTGAACGAATCTAATAAAAAACATACTGTTAAAGAGAATTCCGTTAGTAAATTGTAGATAGTGGAGAAATTTTTCTTTTTCATTTTTAGAATTGTTAATAATTTTTGTATATATTTAGAGTTTCGTCTTTTTTTAGGTATTAAATTTGTTTTCGTATTAAATTGTTGTAATTTGTAAATGTATTAAATTCGTTTTTTTATGTACTATGTTCGTATATTATATGTATTATATTCGTTTATTGTACGTTACGGAATGAATGATATTGTTTTCATTCTATGCTTTTATTTCTGTGATATTAGGGAATATTTGCGTCAATTTATTTTTAATGCGATTAGAGATAAGATTAAAGTATTAATTAAATTTAGTGTAACGGATATTTTCGAATTTTTACTTTCAAAGTGAATATAATTCGTTATGAGAAAATAAAGAATTTTTTTATTATAGTTGCTTTAGATTATATCTTGAGTGTACCTGATAATTTTTTTTATCTTATTTTTAATTTTTTTTTTTAATTTGAAAAAAATGAATTATTACCTCACCACCGGACGAGCCTCCAGGTGTTCTTCTAGTGTCATAAGGATTTTTTGTTGTTCCTATAACATTATTGTACGTTTCCCAACACATACACAATTCTGGAGTGTTACTGACTAGAAGTGGAATTCCTCCGGCTAATCGTGTCCTTCTTATGACGTCAGCATCTTCAAAAGCAATTTTAGGAGTTGACCACTTCACACCAGCGGAATTACTCATTCCTATATTCAATAGAAATAAATTTATTATTATTCGCATGTAAAAGAACGCGTAATATAGTCCAATAAAAATAATGTATAATAAATAAAATAATTAATTAAAGTTTCAACAAGTAATAAATTATCCTTTATTCCAATTCAATTTTACTTTTATTCATTTTTTCAAAGATTGAATACTAATTATTATAAAATTGAATAAAAAATATGTACTGAAATAATTAATTCAAATTTTAAAAAGTACACTGAAAAAAATTTATTTGATTCAAATAACCGATTACTTATCTATTATGGAATAAATATTTACTTGACTCAAAAAATTTTTATTTAAGACAATTAAATTTGTAATTGAACCAATAATTTAAGTATTTTAAGCAAATGCCATTCAATTGTTTTGAATCAAAATTATTTGATTCAAGTGAATATTTATTTGATAATAGACAAGTAATCGGTTATTTAAAAAAAATCATTTTTTTTCAGTGTAATAAATAATCAGTTTTTCCGATTCAGTTTTAATTTTAGTCATTTTTTCTAATTATTGTAAAATTAGTAATAATTGAATAAAAAATACTAAAATAATAATTACAGTCTCAATCAGTTTTTTCAATTCAATTATAATTTTAGCCATTTTTTTAATGATTATAAAGTTATTGAATTGAATAAAAAATACGAAAATACTTAATGAAAGTTTCAACAAGTAATAAATAATCAATTTCTTCAATTTAAATTTTAATTATTTTCTTAATTATAAAATTACGATTATTGTAAAATCTATATCAAAAAGTATATTGTATTCCGTTACTTGTTTTCGATTGCATTTTTGTTTCCTAACTTTTTAATAATCTTTCTATTCAAAATGTTATGAATTTTTAAATTAATGCATTGAAAGTAATTAAATTTTTAAAAAGATTTTTATCAAAATTTTTGAAAATGTAATTTACTTATTTCCAAGAATTATATTAAACTTTTTCCAAATAATTGAATTCCTTTAAAGAATTTAAATATTTATTAAGATAATTGAATTATTGCGAAAAATTTTATTAAATTTTTTAAAACTAATTTCATTGCATTGAGAAAATTCATTAATTTTTTGTTAAAAAATTAAGTTATTTTCATAATTTTAATTGAAAAATTTCAAATTAATTGAATTTTACGAAGAATTTCTTTCAAATTTTTTTAATTTTATTGACATTTTTAGGAAAAAATTGAATTCTTCTAGAAATTTTATTACAATTTGTAAAATTAATTGAATTTTTTCGAAAAATTTATTAAAATCTTAAAAATGATTGAATTACATACTTGGATGAATTTTATAAAAATTTTACTGAAAAATAATTGAATTTATGCAAAGAAATTCATTATTTATAAAAATAATTGAATTTAGGTAAAGAATTAATTAATTAAAAATTAATTCTTACAAAAAATTATATTATTTATGAAAATAATTGAGTAATTTTTAATTTATTTCAATTTATTTAAGGAAATTCTTTAATTTGTTAAAAATAATGGATTTTTAAAAATAATTTTAATTAAAAAATCTGAAAGTAATTGAATTTTATGAAAAAAATGAAGTTTTTATACCTAATTTATTTAAATTGCAAACTTTGAGAAAAACTGAATTTTATGAAAAATTTCTTTCAAGCTTTTAAAATAATCGTGTTTGTTAATAATTGTAATTAAAAATTTGACTATTGAACTTCAGTAACATTTTTAGGAAATAAATGAATTTTTCTCAAAATTTTATCACAATTTTTATAAAAATAATTGAATTTTTTCGAAGAATTTATTAAAATCTTGAAAATAATTGAATTCATGCAAAGAAATTTATTATTTAAAAAATTATTTTAATTCTTGTCAAGTATTTTATAAAAGAATGGAAAATAATTTAATTCCTTCGAAGAATTTTATTATTTATGGAAGTAATTGAATGGTTCTGTAGAATTTTATTAAATTTTTTGAAACTATTTTAATAGCTTTAACTAAATTTCTTAATTTTTATGAAAAAATGGAGTTTTTATAATAATTTAAATTGAAAAATTTGAGAGAAATTGAATTTTACGAAGAATTTCTTTCAAGTTTTTAAAATAATCGTGTTTGTTAATAATTGTCACAAAAAATCTGATAATTGAATTTTATTAAATTTTTTAGGAAATAATTAAATTCTTCGTAGAGTTTTATTATTTATAAAAATAATTTAATTTCCGCAAAGAATTTATTATTTATATGAAAATAATTGAATTCATACGAAGGTATTTATTATTTACGAAAATAATTAAGTTTTATCAAAAGAATTTTATAAATTATGAATATATTTGAATTCTTGCGAAAAATTTTAGAAAATAATAATTAAAAGTAATTAATTAGTTAATACGTCATTTTTTTAAAATTTTTAAATATTTTCTACGTATTAATTAATTCAAATCACTTTTTAGTATTAATTACAGTGTTCGGAAATTAAAAGTTACAATATTTCCATAAATGACGTAACAATTTATGATTTTTTCATTTTTCTCCGTTCATTGACCGCTAAAAGGATGAATTTCTTCACACCATTTCCGTAAAATTTTTAATGGGACTACAAAAACAACAAATTCAAGAGTTCAATTTATGAATAATTTTTTTTTATATTTTCAGTTAATATTTACCAGTGACTAGTATAGCAATGAAATATTCATGTAAATTGTGAAAATATTTACAAACATATTTAAGACAAAAAATTTTTACTTCCTTATGAACATAATATTTGAAAAAAATTTAAATTAAATTTACAACCTCATTTCTTGGAAGTAGGAATAAAAAAAATCCTCCTACATAGAAAATTAGATGAATATCGAGTAGTTGACATCTAATTTTCTATGTAGGAGGATTTTTTTTTAATCATTATACTAAAGTCCGCTACGTTTTTAAAAACGAATGCGATGATTCATTTTATCTTGGCTTCAAATTCAGATTTTGCTTTCAGCAATTTTCTTTTAAGTAACAATTTTTGGATATTGACAAATTTTATATAAAATTACGGAAATGTAAATTAGAGACGAAATTGACTTGAAAAAAAAATTCTTTTCTGGTTTTTTGTTTTTTTAAAAACCTTACGGACTTCCGTTTCATTTTTATTCTTCAATTTAATCGCACTGATGAAACTGAAAATTTTATTTACTACTAACTAATTATAACGATTAAAGAAAAATATTTTTGGAAAAATAGCAGAGAATTTAGAAATTTAGTTTAAATAACTAAAATATTAAGTTTAAAATAGTTTAGAAATTTTTCTCTTTACAAAAATAGAAGATGGTAAAGAAGAAAATAAAGAATTTTTTCGGCACATTATATAATACGTAATAAAACAATAATTTATGGGCAAAATTTTCTCTTTTTAAATGTATGAAAATTGAATGAATGAAATAATGAAAAATATTTCCTTCTTTTTATTGTTGATTGTAACGATTGTAAGTTAAACTAAGAATTGTTTAAGAAGATTTAATTGTGGGTTTCAGTGTTGGTATTTAAAGAGTAAATAATTTTTATCTTCTTACCTTGAACGCCAATACTTTCTTTAACCGTGACCGGTACTCCCAATAATGGGACATTTTTCTCCCATTCTTCTTCAGTTTTATTTTCATTTTTAAGTTTTTTGTCGATATTTCGAGCCTCGATTAAAGCAGCTTCAAATCTGTCTTGTACGATTGCATTTAATACAGGATTTACTTCACGGCAACGATCTATATAAGCGGTCACTACCTCCTCACTGCTTATCTGCAATTTTTAATCAAAACATTATTAAAGTTCATTCCTTTTTTTAATTTTAATCTTTTATTCTAATATTCTATGTTTTTATATTATTATTTTTTTATCTCATTTTATTTACTCTATTTGCATTATTATTATTTTGTATTTTATTTTTCTAATTCGCGAATTCTAAGCGCGAAACGCTATTTATTATTATTATTATTCAAATTAGACAATTTTTTAATAACAACTTCAATTTTTTAAGAAGTTCAGAATCAAAATTGAAAATAATCGTTTCGATTAACTAATTAATTCTAATTTACCATTATCAAAAATTTTAATAAAATTCTTCACGAGAATTCAATAATTACTTTCATAAATAATAAAATTTCTTAAAACAATTCAATTATTTTTATAAATAATAAAATTCTTCAAAATAATTCAATTTATAAATAATAAATATCTTCGCACGAATTCAATTATTTTCAGTACAGTTTTTATAAAATTTCGCTCCAAATAATTCAATTTTATTATAAAAAATAAAACTCTAAGAAGAATTCAATTATTTCCTAAAGATGTTAATAAAATTCAATAATCAAATTTTTTATTACAATTATTAATAAACACGATTATTTTTAAAACTTTAAAGAAATTCTTCATAAAATTCAATTACTTTCAGATTTTTTAATTACAATTATTTTTAAAAATCCATTATTTTTAATAAATTAAAGAATTTCCTAAAAGAAATCTAAATAAATTAAAAATTATTCAATTCTTCGCAAGAATTCAATTATTTTCATAAATAATAAACTTCTTCAAAGGAATTCAATTATTTTCAAATTTTTTGATAAATATTTGTCAAGAATTAAATAATTTTTATAAATAATCTATTTTGGAATAAATTTAATTATTTTCAAGATTTCAATAAAATTTTTTGAATAAATTTAATTATTTAAAAAAATTGAAATAAAATTCTAAAAAGGATTTAATTATTTCCTAAAATTATTTTAAAAAAACTCTATTAAATTTTTAATTACAATTATAATTAAAATAAAAAAAAATTAACAAACATGATTATTTTTAAAATTTGAAAGAAATTTTTCATAAAATTCAATTACTTTCAAATTTTTTAGTTAAAATTATTCAAAAAATCCATTATTTTCATAAATAATCAATTTCTTCAAAAGAATTCAATTATTTTCAAGATTTTAATAAAATTTTTTTAATAAATTCAATTATTTTAAAAAATTGAAATTTCTAAGTTCTAAATTCTAAGAAGAATTCAATTATTTCCTAAAAATTTTAATAAAACTCAATTCAATTTTTAATTACAAAGATCAAACAATAAAATTATTTTCAAATCAATTTTAATTAAATTCCTCGAATAAATAGTTAGGTAAAAGAAAATTCTTAAAGGAAATATAATTCTCTTTAGAAATTCAATTTTTTGGCAAAAATTTTCGAAACAATTCAATTATTCTCATAAATAATAAAAATTTTCGAGGAAATTTTATTATTTTCAAAAATTTCAATAAAATGCCTTGAAAAAATTCATTAATTTTTATATAATAAAATTGTTGAAAAGAGGAAATTATTTTTAAAAATTTAAATAAAATTCAATTTCAAAATTTAAATAAAATTCTTCGAATAGTTAGAATTTATTATTTTCAAAAAAATTGTAATAAAATTTCTCAAATGAATTCAATTTTTCACTAATTTCAGATTCAGAATTGATAAGATGAACGTAAAAAAACTAATTGTCTAATTATTATTATTTTCATAAATTTTGATAAAAGTTCTTTGGAAAAATGCAATTACTTTTTAAATAATTTTAAATTAATTAATTAATTAATTAATTAATTTTAATTTTAAATTTTTCCAAAAATTTCAAATAATTTGGAAAATTACAATGAATTTTATGGAAAGAATTCAATAATTTTCAATTTTAATTATATTCCTAGAAAGAACTAAAATTTAAAAAAAAGGTTTTAATAAAATGCAAGAATAAAACTAAATTTTAAATTATAAAAGTTACAAAAATTACAACATTTTTTTTAACAGGAATTTTACATTTAAAATTTTTTTTTTAAAATTCCCTTTTTAACCGAAATTTATGAAAAGAAAGTAATTTTTGAAATTTTTTCTTGCAAAATTAATACCAAGAAAATTAATGTTTTAACAATAATTTGAAAGTAACTATTTTTTATATTCTAGAATATTAAATGATTGTTACAAAAAAATTATGCTTTTTTCATTCAAAACAATTTTTGTTTAATTAATTGTTGTTATTATTTAATCAAAGGAAACATTAAATGTAGAATTTCATTATTATTTAAAATTCAAAACATTTGAAAAGAGAAATTATCAAAAAAATTAAGAAACAAAAAAGCAAGTAAATTCAAACTGCGAACAGATTAGAAAAATACAACGATTATTAATATAAAAGCTTCTATTTATTTTATTTATTCTACTTGTATTATTTTTTTTTTATTTTTTTTTATTCAATTTATTTCGCATTTTACTTAATTTATTTTTTATTTTATTTTATACAATCGATTCTCAAGGAACGTAAAGAAAATTCAATTTATCGAAAGTTTAATCATTGGAAGACTATTGTATTTTATTTAATTTTTTCAAAAATAAAAATTTCGATAATTTTTTAAACTTATGAGAAAAAATTAGTTTTAAAAATTACCTCTTTTCTTCGTATTTTTCTCGCAAGTTCGCTGGCTGAGAGGAATAGTAATTTATTCGAAATTGGCGGACATCTCACCGGCCTTTTTAATTTTCGAATGGCAGTCACTGGTTTCATTAAACATCCCATTAGGAGACATAATAATTTTATTGTCTTCCTTGTTGAAATTAGAATAATTTCCTGCAAAAGAGAAAATCAATAATTTTAATAATAATTCAGTAATTGTTATTCAGAAACAATTCTATAACAAATTGAATAAAACTCGAGTAGCAATTTAATATTAAAATGAAAAATAAATAAACAAAATAAAAATTCAATAACAACTTAATTTATTTATTTTGTATTTTTTTTTATCGACTGATTTATTTTCCTTTCTTAAAAAATGTTCCTTTATCAATTATTATTTTAACAAAAAATCAACATAATTCTGCGATGTTTTCATCTGCGCAAAAACTCACCGAATAATTATAACGAAGTTTAGTGTAAAATATTGTTAGAAAAGAGAGTGCAACTTCCATTCTTTATTCCGTTTCTATTTTTAAATCAGTTTTTATACAAATTTAAAGATTTCTTTTCAGAATGCACTTGAAAGTGAAACGAAACTCAAGTTGAAACTACACACACGAATATATTGTTACGTTAACATTGCATAAAAATACGCACAAATTTTTGTCTTCTTTTGACTCAATTTTAAATTTAATTTGAAAAAAAGCAAACACAAAAAAAATTCTTATTTTCAATTTTCCTTTAAATATTTAAAATTCAGTAAAATAGAAACATTTTTTCGCACAAGTTTGTTTTATTATTATTTTTTAATTTTAATTTTAAAACGATAGTGATAATTTTTTCTTTCTCTTTTAAATCCTCATAAAAGTGGTTGCACAATTTTTTTTTCTCTTTTCAACGATGAAATTTGGGCATTATAAACATTACATATTCACATTTTTTTTTTTGGTTTTGGGTTTTTTATTTTACTTATATCATTTTGGTTGTCAGGAGAAGACTATAAGCTTCGAATCATTGTACCTAGCATATATTTAAACGAGTGAAAAAAACGACGAAAGAGAAGGGGTATTCAGTTGCGAAAAGTCAACGTTACGTGTTTACACTATTCGTTCAGAAATTTAAATAAAAGTTTAACTCGAAAACCAGTCATTGAAAGTTACACATACAATCAAATCAGTCGATTTTTTTTCTAAAAAAAACATTAAAATTCAAATTTTTTTTTCCTTTTAAATTGAATAGAGAGTTGTATTTATTTTGGTCCCAATTTTACACCGGTAAAATAATGTGAAGAGAAGTGATTTTTTTTTCACCGATAAATAATGTTTAAAACTCAATTAGAATTTTATGAAAAATTTATTCTAAAATGACGCAGAATATTAAATATTATTATGTCTTTTTCAAACTGTACTTTAAAAAAAAGTGTTTTTTTACTACTTTTGTTTTAAAAACCAAAACAAAAAATTATTAGTGCAAAAGAAAATATGTAATTTGATTTTTCTTGAAAAAATTATAATTTAATGAATAATTCAATAAAAATGATTACATCGGTTATTTTTTTTTTAAGTTTTTAATTAAAACAGGAAATAATTGAAATAATTGTTGTCTTTATTTTTCTTGCTACCGAGTAGCAAATTTTCTCTAAAATTCAAAATATTTTGATAATTATTTCCTTAATTTAAATATTGTGACATTTCTTTTTTTATCATTATTGATTTCAAAATCTGAAAATACAACAAAAGTGTTAATAAAATATTGTTTGTTTATAAGAATGCGATTTGATTAGCAAATTTTCTTTTTAAAAACTGTTTTCTATGAAAAAGGTGATAAAATTTGGACGTACAAGTAAAAATTATTTTTGAAAGTGGATTTTAAGAACTAATTTATTTTTTTATATGGAAAAATATATATTTTGTTATATTAGGTAATAAATAAATTTACCTATTATTTTATAAGAAGATAATAAAATTTACAAAAATAGAAAGTAAACATTTTATCGAGAAAGTAAAAAAATGATTTTTTAATTCTGATTTTAGACTATAATTTCTTTTTTTTTTAAATTATGGAGCGAAATTTTAAGAATAAATTAAATATTCACCATTTTTGTTTTTGAAGCAGAATACCTTGGATGCCGAATATAGTTTTTTTTCAATTGATTATGCAAAATTAGAGCAATTTCCACCTACTAAGGAAAGTTTGAACGTCAATGTTCTAAAAATATCATCACTTTATTGCAATTAAATTATTTTCTCTCTTTAAACTCCAGACAGTATGAGAAAAATTATTTTTTAACATCTATTCACAACGAACGGTTTATTGAAACTGGATCTTATAAATGGTTAAAAGAAAATTATTTCTTTCGCGATCTATAACGCATTCACAAGTGGAGTTTGTAACAAATTACTTAGCGCGTTTCGTTAATCGTTTAACGAATACTAAATAGATATCTTCATTAAACAAAGAAAACGATGAAAGGTCGCAATCATCGAGCAGAAATATTTATTGCAAACTTATCTCTATATTTTATATATTGAAATAAATTATTTTAATTGATAAGAAAAGTGCAGACTTATTTTAATGGAGGAACAAAATTTATTTTTTTTATATTTTACTATTTTTTTCTGGAAATAAAAATGATATTTGATTTTTTTAAATTATTAAGAAATATTTTTAATTTATAAATTTATTGTTTAATTGGGAAAAAATTTTTTAAATAGAATTTTCAATATTTAAATTACTTTCAATTCGAATATTTAGAGTAAATTATTTTATCAATGAAATTTTCAGGCTTCGTACTCACTAATAAATTTTAAAAAAGTATCAAAAAGTAGATTTAATTAGGATTGAAAAAATTAGTAAAAAAGCAAATTTTTTTTACTCTTTTTCAGTTTTTAATATTCAATTATCTAAAATTTTAAATCAATTCTTATTAAAAGTTCTATGAGAATTCAATTATTTAAATGCAGCAATAAATAATTAAAATTTTTATAAAATTTTCAAGAATAATTGCATTTTTCGAAGAATTTTATAACTTATGAAAATAATTCCATTTCGACAAACTTTTTAAATTAATGAAATTTTTACAAAGAATTCTATTAAAATTATTTGAAAAATAATTCAATTCTTTCAAGAAATTTCATTAAAAATTAATTGAAAATAATTAAGTTCTTTCAAGAAATTTCATTAAAAATTTATTGAAAATAATTATTAATTTCTAATAAACAAATTATTATCAACATTTTTTTAAATTATTAAATTCAAAGAATTTAAATTTAAAGAATTTTAATAAAATCTTTAAGAATAATTGCATTTTTCGAGAAATTCATTTCAAATTGTATTAAAAATAATTGAAATTCTGCAATGAGCTTTATTAGTTATGAAAATAATTGAACTTTTGCAATGAATTTTATTAAAATTTTTGAAAAATAAATGAATTCCTGAGAGAATTTTATATTATTTATAAAAATAATTGAATTCTTATGAAGAATTTTATAAAAATCTTTTATATAAACAATTGATTTTTTTGAAAAATTTTATGTAAATTGAGGTTTTTGATTGTTTGCAAAGACTTTTATTGAATTTTGTTTTTAAATTGACTTCATTTAGAAAATTTGTTATTAAAATGGTAGATATTGAAAATAACTGAATTACGAAAATTTTTTTTAAATTATTAAATTCAAAGAATTTAAATTTAAAGAATTTTATTAAATAATCTTTAAGAATAATTGCATTTTTCAAAAAAATTAATTTCAAATTGTATTGAAAATAATTGAAATTCTGCGATGAGTTTTATTAGTTATGAAAAATAATTGAATTCTTGCAATGAATTTTATTACAATTATTGAAAAATAATTTAATTCCTGAGATAAATATTTTGAATTGTTTCTAAGAATGTTATTAAAATTTTTTAGGATAATTTTTTTATTCCAACTATTAGCAAATTCAAAGTAGTGCTAATTCTCAAAAATAGAAAAAAGTAGTTTTTAGTGTTACAAATCTAAAAAAAAAGTATCTAAATAGTAGCAAATAGTAAAAAAAAAGTAGTAAATAGTAGGTTTTAGTAGACAAGTACGAAACCTGAATTTCTTGTTTTGAGTTATTAAACAAATTTTTAATTAAAAATTGTATTCTTTAATTATTAAGAAACAATTTTTAATTTAAATCTTTATTTATTAATTTTAATTATTTTTCCATTCAAATTTCTCTCTAAAAAGAATTTTTTACATTTCATCACCAACAATTTAAAAAATAAAAATTTATTGAAAAATATTCTTTTCTTTGTAAAAAATATTTTTTTCTCTGAATCATCGATCAGAAACGTTGTCAAGTGCACGCACGTTATTTTTTAATTATTTAGAAAAAAATTGTAAACACATTTTTCAATATTGTTTAAATTATTTTCACCATTTGAATATTTAGAGCAAATTAATTTATTAATGAAATAATTTTTTCGGTAAATTGTTTATCAGATAATTAATTTTTAGTTAAGTAATCAACTTTTTGTCGAAATAAAAAAACTGTTTTACTTAATTTAAAAAAGAGAAAAGAGTTTATTCATTTTTTTAATTACAAGAATTTATTCTTTTTTTTTGGGTAAAAGAATTTATTTTCTTTTTTAATTAAAAGAATTTATTCTTTCCTTTTTTTTAAAGGCAAAACAATTAAAAATAAATCAACGAAATTCGAAAACGAGGGAAATTTTAGCTAACATTCCACATTAACGGCAAAAAAACTATTCTGACCCAGATTTGACGATAATTTTAATGAAAAAAATTACGTAAATCATGTAGAAAAAGTTCAGTAGTAGTTTATGATCTTGTAGAAATAACTGGTTTTTTTTTAAACTTGTTAATGATCGCGTACTTGTCACCTCTTTGCAACATAGAAAATAACGTTTTGCATTCTTTATATCTATATATATGTGTATATACAAATTATACTCTTACTTATTTTTAATAGTTGAAAGTCATAACAAGAAGTAAAATGTTGCTTAGAATCTTGTCATTTTACGATGAGATAAGAACTGTAATCAGTGTTAGTGACCTAGTGGATTTGACTTTGCCATGTGCGAATATAAAGTCACTTTCCTTGGATACAAATAAAATTTGTATTTTCTTTCTTGCTTCCTTCCTTCCTTCCTTTTTTTATTTTTTTCTCTCTCTTCATTTGTATACAAGTCTTTTTCCAATCAAAATTCTGAAAATAAGAAAAAATTTATTTTCAAAACATTAACTTTTTACTATAAAAATAATTTTAAAAAAATTAACTTTTTACTATAAAAATAATTTTCAAAAAATTAACATTTTACTATAAAAATAATTTTCAAAAAATTAAATTTTTACTATAAAAACTAGCAAAACTACACGCGTTTATGAAATTTTCGTTGATATTGTTACTTTAAAAGATTTGCTTTTTGAAATTTAATGAGAATTCTTCATTTTTTAAAAAATATAATTTTTCTAACAGTTTTTCTTTAAATTTAATTATTTGAACAACTCGTATAGAAATCGCCAAGATATTTCTAACAGTAAGTTGAATGTAAGATATTTTTTATTAAATAATTGAACGTTCCTGGAAATAAGTTTATCTAAATTTTTTTAAAATTAAATTATTTTCCAAATTTTTAATTAGCATTCTTCAAAAATACGATTATATTGCAAAATAATTTTTAAAAGTGAACAAAAATAAAATTCATTAAAATATTAAATTTATTTCAATGAAATTTGACAAAATTTTCAATTGTTTCAATTTTTTAAAATTATTTTGAAAATACAATTATTTAAAAAGAATTTTAATTACATTTTTTCAAGAAACAATTTTTCATAATTTCTGAATTAAATTATTCAAAACTTCAATACCTACTTTTTGTTAAAAAAAAAATTATTAAACTTATTCTTATTTATTTTTCCACAAGAATTAAAATTTCAAATAATAAATTTTTTATTTATTTTTTTATTTTTTAAAAATAAATTTATTTATTTTTATTTATAATTTTAATAATTTATAATTATTCCTCAAAATTGCAACTGTAATTCTTCCAAAATTCAAATACTTTTTTTTAGAATTTTTGAATAAAGTTTTCGAAAAACTTCAAGAATTTTTAAAGAAAAATAATAATTATATAACTAATAATTTTTTGAAATAAAAATTTTTATATTTTTATACTTTTGCTTCCCTTAAATTTTCAAGAAATTTAATTTAAAACCCTTTTAAAATTTAATTAATTCCTAAAATTCCTGCTATAACGCTTTAAGTATTCAATTATTTTCTAAAATTTTAAGTGACATTTTTTTATTCAATATTGCTATCAAAATTTAACGACGAGAATTGAATTATTCAAATAGAATTGTAAAAAGAATTGTAAAATAAATGTTTAAATACTTATTGTTTTTTATTTGCTTAAAATTTCGAAATACTTTCAATGTAAAACCATTGGAAACATTTTTTATGAAAATTTGAACTGTAAGTCTTCCAAAATTCTATTATTATTATTATTTTTTATTTATTTAGAATTTTTGAATAATATTATTCAAACTGTCAAACTTTTGACATAACAATTCGAACTATAAAACATAAAATTGGAATAAAACAACACTAACTTCACGTAAGGACAAATTATGTGGATTATTATAATATAAATTTTTTTCCAATAAAAGTTCTGAAAATAAGAAAAAATTAATTTTAAAAAAATTAACATTTTACTATAAAAATTATTTATAAATTTAAAAGAAATAACCTAAAATTTATAATAATAATCTCTAAAAAAAATTGCATAATAAATATTATGTTAAATAAAATAAACAATTATTAATATGGAAATTATGAATTTCTTTCCAGATCGAAATAAAAATTGGTTTGAAATCAAAATTTATTATTAAATTAAGAGAATTACGTCAATAAACTTAATTAAGAAACTGACATTGAATTTTGAAAGAGCGAAATAAAACTAATGAATATGGAACTTAATATAAAAACTCACAAATCAATGAAAAGTAATAAATTAAATTTAATAATTACGAATTATTTTCTCGTTTTTACCAATTATTTACATATTAATTTAGCATAATAATAAAAAGACTTTTATAACCTTTTACTGCCATTAATTAACCGCGTCAGAGTGCAAACAATTATGTCTATTATTTTAATCATTTCAATTAAAGAAAGATAGGTAAAATTACCAAAGTTTGAAATTTATGCAAATTCACACTATTAATTACTATCAAATGAATTTTCAAATTTACATAAGCTTTTTTATTTCAAAAAAATCGTTTTACTTTACGAAAATCATCAAAGTTCACACGTTGATTCTTGTCACTGCACGATTACAAATTGCGGGAAAAATTTTTTATTTCTGATAAAATTATTACCGACAGACGATAATTGATTAAAAAACAACTGTCATGGCGTCGCACATGTAAACAAAACTTGAAACTGTAAACGTCAATTTTGAAGAAAATTTGAAATCAATTGATATATACTTTTTCTAGAAAATAGCAACAATAGGGAACAATAGTAATAGAGGAAATTTTGTCATGATTGTTGACAGAGTTGACAGTAAAAGTTGATAGAAATATATCAAATTCTAATTAACAATGACTTCGTTTGTTGCCGATGTTCTGCTTACAGCAGGTTAGTACCATTTTTCAATTATTTTTACACCTTAGAAAACATTCAATTGTTTGCTGTTATATTATTAACAATATAAAAAAATACATCTTACGTTCTATATTCACCAAAAAGAACGATGGAAACTAAGTTTTAATTTTGAGGTTATGTTGACAACCGAAAATAGAAACCAGATTTAGTATTTATTTATTGCAAATGATAATAATTTATTAACGCTAGAACTATCGATGAGATAGAGCGGTTCAGTAATTATCCAAATGTACCAAATTAAAAATAATTTCGTCCCTATAAGTAAATTTTTAATGGAAAATAAAGACAAATATCCGGAGCGAGAAAAATCCTCTTAGGATTAAAATTCTAAAAAAATTTCAAAATTTTATAATAAATAAAATTCTTTTTTTTATGATCGACTATTTGTTTTTAAATAGTTAAGTAATACCTAATTTGATTATTTATTAAGAAAATGTAAAATTATTATTCTCTTATTCAAACAACAGGTAATTTGGAGAAAATTGAGTTAACGGAAAAAATCACTGAAATAGAGAAAAAAATAACAAAACTCAAAGATGAAGTTAAAGAATTTATGGATGACAATTACGTCGAATTTGTGCCAAGATTGAAAAAAGATAAGGCAATGGTTCGAGATGCAGAGAAACTTATTGATGAAATGAAAATTTTGGAGAAACGTGTCGATGAGCAGGTAAATATTTTTATTTCAAATATACTGATAGAATTGATTTGACAAAAATTGTTTAAATAATTTAATTCTTTCAAGACGTTGAATAAAAATTTGTTTAAATAATTGAATTCTGTCAAAAAGTTTTATTAAAATTGTATTGAAAATAATTCAATTCTTGCGAGTAATTTTATTCAAATTTTTGAAAATTATTGAATTGATTTCGAAGAATTTTATTAAAATTCGAAATTTAAATTTAAAAAAAATTGAATTCTTTCGATAAATTTATTTAAAAATGTGTTAAATATAATAAAATTCTAAGGAACAAACTTTATTAAAAATTAGTGAATCAATTGGATTTTGTAAAGAAATCTTATTTTAAAAAAATTGCATTGAAAATAATTGAATTCCTATAAAGCACTTTAATATTTATGAAAATAGTCACACACCAAAATTAAGAAATATGTAAAGATATAAATTTAATTTTTTTTTCAAATAAACTGTAAATTCTTTCAAATAATTTAATTAAAATTGTACTAAAAATAATTGAAGAAAATTTACGTTGGTGAAATTTACGTTTATGATCAACGATTTATTAGAAAAAATATTCCGTTTTTCAACTGTTAGGCTCAAAAAAAAAAAATTTTTAACAATATTTTCTCATCAAAAATTCAAAAATTATAAATTTGTAAACAAAAAAATTGTTTTTTTGTGGAAAAAATGTATCTTTTTCTTCCAATCCATTTGGAACTTCAGTCACGTAAAAATTTTATCAAAATTTATGAAAATCATTGAATTGTTTTCGAAGAATTTTATTAAAATTCTAAATTAAAAATTTTTAAATAATTGAATTCTTTCCAGAAATTTATTTAAAAATGTAATAAAAATAATGAAATTCCAAGGAACAAATTTTATTACAAATTTTTGAATCCATTGAATTTTTTCAAGAAATTATTTTAAAAATTCCATTGAAAATAATCGAACTACTACCAAGCACTTTAATATTTATCAAAATAGTAATAAAATATGTAAAAATATAAATTTTCTTTTTTTCAAATAAAATCTTAATTCTTTCGAGGAATTTAATAAAATTTAATAAAATCTTGAGATTAATTTTTATTAAAATTTTAGAAAATTACTGAATTGTTTTCGAAGAATTTTATTAAAATTATAAATTTAAATTCAAAGAAATTGAATTGTTTCGAGAAATTTATTTAAAAATGTATTAAAAAAATAATGAAATTCTAAAGAACAAATTTTATTACAAATTTTTGATTGAATAAAAAATAGTAAAAAAAAAGAAAATAACATAATATGTAAAAATGTAAATTTACTTTTTTTTTTTTTTAAATAAAATTAAATATTTTCGAGGAATGTAATTAAAAATGTTCTGAAAATAATTGAATTATTCTGAGAAAATTTTATTAAAACTTTTAAAAATAATTGAATTCTTAATTCTTATAAAAAATTTTATCAAACTTTCTGAAAATAATTACCTTCGACGAATTTTATTAAAAGTATTAAAAAGAGTTTTAATTCTTTCGAGAAATTTTATTAAAATTAGGTTGTGAAAATTTTTATAAATAATTTAATTGTTTCAAGAAATTTAAATAAAATTGTATTGGAAATAATTGAATTCCAACGAAGAATTTTATTTTTTAAAAATTTAATTGTTTCTAAGAAAATTAAAATTTTTTCAAGGAAATTTAGTTAAAATTGAATTGAAAATAATTCAATTTTTTTATGTATCAAAATTTTTGAAATCAATTGGATTTTATCAAAAAATTTTATTAACATTTAAAAAATTGAATAAACTTTTTCAAAAATATAATTTTTTAGAATTTTAAATAAATTTATATTTAAAACTTAAATAATTTTTAAAATAAATAATTCAATGAATTTAAAAAAAATAAAAAATCTTTAAAACAATTGAAATTATCAAAAAATGTTTAAAAACTTCTGAAATTTAATTAATTCTAAAAATTACAAAAGTACCAACTAAAATTTTTTCTAAGTTTATTATAATTTTTAACTTCATAAAAATTATTCCAAAATTTAATTATTCACTGTAATAAAAAAATGATATTGTTTTCAAATTCATTGTCATTTAAAAGTTCTTAAGTTGAAAGAAAATTCAAAGAGAATTCAAGACGAAGTTTTTCGAAAATGTTTCTTACACCAAAAAGCATGATTTTTGGAAGAATTTTAGAAATTTATTTTTGCATCGATTTTGATAAGATTCCCTGACGTTTTTCTGATTACCCTGCGACCAATTTCATTTTCCCTGGCCTGTAACAATCCTGAAAATATTTTAAATGTCGTGAATATTAATTATTATTAAATATTAAATAATTAAATATTGAATATTAAATAATGAAATATTAATTATAAAATTCCAGATGAAACTTGAATTATCTGGTTCGAAAAAAGAATTACAAGATCTCTCGGATGCACTTCATGAATCACACACAAGTCTTCAGGTGTCCAGTTGTCTTTTAAAACTAAACGACTGCATAAAATCTGTCGAAAAATTGCAACAAGAAAGAAGATACATTGAGACAGCAAAAACTTTACATCAAATGCACATTTATCTCAGTGATTCGAGTGTGAATTTGCAAAATCTCGACATTTATACAAATTTAGAGAATGAATATGTCACACTTTATAGTGCTTTTGTAACTGAAATTACAATGAAATGTCAGGAATTTATCTCATGGAGGGAGGAAATGCAAAAAAATGAATTAACAGTAACGCTTACTGTTGAAAATGAAAATAGAGAGATTCAAGATATTATTCTTGCCTCATATTACATTGATTATTTATCGCGTTATTTACACGCATTTACCACAAATTTATTAAAACACTTTATAAATCCTATTATATCGCAGAATTGTTTGGTTTACGTTGTTCAAGAGAAAGCGTTCAATGTGAGAATTGTCAACAAAACTGAAACACCGTCCGACTATAAAAATGTTTTATACAATCTCAGATTATTGTTTACATTTCTCAATCAGCATTTGAATTTTGACGTGGCGGGAAAATCATTTTTGGCGAGACTTCGAGTTTATTTACTTGATGATTTTTCTCAAGTTCTCATTAAAAATTGTATTGCAAATACAATTCCGAACTCGAGTTCTAAATTACATTCTTTTCATCCGGTTGTTGAGGATATCAATGAATTTCAGGATTATTTGCTTCAAATTGGTGAGATAAAATTATTTCTATATTTTATATTTATTTTTTTGTTGGTTTTCAACAATTTTGAGTTTTATAATAAAAAATTTCTTTTTTTGCAGGATTTATTTCTAAGGACCAATGCTTTCTTTCCGATTATACAAAAGACATAGACACTTTATTTATTAATAAAATATGTGAAGGTTTGTTGGTGAGAGCGAGGGACATAATGAAAAAAGATTTACATGATTCTATTCTAATTGAACCGGAGGTAATTAATATTTTTTTAAATTCAATATTTGGTAATTAGCATAAATACACGTGCGTCAAATTTTAAAGCCCATTGTTAATTATAAAAAGTTTCTTTTTTGAAATTTAATGAAAATTTATTATTTTTAAAAAATATAATAATTTTTCGAAATATAATTCTTCAAAAATACTTCAAAAGTGTTTCAAAACAATTTTTAAAAATAATAAAATAAAGTTTATTTTATTTTAATTTAAATTCTTTCGAATATAAAATTTATTTGAATGAATTTTGACGAAACGTTTAATTGTTTCAATTTTTTAAACTACTTTCGGGAATTTAACTGTTTTCAAAAAAATTAAATTAGGATTTTTTAAAAACAAATTTTTTTTTAGAATTGCTGCATTAAATTACTCAAAACTTTAATAATTTTTAAAGAAACATAAAATATTAATTGAATATATTAGTTATTTTTGTTTGCTTTTTGTTTCCTAATTTTTTTTAATGTTTTGAATTTTAAAATGAATTAAATCTATGTACTAAATAAATAAATTCCAAGTTAATGCTTTGAAGATTAAAAAATACCAAAAATTAATTAAACCAAATTGTTTTCAATTCAAAATATATTTCTTTTATAATTTTGAATCTAAAATAATTGAATTTTATAAAGAAATTTATCCAAATATTTAAAGTAATTAAATTTCTTGCGAAAAATGTAATTAAAATATTTTTAAAAAATAAGTTAAGTTTTAAGAGAAATTTAATCAAAATATTTAATATTAAAAATAATATATTCTAATAAAGACTTTCGACGAAATTTTTAAGAATGATTGAAATTCTGCGAAAAATGTTATAATTAACATTTTTTTTAAATAATTGAATTCTGTCAAGAAATTTTATTACAATTTTTTTTAAATAACGGAATTCTTTCGAGTAACTTTATTACAATTTTTTTAAATAATTGAATATTTTCCAGGAATTTATCTAAAGTTGTATTGAACATATTTCAATTTTCATAAAGAATTTAATCATTAAAATTTTTCAAAATATATATTTGAATTTTTTGCGAAGAATTCTATCAAATTTTAAAAAATAATTTAATATTTTCAAGGAATTTAATTAAAATTTTATTGGAAATATTTAAATATTCAAAAGGAATTTAATCATTACAATTTTTCAAAATAATTGAATTTTTGAGAAGAATTTTATCAAATTTTCGAAAATAATTAACTATTTTCAAGGAATGTAATCATTAAAATTTTTCAAAATAATTGAATTTTTGGAAAAATATTTCAATATAATTGAATTTTTTATACAAATTTTCGAAAATATTTTAATATTTTCAAGGAATTTAATTAAAGTTGTATTAAAAATATTTAAATATTCAAAAAGAATTTAATCATTAAAATTTTTCAAAATAATTGAATTTTTAAGAAGAATTTTATCAAATTTTCAAAAATAATTGAATGTTTTCAAGAAATTTAATCATTAAAATTTTTAAAAATAATTGAATTTTTGCGAAGTGTTTTATTAAATTTTCGAAAATAATTGAATATTAATTTTCAAGGAATTTAATTATATTTGTATTGAAAATATTTCAATTTTCATAAAGAATATAATCATTAAAATTTTTAAAAATAACTGAATTTTTGAAAATTATATTAATAATTTCAATTAATTAGTAAATTCGTTAATAACTGAATTTTTTTAATTCTTTATTAAATCAATTCTTGTTAGAATTAAACGATAATTAAATTACTTATAATTTTTTGAAAAATTTAAATATTTTCCAAATTTTTAATTACAATTCTTCAAAAAATACAATAGTATTTAAAAATAATTTTTTAAAGTTAAGAAAATAAAATTCTTTGAAATATAAAATTAATTTTAATGAAATTTAACTAAACTTTTAATTGTTTCAATTTTTAGAATTCAACAATTTTCAAAAAATTTTAATTACGATTTTTTAAAAAACGAATTTTTTTTAGAATTTCTAGATTTAATTATTTTAAGCTTTAATAATTTTTGTTAAATACAATTGTTTAAAAATTTATTGTTATTAATTTGTCCGCCAGGAGTTAAAATTTCAAAATACTTTCAATGTAAAACCTTTTGAAATAATTAAAATTGGAACCGCTATTCTTGAAATATTGACTAAAATTTTCACTGAAATTCTTTTTCAAATCAATTCTTATCAAAAAGTTGTACGAGAATTAAATTATATAAATACAAAAATAATTAATTGATTTTTTTCTAAAAATTGCAACTAATTATTATATAATTTTTTTTTTATTTTACTAATATTTAGGATTTCTTTTAGGAATTGTCTTGTGATTTGTCTCAGAATGATTTGAAACTAAGTAGAAAATTAAGTGAACATACATTCCAATTACCTGCTTGTAAAATAAGGTAATCGTGAATTAATTTTTATAAATTTACTTCATAAATTATGAATTAATTTTTTATGAATTTATTTCATGAATTATAAACTAATTTTTTATGCATTTATTCATAATTAATTTTTATGAATTAATTTTTTAAATTACTGTTAAAAAAATTTTCAATTGGTTTGAATTTTTTTTAAATGAATATTCCTTTTTTTCAGCAAGAGCGCACAGGAAATATTACAGCTCGGCAGGGAAATTTTGGATGAAACGTGTAAAAGTACAGATGAATGTGCAATAAGATTGTTTTACACGAGTAGAAATATTTTCGAAATGTACGCCGGTTTAATTCCCGAATACCATAAGAAACTCTTGGAAACTGTACCACAGCAAGTTGGTAAGAAATAACAATTATTTTACAAATAGCCTACAGGCCTGATTTTAAAAAAAAGTCAAAAAATATTTTTATCTACTTGTAAATAAGTTTTTTTTTAAAGAATATTTGTGAAAAAATAATTTTTAAAATGAAAGACAATTTGTTTCAGCACTTTTTCATAACAATTGCATGTATCTTGCACATAAACTCCTCACGTTAACAAATGAATATGAATTCAAATTGTTGCCGATTTTAAAGAAACACAATGTCACTTATGCCGATCAAACATTAATGCTTCGCAAAGTGGCTTGTGAACATTTTTTAAATCACATGAAAATTCAACGGGATATTATTTTCGATATTCTCAGGAAGTCAGGTAAATTTATTAATTTTTCAATTAATTTTGAATAAAATTTAATGAATAATTGAGAAGCAAATTTTCGAAAATTGATTTCTCATTTCGAGAAATTGAAACAAATGAAACTGACATAATCAGTACACAGTAATTTGTACTAATTTATTTCTATAACAATCTTTTTATATACAAGACATTTTATTTAAACTTTATTATTATTAAGTGTTTTTAAAAGTTTTGGTAATTTTTTCTAATAAAAAATATAAAATTTATGTTATTTTATCGAAAGGTTTTTAAATAGAAAATTCTTTTTAAATTCAACAGTGACTGATCGAATTGTGAGGTTTTTAAAATATTAAATTTATTTATCTTCATTATTTGGAAAAAAAATTGTTTATTAGCTTTTAAAAAGTTGCTTCTCAATTAAAAAAATACACCCAAATTGTTTGTATATAAAAGTAAAATAATTGCATAATATATGTTTATGAAAATATTTATCAAATTAAAACTATTTTATTATTAATGAAAAACTATTTATTTAAAAAATTGTTTAATTAGCGTTAGCGACTATGAAACAAAGTCCGAATTTATCACAGGACACTAAACGTGATGTACAGCAGTGTTTGAGACAATTGGATCATTTAAAAGCAGTCTGGATTGATGTTTTACCTGAAAACAATTATTGTCGAGCGATCGGTGAGTAAATTTAACAAAATTAACATTTTTTTTTTACTGGCAATTATCATAATTTAACGATTACTAATTATCAGTTTTGATAATACAAATTATCATTCAATAAGTAATTAATATCCTTTAGTTAGTAATTATTATCCTTTTAATTATTATTTTTTATTTACAGGGTTGCCACAAAATTTAATTTTGTTTTTCTCTGACTTTTCCCTGATTTCCAGACAAAATTTTGACTTTTTCCCTGACCCTAAAGAATAATCTGATTCACTCTAAAAATTATTAGATATTCAAAAAAATGTTCTAATACATTTATTTACGAATTTCTTTAATTGGAAAATTATTTGAAAACATCAATAACTTCATTCTTAAATAAATATTTAATCATTATTATTTCTTCAGAGGAATTAAGATTTTCAACAAATTTCAAATTCAAACCTTTTTAAAATTCAATAACTTATAAGAATATTGTTATAAAACAAGAAGATTTGTTTACAATTCAATTTTACGAAATTTCATCGATTATTCGGAAATTCTTCAATTAAATATCAGAAAATAAAAACCTCAAATAATTTAAAAAAAAAAATTCAATTAAACTTTTTCAAAAAAATTAATTCTACAGAATTGTCAGTAAAAAGCATGAAAAATTCAGAATTTTAACGATTTTAATTTCAAAACCTTTTCAAAATTCAATTATTTATAAAAATTCACGCTATAATACTTTTTAATATTCAATTATGCATAATAATTATTTTCTAAAATTTTAACTGAAATTCATTTTTAAATAAATTTTTATTAGAAAATTCTACGAGAATTCAATTATTTAAATACAAAAATAAATTATTTATTAAATAATTGAATGTTTCTTAAAATTGCATTCTTTTGACGAATTTTATCAACAAATTTTTAAATAATTGAATTCTTTTGACCAATTTTAATAAAATCTTTAAGAATAATTACATTTTTAGAGGAATTTGATTAAAATTGTATTAAAAATAATTGAAATTCGTCGATGAGTTTTATTATTTATGACAATAATTGAATTTTTGCGAAGAAATTTATAAAAAAAATTTGCAAATATTTGAATTCCTGTTAAATTTTTACTAATTATGAAAATAATTAAATGTTTCCGTTGAATTTTATTAAAAATTTTTTTTTTAATAACTGAATTCTTTTGAAAATTTTTATTAAAATAGTAGATATTAAAAATCAATGAATTGAGAAATATTTTTTGAAAATAATTGAATTCCTAAAAAGAATTTTATTATTTGTGAAAATAATTGAATCTCTGTAAAACATTTTATTATTTATGATGATAATTGAAATTTTGCCTAGAATTTTTAAAAATTTTTGAACATAATTGAATTTTTGCGAAGAAATTTGTAAATAATTTTGACGAGAATTTTTAAAAAAGTTTTGAACATAATTGAATTTTTACGAAGAATTTTCTATTTTGAAAATAATTGAATTTCTGCAATCATTTGTAACTTCTCCAAAATTCAATTTTTTTAAAGTGTTTTTAACCAAAATTCTTCTATAAGTCCATTATTTGTAGTAATTAATTAAATATATGTATTAAAATATTTAACTAATTTCAGAAGAATTTAAATTATTAAAATTTTCCAAAAATCTAATTTCTAATTCAGTTCATTAAAAATTGAAATTTTATAAAAAAAATTCTACTTTCCCTAACTTTTCTCTGAATTCCCTGACCTGTGGCAACCCTGATTTAATAATAATTACTAATTAGTAATTATATTATCATTTATTATTTTATTATCATTAAATTTAATTAATAATTATTACCATTTATTAGCAATTATCCTTTAAATTACTAATTACTATTAAACAATAATGACTAATTATCATTTAATTAGTAATTATTTCTCTTTAAGTTACTAATTATTATCATTTAATTACTATTTAATTATGATACTAAATAAAAATTGCTTTTTGAAATTTAAGGTCACATTGCAAATTCAATGGTCGAAGATTTAATAGCTAAAATAACAGCCGTCGAAGACATTCCAGCAGATTTAGCAACTGATTTGGTGACACTGTTAAATAATGTTGTTCAAGAGACACCGACAATTTTTCCTGTAAGTAATTTTTTATGAAAATTTCCAATTTCTCGAAACTTACTTCATATTTATTTGTTAATTGTAATAATATAATTTAAGTCTTTAAAAAAAAGAAAGAAAAATTTGTTACTTTTTCTAAAAAGAAGAAAAATAATTATTTTTTTCAAAGAAAAATGAATGAAGAAAAATATATTAATTTTCCAAAAAGAGAAAATTGTTATTAAAATATAAAAAATGTTTGTTTTCTTTTTAGCAACCGGAAACAGTTCAAAGATATATTCGCACTTGGCGAAAATTATTGGAATTAATAATAGTGCTCGGCGCATCTTTAGCAGAAATTGAAAAACGTTGGGCAAATTCACAGGGTCCACTTGCCCATGAATTCACCGCCGATCAAGTGAAACGACTAATTCGAGCACTTTTCCAAAATACAGAACGTCGATCCGCCTTGTTAATGCGAATCAAATAATCTTTTTCGATGATGATGTTGATGATGAAATAAAAAATTTGATTTTTTACCTTTTTTCGATTTTTTTTAAAACCGAACATAGAAACGAAAAAATTATACTTACTTTTTTCAATTTTTGACGATGGAAAAAAAATTCTCGTTTTCTAATTTTCTTGATATCTTCCGATTTTTTTCGCTTCTTTTTTTTTTTGTAAAATTTACTCTTGTAAAATTTGATGGTATTTAAAAATGTAATCACAGGTGTGCTTGTATAGTATTCGAGGAAATATAAAATTATTCTTGCAAATTTTATATTTTTATACGCATTAACAAATTTCTCTTATGAAAAATGTCAAGAAAGCCAAATGACAATGCAAAACATAATAAACCGGTATTCACACCTTGCGAGTAAAGTATAATAAAAAAATTGTTTTTTAATTAATTAAATGAAGAAATGAAAACATTTTTCAAATTCAGAACAAGTAGAGGCGAACAAATGAAAAATGTATTTAAATACGAAACATTCGATTGTTATATGTAATATAATTAATGTTGATGATTAGCACAAAGCATTTTTAATTTCCTGTAAAATTGTAACAAAAACAAAATATTAAAATCTCTACAACTGTTGAAGATATTTTATTTCTATTCTATTTTTCAATCTCAATTTATAATTTTTGGAAAAATTTCCTCAGCAGTTGTGTTTGGAAAAAAAAAACGAGAAACTAAAGAAAAAAAGGTGAAACACTGAGAAATGAAAAAATTAAAGGACAAAAAAAATAAGACGTAGAAATTGTCTTTATTTTAAAGATATCTTAAAAATGTGCTTAACAAATACAAAATACAGTATTTCGAGTATTTAAATACAATCTTCTTATGCAGCACGTATTTACATAATATATTTTAAGCATTTTTTTTATTCTAGTATACACTCTCCGATTCAATTAAATGAATCATTAAGAATTCTTATCTAAACTAATAACTAAAGAAGAAAAAAAAAGTTCCCACGATTAATCGGAGAGTCGCATTATTTTTTTTTTCTCAAATACATTTTATCTAAAAAAAATGTTCATCCCTGGCAACAGAAACATTAATATATATATACTATATATAAATATAAACAATATAAATCATTACACAATTAATCGTAATCCTATAGAATTGATTACAAATACAAAATAAAATGTACACATTATTTTTTTCTCAAATTATAACCGCATGGTGTGAATTCCGGAATTTGCCAGGGGAGGGGGAAAGTTCTTTAAAATAAAAATTTGATAATTGAAAGTATCTCTCTTAACTACTTTTTCGGGTTTTCTCGCAGGATCAATTTTTTTTTTTTTTTTGGAAATTAAAGTTTTTCTTCGTAGAATTACGATTTTAAATTTCCCAAAAATTAGATTTTTAATTTTTCTCGTTTTTTTTTTTGAAACAGCACAAGACACAAAGCAAGCAGATGTTGAAGGCGGACAGGCAGAAAAGCAGGCAGGGTGGGCAATTCGATTTCTCTTCCGAAATCAAAATTAAAATTTCTTTTTTTTTATCGTTGCTTTTCGAAACAATAAACCGATGAATAGGGGGAACAAAAAGTCAGTTTTTTTTCTATTTCACACTTTTTTTTTCTTTTTTCTTTTTGAATGCATGGCCTACAGTTTGCCAGTTTTTTTTTTTTGTATAAAAAGAGAAGTCTTTTTCTGAAAAAGACATAATTTTCGTTCCCATTCCAAAAGTTTATTCCATGGAATGTTTTTTCTTTTTGATTTTTTTTTCTAGGAAAAATGTAGCGGAAAAAAAGGTTTTCTTTGCGAAATTTTTCGGATATTAAAGAAGTGTGAAAGATTATGTCACTTGGAAGAATTTTTTCCTTTTTCTTTGATGATATTTTTAAATCATTGGAAAAGATGATGTATTTTTTTTCGTCGAGATCATAATGTTACACGCTCTTTATATTCAGTTCACTACTCTGGGAAATTTTAGTTAAATTAAAAATTGTTCGTTGCACAAGTTGGTGAAAAAAATGTCATTGAAAAGTTCACGACGTTTATAATCAAGTTTAAGAATAAAGTTTATAATAATAATAATAATAATAATTTTAGAATGAGTTTATAATCAATCACTAAGAACTAGTGAAATATTTTTTTGTTTTTCATCGATATTTGTGAAAAAAAACATATTTTTTTTTTTATTGTAAACGATGTGAACTTGACAAATGTACGAAAAATGCGAAATTTTATTCCTAAATTGGCAAATTTTCTTTTTAAATTTTTTGTCTTTACTTAACCATTTTTTTTTTTTTTTTTTTTTTTTTTTTTTTTTTTTGATGAATTTTTAATTATTAACGCGAAAAATTTTTTTGTGCAAAATGCAAAGATTGCAAAGTTAATTCTAGAATTTTTTGTCTTTAGTTTTACGAACTTTTTTAAAACTGAATTCTTAATTAATGCGAAATTTTATTCTTTAATTGGCAAATTTTCTTTTTGAATTTTTTTGTTTTTACTTAACAAATTTTTTTTCTTTTTTTGATGAATTCTTAATTAACGCGAAATTTTTTTTTGTGTAAAATGCAAAAATTGCAAAGTTTATTCTCGAATTTTTTGTCTTTAGTTTTAATTTACGAATTTTTTTTTTTTGCTGAATTCTTAATTAACGGAAAATTTTTTTTATCAAAATGCAAAAATTGCAAAGTTTATTCTCGAATTTTTTGTCTTTAGTTTTACGAACTTTTTTAAAACTGAATTCTTAATTAATGCGAAATTTTATTCTTTAATTGGCAAATTTTCTTTTTGAATTTTTTTGTTTTTACTTAACAAATTTTTTTTCTTTTTTTGATGAATTCTTAATTAACGCGAAATTTTTTTTTGTGTAAAATGCAAATATTGCAAAGTTTATTCTCGAATTTTTTGTCTTTAGTTTTAATTTACGAATTTTTTTTTTTTGCTGAATTCTTAATTAACGCAAAATTTTTTTTATCAAAATGCAAAAATTGCAAAGTTTATTCTCGAATTTTTTGTCTTTAGTTTTACGAACTTTTTTTGATGAATTCTAAATCGGGAAATTTTTTTTGTGCAAAACGCAAAAATTGCAACGTTTCTTTTCGAATTTTTTGTCTTTAGTTTTACGAACTTTTTTTGCTGAATTCTAAATCGGGAAATTTTTTTTGTGCAAAACGCAAAAATTGCAGTTTTGTCTCGAATTTTTTGTCGTTAGTTTAACGAACTTTTTTTTTGCAGAATTTTTTTAATTCAGACGATTTTAATTTTAACCGAGTCAATTAGTAAGATTTAATTTTAACCGATTCGACTTTAATAATCACGATTCGATTTGAATAAACACGATTCGATTCTAATTTATAAAACCGACTCGAGTTTAATTCAAATCGACTCAATTTAAATTTTAACCAAATTCGTCAGAGCAAATGAAATTTTTGCCAATTTTTTTTATGCAGTATGATTTCAAGAACAATTTATCAAATTTTCTCCAATTTAACGAAAACTTATTTTTATTACTCGAAAGATTGTGTAATGGGACAAAAATTGGCAACGTGAGCAGCCTGTAAACCATTTTTTTTCTTTTTTCTTTTTCTTTTAATACAATTGGAAAATTGGATTTTGAATTCGTTTTGTTGCATGTTTTTCATTTTGTTATCCATAAAGTAGTTTAAAGAGAAAAAAAAAATAATTATGTACACGTTGCTGTGAAGATTGGACAGAGTAGTCATCTAGGCGGGGTTGATTGGTCCCGCACTTCAGATTGGGAACGTAGCATTCTAGTTGTTTTACGTGCATTCGCGCAGATGACGATGACTGTGAACATGGAAGGGCAAAATAGTTTTTCACATTATTTCGTCACTTTTGCAGGAATTTTTTGTTTTTTTTTTTTGTTTAAAAACCGCCCGTTCTTTTGAAGTGTGCCGCGTTTTTTTCCATGCATAAGGGGAAAATTATTTTTTTGTTCTTCGAAAATTTATTTGAAAAAATTGCTTTACAAGGGGTTTTTGTTAATTTTAATACTTTTGAATTTATAAAGAGAGAGAGAGAGAGAGAGAGAGAAATGATTTTAATTTTCTTTTTCGATGAGAGAGAGTGAGAGAGAGAGAGAGAGAGAGTGGTCCTGGGGGGAAATGAAAATAATTTTTTTGCTGGGGATTGTCAAAATTAGATTAAAGGTGGAAATATTTGAAACTGTGAAGTTTCATTAGAGAATTAGAGCAATTTTACAGTGATTAGGTTACTGTTGTACCTGCTACGTCCAGCAGGGGATCGGCTGCGATACCTCGAGGAACCGGAGTCCTTGTAGTAGTCGTTTCCGGCGCCGCCGCCAGTGCCATAGCTGTCTTGTGAATAGGGGTCGCGAGTGGAATAACCACTGTTGGAATAATCTTCTCCATAGCGACTTCGTGACCTATTGGCGCCGCCCCTGCCTGCATAATAGCCGCCTTGATCGCCGTAACTGCCGCTGCTGCCACGATAACCGCCGCCACCGCCGCTGCCTCCACGTGAATTGAATCGTGAGCCACCACGATAGCCTGAACCGCCCCGGCCACCGCGACCACGACCACGTGATATCTCGACTCTCAATTTGGCGCCGCATATCTCGGATCCGTTCATATTGTTGCAGGCCATCTCGGCCTCGTCCATATTCATGAATTCAATGAAGGCAAAACCGGGAGGATTGAACGCCACCCACACCTTTTTTAGTTTGCCAAATTTCTCGAATTCATTCTGTAGATCTTCCTTCTTGATTGACTCGTTAAGACCGCCAACATAGACTCGTGTGCAACCGTCCGCGTTCATTTTTCACCTGAAAACGTCGATTTTTGTCAAGATAACACATCCGCCCTTAATCGATGTACATTTTCTTTTTTTATTTTTCTATTGAATTTGACTATAACGTTGACTGTATTTCTCATTTTTTTTTAAACTATTTTTTTAATCGAAAATATTTCCAGAGCGAAAAAATTTTATTTTCAAAAATTGGATTGAATTTACAATTTATTTTTTATTAAATGAGTTTTGTTTTCTCTTTACTTTCGATCATTTATTGTAAAAAATAGAAATTACACTAAAGGATCAAATAGATTTTAAATATTGGACTCTATATCATTTTTTTTTACAATAAATGACCAATAAAAAAAAATAAAAAAAACTCTTTATCAAAATGAAAATTTGCTGAAAGTTCAAAAATATCTACAGAATTTTAAGGAAATTGGTGAAACTGAATTATCCTCAAAAATAAAAGAATGAATTTTCACTTGAAGAAGAAAGTAAAAATTAAATTTGTTAATTAATTACTTTATTAATTTTAGAATTTTGTACCTATGTTTTACTCGATTTGTATTTAAAAGAAAATAAAATTATTTTCTATAGTGAAAAAATTAATTCTCAACTAACAAAAGTTTAATTTTAATATTTACTAAATAAATAAATAAATTATCTTTTCATACTTTTTTGCATCTATTTTTAAAATTTCTTCAAATAATTCAATATTTTCGTATTCAAATTTTTATATTTGAATCGCTTTGTATTTTTTTTTTTTATAAAAAAGGAAATTATTTTTTAAAGTAAAAATATTAATATTCTTACTTAAATAAAAGTTTGATTTGAATAAATGAGTATTTTCGAGTTTCAATATTTTAAAAAAAAATTACTAAACAATAGAAAAAAAAAAAAATTTTTATTTTCTAGCTAAGAATTAATTTTTTTCCAAACAAAATTATTTTCTTTTTTATAGTAAAAATAGAAAACTTTGAGTAAAAAAAATATTGGTTATTTGAACATTCAAAATTTTTAAAATAGGTGGAAAATATTAAAAAGATAGTAAATCATTATTTTGGAAAAAATGTTGACTTTAAAATTCAAATTAAAGTTAAACTTTTATTTCTGAGTTAAGAATTAATTTTTTTACTGTAATAGAAAATAATATCCTTTTTTATAAAAAAAAAAAAAATCAAAGAGATTCAAATATAAAAATTTGAGTACAAAAATAATGCTTTACTTTTTAAACCTATTTTTAAAATTAAAATTTCCAATGTTCAAATAATTTAAAATTTTTGTACTCATATTTTTATATTTGAATCTTTTTGTATTTTTACTGTAAAAAAGAAAATTATTTTGATTGAAAAAAAATTAATTCTTAGCTAATAAATAAAAGTTGAAGTTTAATTATTTTTCTCTATTGTTTAGTATTTTTTAGAAATATTTAAACGTTTAAAAATTAAATATTTACAAAAAAAAATTGTTTATTATATTAGAAACTTGAAAAAAATTGAGTCAATATTATTTTCAAAATTAAATTTGCATTTCTTTATAATGAAATAAAAAATAATAGAAAAATTAATTTCTAATTAAATAAAAGTTTAATTTTATTTTTTGTTTTGTTTAGTAATTTAAAAAAAAAATCATTTATTAAAATCAAACTTTTTTAAATTAAGAATATTAATTTTTTTTACAATAAAAAATATATTCTTTTTTTAAAAATATAAATTGAGTATAAATATAAGTTCAATTGAATAATTTATACGTTCAAAACATGAAAAAGATTTTTTCAGCTCAAAAAATGAAATTATTGAGTTAAAAGAATTTTTTAATTTAGTAATTTTTTTAGGATCATCATAATTAAAGGAAATAAAAATAATATGAATTTAGATATTTTTGTTTTTTGAAAACTATTTTTATATAGTAAAAAAATTAATTCCTAACTAACTGAAACTTTAACTTTTAGTTTTATTCTCGTTTGTTTAGAAATTTTTCTAAAATGTTTGAATAGAAAAAAAAATTTGATTTAGGAGGAAGTTCAAAATGTTAGGAAAATTTCTTCAGTTCCAAAAACTTGTAATTTTTGAGTTAAAAATCATTTTTTAATTTTTAGATTAACTTAGAATCATCAGTTTTTAATTAAAATATGAAATAAAACTTATTTCTATAATGAAAAATAAAATAAAACGTACTTCTACAATAAAAATAAAATAAAACTTATTTCTATAATAAAAAATAAAATGAAACTTATTTCTATAATAAAAAATAAAATAAAACTTATTTTTTTAATAAAAAATAAAATAATAAAATTTGTTTATTAAAAAAATAGTTTAAAAATTTATTCTTAACTAAGTAAAAGTCCAATTGTTTAATTATGTTTCTCTTTTGTATGGTAATTTTTAAATATAATATTTAAACGAAAAAAAATTCGATTTATTAGAACAGACAAAACAGAAAAATTTCTTCAATTCCAAAAATTCAAATTTTCGATTCAAAAAACATTTTTCAATTTTGAGATTATATTAGAATCACCATTATCCTGAATTAATTGAAAATTATACGAATTTGATTAAATTATTATAATTTAAAATATTAAAAAAAATTCTAAATGTTCATAATTAAAATTTTTAACTTCTAGTTTCAGAATAATTATTTTATTTTGGAAAAATAATTCATAAATACACTATAAGTTTAAGGAAAAAAAACTATTAACTAATAGCAGTGTAGTATAAAAAATGAAACATGCCTTTATAAAAGAATTTCATTTATTTCGATAAAAATTACCGACGATTTTGGGGTTTTCGAATATATTGTCAGGGAAAAAAAGTGTAAATATTTTCACAATCGTGATTAATTTTGATCAAGACAAATGTATATTATTGATGGTAAAAAAAATTTAAAAATCGTTGTCAAAAAAAGATAATTTCGTTGCTAAGTCGTTGTTTAAAATATGAAAACTTGTAATAATATTCAAAGGAAGCGAAGAAAAGTCGTAAAATATTTTAAATTATTGTCATATACTTTCGAAAAATAACAAGAGAATGTTTATATTTCGACGGGTCATGAGATTGAAAAATGTCGTAGAGTAATTGATTGCTTTTAAGTTTACAGAAAATAGACGATAATATTTATTTCCATTTTCGTGAATTTTACTATTATTATCATGTCGTTATTATTATTATTTGTCGATTTTTTTCTATATTTTGTTTTTTTAAAAATGGCGTTTTTCAAAAGATTAACACGAAGAAGACGAAAAGTAAACGTGACATTTGAGCGAAGAATGAATAAAAAAATGAATTATCTGTCATTACATAATATGAAATATGCGTAATATTGTTAAAATTATTTCGAGTTTCTGTATTTATCTTATTTTACTATCGTAGCTTAAATTTCTTGAGAGACAGAAAAAAAATATTATTGTTCACAAACAATCGAAGCGTAAAATGTATTTTCAATTTCTAGTTTCATTTTACAAGGTAAATATTATTCGCCGTAGAGCGTAAATAAAGGAAATCGTTTCACTAATCAGGTTTTACATAAATTATCCCTTGTATATCGATTTAAAAATATTAATTTCTGATATGAGAAAATTAAAGAATTGGAAATCGACAAGAATAAATTTTAAATACCTTCAATGAAATGAACGGAACGGAAGTCAATATTGCAAATCTGATGATTTCAAAAAATAACATTAAATTGTGAAAAACGTCGTGAATCGCAATTTTTTCGATTTAATTTGCAATATGAGAAAAATTATTGAAGTCAAAGTACGCAACAATTGTAATGAAAATACTGTTGAAGGGGCTGATAACAATTTTCTCGTTGGAAATTCAAGGTCGAGGCGAAGCGTCGATTGAAATTTCGGAGAAAGAATGGATTCTTTTAAAGATATAAATAAATATCTCGTAGTTTTACAAAAAGAACGTTGTTTATTGCGTTTGTAAAGCGCACATTCTCCTATTTACAGAGGTAAAATATTCTTATTTTTGTTTGAAATAAAAAACGTGACCTAATTTTTTTGGAATTATTGTAATTTATAGTAAAAACGCTATAATTTTCTTTTTAAAAAAAATCAATTTTTGTAGGTTATTTCAAGAAAAAGCTTTGTAAATAAGAAAAAACAATGGCAGAAACTTTCGAATTTAAATATAACGCATATTGGTCTCTTGTCTTTTTTCTACAATGGAAAATTTTTAAAACAACTTGTCGTGAGTGAAAAATACAATAATAATAATTGCATTAATGTCAAAAGTTTGAAATAAATTCGATGTTTGGTCGAGACAAAGCACTACTTTTACATTTTAATCAACCGACGAATTGTACAATAGTTTTTTTTTGTATTATAGAGAAAAATTGACACGGCGTTTTTAGAGAGAAATGGACGAAACGCTAAAGGAGAAGAATTATTATATTTTTTTTCCGTTCAGAGTCAGCTTTCTTTGCTTCACAAAAGTTGAAATTGCGTCGAAGAATAAGAAAAAAACGACTTACGGTGATTGAGATCAATTCGACGATTTGAAGGACCTTCTCGTCAACGATGATATTTGTCGTGATTAAATTTGACGTAAACAATACGATTTTTTTCGAGTTCTGAAACTCTTGATGTACAAAATCAATAGAGAACAGTGTCCAAAACGGAAGCGGGGTTCACAAAACACAACGCAGAAAACATTTCCTTCCCCTTCCCCCGTAATTTAGACTCGAACCCAAAGGCCAGTCAGGAGCGTAACTATTCTTTCAAGGCACCTGACACTTCATTTTTCCAAAAAATTTTAATAATTAAAAAAAATTATTAATAATGTATTATACTATATGTATATTTATTCATATTATTGTTTTTATTATCTTTATTCGTTATTCACTCCTAATGATTTCTTACGATTCCTAAGAATTTACCATTCATTTACTCCTTTTATTGCCTTTATTATTAATTAATAAGTTTTAAGCAAAAAATGTTAACAATGTTTCATGTTTAAAAAATAAAATTTTTAAAATAAATTTATTTACAACTATTATTACCTATCGAAGAGTTTCTACACTGATGTAGTTAATTTTCTATTGAATTTTATCAACTAAATTTATTTCGCTCAAATATTTTTTACAACTACAGTCATGTTCCTTAAAGCAGAATTCACACTCATTCACAATTCACCTGAAGCCTGAATTAAATTTATGTCTGTTATTTATTACTTTAGAGTTGAAATAATAATTGTTGATACTTCAGTAAATTTACCAATAATTATAAATAAATATTAATTCTTCTCTTTTGTTATAAGGGGTCGTTCACATTCGTACCCTAAAAACATAGTGATATGAACGCACCTTTTCTCGCGAGTCGCACACGATAAAAGTGATCCAACCCTGATTACCGATAAAATAGGTCTCTTCATATAATTCTTTGTGAGAGGTAAGTGTTTGAGTTGCTGTCATGGCTGATCATGTTGATCATGTCATTCTAAAGATCACATTTTTTAGTTGAAAAAATAAATCACGTAATGAAAATAATTTCCAACTCAAATACGTGAGAATAAAAAAAAATACATTATTTATAAAATTTATGAAAATTCATTTTCTACAATTTCTGCTTTTTTTAATAATGTTTATTTACATGAATATCGATGAAGATTCATGAAAAGAAAATATATTACCTACTCCAATAACTTGGAATTATTAAAACAACTATGGATAACATAACGGTAAGTAACTGTTTTCTTTATTTTCAATGGGAAATTGTTTTTAATTTATTCTCATTATTTATAATTTGTTTCGTATAACAAGTAAATTTTCTTTGATAATATAATTTCTGTTGGATTGTTGCCAAATTTAAAGGAGAACATAATATCAATTGTTACGAGAAAGATAAAATATTTACAAAAAGTGTAATTTACGGGAAAATAATGAAAATTTTCCAGATTCTTTCTTTTGGATAATTTTAATTTTTAATTAAATTTTATTTGTAAATGTTAAAAATGTAATTTTTCAATTTGGAGTTAATTAAAAGTTGAAATTTTTATTTGTTTTCGTGGTTGTATTGTCTTTTTTTACATACGACTGATAATTTCTTGTACTTTGGCATTAAAAGTTCAGATTCGATACTGCGTAGTAATCGACAATTTTAATACTAAATAATCCGGAAATTTAAATTATTCACATTTTTGTAAATTATGCATTCGGAGCGTTGAATTATTCATTATTAGACTTTTGATTAAATTTAGTGAAACTCTTAAATAAATGAACTAATTAATTAAATAATATGTTTAATATTTTCTTATTAAGCTTCATTTTACTTTTTTTTTAATTTTCTTAATAAATTATAAAAATTAAATGTAAACAATTAAAATCGAAAAAATTAAATATATTTTTGTAATTTAATGCATTTTGTTTCAGGGTGTAGTTAAAGCCATGTGCCGTGGCTTAGGAGACAGTTTGAAAGGTGCTGTTATTCTTTATTATTTAGATAAACAAATTAATGAAAAATTCAAAAAAACTGCTTCAAAGCAAAATGCGAGAAGGAGTGGTACACCGAATAATCAGAGTCCAGGCGTAAAACTAAAAGAACCTCGGTAAAATAATTCAATTTCGTTAATTTTTCATAAGAATTTTGTTTTTAATTAAACCATAGAAATCAATAACTTTTTTTTATATTTATTCTCATCATTAGTATTTTTTTAAAAGGGTCACAGTTTCTATTTTTTTACAATAATGGAGTTTCTTTATTTATTTGAATTGAAAATTTTAAAAGTAATTGAATTTTATGGACAATTTTGTTCAATTTTTTAAAATAAACGTGTTTCTTAATAATTTAAATTAAACATTTAATTATTGAATTTTATTAAAAATTTTTTAAAATAATTAAATTCTTCTTACAATTAGAATTTTATTACAATTTTCTAAAACAATTTAATTTACTCAAGGAATTTTAATTCAAGATTTTCAAGTTAATTGAATTAAACAGATTAAATATTTTATTATTGAAGTTTATTAAAATTGTATTGAAAATAATTTAATTTCTGAGAAGAATTTTATTAATTTATAAAAATTTATGAAAATAATTCAATTCTTGCGAAGAATTATAATAAAGTTTTTGGAAATATAAACAATAATAATTATATATGTACTTAATAAGTGGATTTTAAAAATTTTGATTACAAAACATTTGCTAGTTTTATAATAATTGAATTACTTCGAAGAATTTTATCAGAATTTTTGAAAATAATTGAATTGCTTTCTCATGGAGGAAGTATTTAATTGATATTTTAAAAAATAATTGTATTCTTTCGAGAAATTTTACTAAAATTGAATTAAAAATAAATGAATTCCTCCGAGGAATTTTATTATTAATGAAAATAATTGAATTTCTTTGAAGTATTTTATTATTTATGAAAATGATTTAATTCCTTCAAGGAATTTTATTATTTATGAAAATAATTGAATTCATGCGAAGAATTTTATTAAAATTTTTCAAAATCCCAATTAAATTCTTTTGAAGAATTTTTTTGAATTTTTTTAAAATGTTAATTAATTTTACTAATAAAATTTTATTAAAATCATTGATAGAAAATTAAAAACTCTTTGAAACAATTTTATTAGAGTTTTTGTAAATAATTCAACTCTTTTGAAGAATTTCTTTGTGTTTTTTTTCAAAATAATTGAATTGTTTCCAAGAATTTATTAGAATTTTAGAAAATAATTAAATTCTTTCTAAAAATTTTATTAAAAATTGGAAATAATTTAATTGAATTCTTTCGTGAAATTTTATTAAAATTGTATTGAAAATAATTGAATTCTTACGGAGAATGTTATTATTTATGATAATAATTGAAATTTTGAGAAGAATTTAATCAAAATTTTTTAATATAGTTGAATTCTTTAAAGAAATTTTATTAAAAGTTCTGGAAAATAAATTTTTAAATTTTATAAAAAGAAATTTAATTTTTGAAGAATTTTATTAAAAAATTGACACAATTAAATTTTTATTAAACAAATTGTATCATTTTCTAATTTTTATAGAATATTATTTAATATTTTACAAGAGATTTCTTAAATTTTTTTTAAATAATTGAATTTTAAAAATAAATTTTACAGACAATTTTAGAAATAATTAAATTTTTAAGATTAACTCAATTTTAGAATTACATTAATAATTTTTTAAGTAATTGAATTTTGGAATTATTATAATTAAAATTTCTTAGTTTTAAAGAAGATATATTTGTATATTTTTCAAGAAATTTATTAAACGTTTTGAAAATTAATTAATTTTTTAAAGAATTGTACAGAAAACAAGATTTTAAATAACCAGAAGGAAACGATAAGGAAAAATTAAAATTATTTAAAATAATTGAATGTTTGCAAAGACTACTTATTAAAAAAAATGATTGAATTGTTTCCATGGATTTATTCAAATTTTAGAAAATAATTGAATTCTTTCATGAAATTTTATTAAAATTGAATTGAAAATAATTCAAGAATATTATTATTTAGGAAAATAATTGAATTCTTGCGAAGAATTATATTAAAATTTTCTAAAATATAAACAATAATAATTAATTAATGTATTTAATAAGTGAATTTTTTAAATTTTGATTATTAAATTATTCAAAAATTTAGATTTAAAAATTCTAATAAATAATTTCATTGTTTAATTAATTAATCTTCACTATCAATTTTAATCAATCGTATGATCAATGAAAAATTTTCTGTAATTCAAAGAATCGAAATTTTAAGAAATAGAAATTTTATTTACTCCAAATTGTTATTTGTTAAAAAATTATTAGTTCTATAAATAAATTTTAAACTTTTTTAACCTTCAATTATGAAGAAGAAAGAAAGAAATCAAAATTTGAATAAATACAAATTAATTATTTTGTATATAATTTTATTTTATTGAGATTTTTTTCGTCACTTTCTTGTCACTTCTACTTTTATAAAACAATTCACCTATTTCAGAAAAAAAGTACTGTGATCCTTACTATTAATGAATATTTATTAATAAAAAAATTAATTGACATTAGGTAATTTTATTAAAAAAATAGTTAAAAATTAATAAATGTAAATAGTTGCAAATTAATTAATTGTGATTATAATTAATAAATTAATTAAAAAATCAGTAATATTCACACTTTTTTTTAAAGAATGATGAAATATAAGTTGTAAAGTTGAAATTTGGGAAGTAATTTATTGCTTTTTTTATTTCAGTGAATCGACAATTCTAACAAGAACAATGCAATGTTGCGGTCTTAATGGGGTATTTTTTTTGGGCAGTATTTTAATATTTGAAAATATTTTATTTCCCTTTTTAAAATACTTACTGACTGTTATATTTGGTGATTCGCCTGGTATGGAGAAAATACTTTGGTCCTGGATAAACCCCTTTTTGGCTCTAACTTTTGGTACATTTTGGATACTGCCACTCTTTATGCTCAGTAGGGTAATCAACAGTTTCTGGTTTCAGGTAAAAATTTATTTTTAACGCCTCATTATTTTTATAATTATTTATATTTATATATAATAATAATAATCGAGATATTTTGTCCTCACGTGAAGTTAGAGCTTTTTGATTCGAAATTGTTTTACAGCTCAAATTGTCATGTCAAAAGTCTGATAATTAATTTCTAAATTATAGTGATTAGTGTTTTAGTGAAATCAATTCTCGTAGAATTTTTACAAAAATAGCATTTTCACAGGTCGGGAAAAAAAGGAAATTTTATTCAAAAACATATCAAATTATTCAAAATCTTAAATAGTCTATGAATTTTCTTTATCAAATTCAAAAAAACCCATAAGTTGCAATTTTTATAAATAATCAATTATTTATTTTTATATTTAAATAATTCATTTCTCGTACAACTTTTTCAAAAGAATTGATTGGAAAACGAATATCAGTAAAACTTTTAGAAAATATTTCAAGAATTGAAGTTTTAATTTTAATTAAGCTTCAAAAGGTTTTATATTGAAAGTATTTTTAAATTGTAATTCCTGCTGGACAAATAAATAGATAATAATAAGTATTCAAATATTTATTAATCAAATTTGAAAAATTTTATTTAGAAATTCTGAAAAACGAAAGTTTTTAAAAAATCGTAATTGAAATTTTTTTTAAATATTAGAAGCGTTACAACAGGAATTTTAAGAAATAATTTAAGTTTTACAAGTTTTTAAATAATTGAAATCTTTTTAACATTTTAATCACCGTAAAATTATAATAATATTTAAATGTCTATTAAAAAAAATTATTAATTTATTATTTTTCTTTAAAAATCATTCAAAATTTTAAATAATTTTATTCAAAAATTCTAAAAAATAATATTGACTTTTGGAAAAATTACAAGATGTAATTTTTAGAAATAATTAAATTTCAAAAGGTTTTACATTTAAATTATTTAAATCTCCAATTAATATAAAGAACAATAAGTGTATAAATATTTGTTTAACAAAAATTATTTAAGTTCTGAATAATTTAATGTAAAAATTCTAAAAAAAACTATGTTTTTGAAAAATTGTAATTAAAATTTTTTTGAAGATAATTGAATTCTCGAAAATAATTTTAAGAATTGAAACAATTAAAAGTTTTGTCAAATTTCATTGAAATAGATTTTATAATGTAATTAAAATTATTATTTTTTAATAAATTTTAATAAAATTCTTAGCAGGAACTCAACTATTTTGAATATATAATATTTTAATAATACCACTGGAACACTGCTGGTAACAAGTTTATTCTAATTTTTTTTTTAAATTCAATTATTTTCCAAATTTTTAATTAGAATTCTTCAAAAATACGATTATACTTCAAAACAGTTTTCAAAAGTAAACAAATAAAATTCATTAAAATATAATTTTAATGAAATTTGACAAAATTTTCAATTGTTTCAATTTTTTAAAATTATTTTCGGAAATACAATTATTTTTAGAAAATTTTAATTACATTTTTTCAAGAAACAATTTTTCGGAATTTCTGAATTAAATTATTCAAAAGTTCAACACTTTTTGTTAAACAAAAATTTTAAAACTTATTCTTATTTATTTTTCCATAGGAATTAAAATTTCCTATAATTTATAATGAAAAACCTCAAGAAATTTAATTATTTCTAAAAATTGCAATTGTAATTCTTCCAAAATTCAGTTGTTTTTTTTAGAATTAAAATATTTAAAACTTCAAGAATTTGTAAAGAATAATAATGTAATTAATAATTTTTTTAAATAAAAATTTTAATAGGGTCAAAATAAGTGAAACCGGCCACTTGAAAAATTTTTATCTCCAATTTTCAAGTTATCTATGATTTTTAGTAGATATATGAGTACACTTTTTCCCCCTAAAATATTTTTCAAAAAAAAATTTTATTTTTGAAGTAATTAGGTATTGAAGTTTTAGGTCATTTTATTTTCATTTTATTATTACTTTGAAACAAATAAAGATAATTAAGTAATTTTTTTTTTAAATTAAAGCTTAAAGTCTATACTTTAAAGATGAAATGAAGCGATTGCTAAAAAATGAAAATTTATAATTGTTATTAACAATTCTTTTAAACAATTGCAAATTGAAGAATGTTCTCAATGTTTTTGAAAGATTAAATTACGATATATTGATGCGCAAAACTATAAGGATTCATTTAAAAAAAAGAAAAATGAGTAACCTCCAATATTATAGAAATTGTGTAGATTTTTCTGCCAAAATGCAGGCCAAAATCGATTTTTAATCTTAAAAATCCGCTTGAAAGCGTGAAGTTTCTAACAAAACAAAAGGAGATCTTATTTATTCGTTTGCAATTTTATCTTTTTCCAGGAACTTGAGTCAATTTTTGCTTGCATTTTGTCAGCAAAATTTACATAATTTCTATAATATTGGAAGTTACTCATTTTTCTTTTTTTTAAATGAATCCTTATAGTTTTGCGCATCAATATATCGTAATTTAATCTTTCAAAAACATTGAGAACATTCTTCAATTTGCAATTGTTTAAAAGAATTGTTAATAACAATTATAAATTTTCATTTTTTAGCAATCGCTTTATTTCATCTTTAAAGTATAGACTTTAAGCTTTAATTTAAAAAAAAAATTACTTAATTATCTTTATTTGTTTCAAAGTAATAATAAAATGAAAATAAAATGACCTAAAACTTCAATACCTGATTACTTCAAAAATAAAATTTTTTTTTGAAAAATATTTTAGGGGGAAAAAGTGTACTCATATATCTACTAAAAATCATAGATAACTTGAAAATTGGAGATAAAAATTTTTCAAGTGGCCGGTTTCACTTATTTTGACCCAATTTATTTTTATACTTTTGCTTCTCTTAAATTTTCTAGGAATTTAATTTAAAAACTTTTTGAAATTTAATTAATTCCAAAAAATTCTGTTGTAACGCTTTAAATATTCAATTATTTTCTAAAATTTTAACTGAAATTTTTTTTAAATCAATTGTTATCAGAATTTTACGTCGAGAATTGAATTATTTAAATAGATTAATTTTTGTAAATTCATAAAATAATTTTTTTTCAAAAACATAATTATATTATAATTTTTAAAGATGAAAAAATAAAATTCTTTAGAATATAAAATTTTATAAGATTTCCAATTGTTTCAATTTTTTAAAATTATTTTCAGGAATTCAAGTATATCTTCAAAATAATTTGATTACAATTTTTTAAGAACCTAATTTTTTTCGGAATTTCTAAATTAAATCTTTCAAACTTCAATCATTTTTGTAAAATAAATATTTAAATACTTATTGTTCTTTATTTGCTTAAAATTTCAAAATACTTTCAATGTAAAACCATGGGAAAAATTTGTTATGAAAATTTGAACTGCAAGTCTTCGAAAATTCAATTATATTTTTATAATTTTTGAATAATATATTATTCAAAACTTTAAATTTTTGAGGAAGCTAACAAATTAATAATTTTTTATATTTAAATATTATTTGACTTTTACAGCAATTAAAATTTCAAAGATTGAAATTTAAAAACTTTTGGAAATTTAATTATTTCTGAAGAATCCTACTCTGACACTTCCGATTATTTTCTAAAGTTTTAATTAAAATTGTTTTTTAAATCAATGCTTATCAGAATTCAATTAGATGAATACAAAAATAAATAATTTCATTGAATAATTAATTATTTTGAAAAATTAAAACGTACCTCTTTATTGAGTTTTTGAAATTGGGGTTAAATTTTCTTAGTCCACTTATTTTATTATTTACAAATTAACTGTCAAACTTTTGACATAACAATTCGAAAAACTATTAAACAAAAAAATGAAATAAAACAACACTAACTTCAGGTGAGGACAGATTATTTCGATTATTATAATATAAATAATAATTTTGATATTTTTGGTAGATGTATATTTTTATTTTCTGATAAATAAATAATGAAATAAATAAATAATTTCTTGTGTTAAATTATAGGACATTGCAGACAGTGCGTATAGATTTAGACAAGGTCGACCTCATCATTTGCCAAGTGTCAGCATTGTCGTTGCTGATATGCTGGTTAGTCTCTTGGTGCAGGTGTTGTTCCTGGCGCAAGGAATGCTTGTTTATAATATTCCATTGCCAATGGTGGGCGAATTACTTGCTCTTGTACACATGTGCCTTTTGTATTCACTTTATTCATTCGAATATAAATGGTTCAATATGGGTTGGGAATTGCATCGAAGACTTACATTTATCGAAGGCAATTGGCCATATTTTATTGGCTTTGGCCTGCCACTAGCATTGCTCACAAAATATTTTGACTCCATTATGATGAGGTAATTATATCAATTATTGTTTTTTCAATCCTTCCTTTTTTATCTAAATTAATGAATAATTAATTTTTATTTATTTATTATTTATTAATTTTATTACTAAATGTTACGTGCGCGGAACGTGATTTTACATTCATTATTATTATGCAAATTACAAAATTTTCTATTTAAAAATATGAATTTTTGAATAATTCAGATTCAAACTTTAAAAAGATTCAATTAATAACTAATTTGCTAATTAATTATTCTAGTTTATTAATTTCAAAAATTTTAATAAAATTCTTCTCAAGAATTCAATTATTTTTATAATTAATAACATTCTTCGTAAGAATTCAATTATTTTTATAAATAGTAAACATTTTTGCAAAAATACAATTATTTTTAAACAAAATTTTAATAAAATTTCACGAAGGAATACAATTTTTATTTTCTAAAATTTTAATAAATTTTTCAAACAATTCAATTATTTTTTAAAATAGTAAAATTCTTTGCAAAAATTTAATTATTTAAAAAAAAAATTTCACGAAAGAATTTAATTTTTTTCTAAATTCATTATAAAATATTTCGAAAAAATTTTCCAAAGATTTACTAAATTCTTCGAAAGAATTCAATTATATTTATAAACAGTGAAATTCTTTGCCTAAATTCAATTAATTTTAATACAATTTAAATAAAATTTCATGAAAGAATTCAATTTTTAAAAAATTTTTAGTAATATTTTTCGAAAAAATTAAATTATTATCTAAAATTTTAATAAATCCTTCGAAACAATTCAATTAGGTATATTTATAAATAGTAAAATTCTTTGCAAAAATTCAATTATTTTCAAAAAAAATTCACGAAAGAATTCAAATTTTTTCTTAATTCCTTATAAAATATTTCAAAACACGTCAATTATTATTTTATAAAATTTCAAGAAATTCTTCGAAAAATTTCAATTACTGTCTAAAATTGTAATAAATCGTTCGAAACAATTTAATTATTTTTTTTAATTACTAAATTCTTTGCAAAAATTTAATTATTTTTAAAAAAATTTCACGAAACAATTCAATTTTTTTCTTAATTCGTTATAAAATTTTTCAATAGAATTCAATTATTTTCCAAAATTTTAATAAAATCCAGTAATTAAATGTTTAATTTCAATTATTAATAAACAGGATTATTTAAAAAATTTTAAAGAAATTATTCATAAAATTAACATATTTTCAAAATTTTTAATTAAAATTATTAAAGAAACTCCATTATTTAATAAAAATCACAAAAATGCTTCAAAAAAAATTTAGTTAGAATTTTCGTGGAACGTGTGTTATTCAATTTATTATTATTATGCAAATTACAAAATTTTTTATTTTAAAATTTAAATTTTTAAATAATTTTGTAATCAAAATTTAAAAAATTAACTTATTAATTACATAATTAATTATTATTGTTTATATTTCCGTAAACTTTATTATAATTCTTCGCAAGAATTCAATTATTTTCATAAATAATAATAACACTCTTCGGAAGAATTCAATTATTTTTATAAATAGTAAAATTTTTTACAAAAATTCAAATATTTTCAACAAAATTTTAATACAATTTCACGAAAAAATTTAATTATTTTCTAAAATTTTAATACTAAATTTTAATTAATTTAATATCCATTGAATCAATTTAATTATTTTTTTAATTACTAAACTCTTTGCAAAAATTCAATTATTTTCAAAAAAATTTCACGAAAGAATTCAATTTTTTTCTAAAATTGTAATAAATGCTTTGAAACAATTCAATTATTTTTACAAAAAGTAAAATTCCTTGCAAAAATTCAATTATTTTTAATACAATTTTAATAAAATTTCATGAAGGAATTCAATTTAAATAAAATTTTATAATAATATTTTTCAAAAAAATTCAATTATTTTTTAAAATTTAAATAAATCTTTCGAAACAATTCAATTTTTTAAAAAAAATTTTCTATAGAATCCAATTATTATCTAAAATTTTAATAAATCCATTTAAACAATTCAATTTTTTTATAAGTAGTAATAGAATTCGTCGTAAGAATTAAATTATTTTTTATACATTAATAAAATTCTTCTCAGAAATTAAATTTTTTTCAATATCTACAATTTTAATAAAACTTAAATAATGAAATATATTTAATGTGTTTAATTCAATTAACTTCAAAATCTTCGATTAAAATTCCTTGATTGAATTAAATTATTTTAGAAAATTTAAATAAAATTCTAATTGTAAGAAGAATTTAATTATTTTATTAAATTATTTTAAAAAAATGAACAAAATTAATCATAAAATTCAATTACTTTTAAAATTTTCAATTAAAAAAAATAATGAAACTCCATTATTGTAAAAAAATACAAAGAAATTCTTCAAAAGAATTTAATTATGATTTTGAAATAATAAAATTCTTTACAAGAATTCAATTATTTTCATAAATAATACAATTCTTCGAACGAATTCAATTATTCTCAAATTTTTTGACAAAATTCTTTGCAAGGATTCAATGACTTTCAATACATTAATTTCAAAATTGAAAATATTTGATAAGAAAAATTAATTTAAAAGTTAGGATACAAAAAAGCAAACAACAACTATCATCAAACTGCGAACAGATTACCGAATTACAACGATTATTAATATAGATTTTCTGATAAAATTTTTTGTAACAATTCGATAATTTCCAATACATTAATTAATTTTAAAATTGAAAATATTTAAAGAGAAAAATTATTAAAAAAATTTAAGCAACAAAAAATAATATAAAAAAGAATGATATTTGTAAACAGAATATTGAAAAATATTTTTTTCTTTCCATCGTTGATCATAAACGTTTTTATTTACTTTAATAATTAATTGTTTGAAAATAATATCGAAAAATTTTTTTTCCAGTGGTTGCGTATTTTCAATTTCATTTCCACTCTTTATAATCAGTGGAAATGAGGCGGAACCCGTAACAGGTGTTTGGTGAGTCAAGTATAATTTTTAATATTATCAATAATTAAAGAATATATAATTAATAATTTAGTAAATATTAACAATTTTAATAATGAATTAATAATAATAATAAAATTAAATATTTTACAATGCAAAAGAAAAAAAAAATGATATCTAGGGAAGACTGGGGCGAAAAGTTAAATTGTGAAAACAGTTAAAATTCATTATCTTTCGAACGGAAATAGTTAGAGCATTGCAATTTTAACTATAGAAGGGTGTTATCACCCTGAATAAATGTCCGGAGTTATGTGATATTCTGCTAATTTTTGTGGTGTCCATATTTAAATTTTTTTTCACCCTACTTTTGAAAATTTTTTCGTAAAAGAAAATATCAATTTTTAAGTATATTTTTTGCATTTATTCACACCGCGATTTTTTTACTTCATTATTAGGGTCCCCTGAAGAGATACCTAAAGGTATTTGCTAAATATCTTCAGTCAGATTTTTTATATTTATTGTTAAAGCCAAAAACGCACCCTGGGGCGAAAAGTTAAATGTATTTTTACATGTTATTAAAAATTTTTTTTTTATTTTTCGTTTTTTGGATTTATTTGTTTATAAATGATTTATTTGACATTAGGCAAGTACTCTATCAAAAAACAAGACCGCTCACGTGAAATAAACCAAAAAAATTTTTTTTTTTTTTAAATTTTAATTTATTAACTTTATAACTAAAGCTTTTGTTAAGTAAACAAAGATCTTTTATTAACTAAATTACTTGTTTACGTATACTTTAACTTATCTACTACTTAACACCTATCAGAAAATAGTTTTAGTAGGCTAAAAATAGAATTTAACTTTTCGCCCCAGCATAGGGCGAAAAGTTAAAAAAAACAAAATTTTCAAAAAAGGACAAAACATGTATTGTATGCGAAAATATCAGAAACTTTTTTATTGAAAGTTGTAGGGGACAAGTTGCCCTACAATATTGATGTATAAATATTTGCATCTAAGCGGATTATATTGTCTAAAAAAAAATCATTTATGCAAAATTTAACTTTTCGCCCCAGTCTCCCCTATAATTAAGAAATCTTAAATAATTAATGAAATATTAATTGTTTTAGTGACTATCCGTTAAAATTGTTCTCGCCTGTGATCGCAGTCGCCAATACACTTTTTACAAAAACAATGGGTCCAGCTAGAAGACGGTGACAATTGAAGCTCACAAACATTCTCAATACTAGTTAAAAGGATTTCTAGGATTTTACGCGAACCGAATTTTGCCAATTTTTTTTAGATATTTGAAAATACTTAATAATTTGTAAATACTTTTTTAAAAAAACAATAACAATCTAATTCGACTCTTTTAAAAAAAGTCGAAACGAATTTAAAAAGAGCTTCTAGATGACTTCTTTATATTTTTCAATATAATAAATTATTTTATTTTTTGTAATTTTCTTTTTACAAAACAATTTTTTTCTTTTAGAAACTCTGAGAAGCTTTTTTTAAATTGAAAACATTTTTTATAAGAATATAATTTCTTTTGGCGGGTATAGCTTAAGTTTTAGATAAGAATTACAAGTTTGACAATGGCGCTTATGTAGAAAATATAATATAAAATTATGCCTTTTTTATACATAGCTCTTAAAAGTTAAACGATCTTTTAAATTATGCAAAAAATTTGCAATTAAAATGATGGGAAAAAATTTGTTTTTCCAATAGTTAAAAATGACTTTTAATAACTGTTTCGCATAATTATTTATATGTTTTAGAATTTTAGACATTTCTTGGAAATTATACAGTCGCTTAGGGATTGTTATTATAAAAAAAATTGAACTCACCATTATTTTTACATTAGAGAATTTAAAAAAAATGAATACAGAAAATTATGTACATACTTAAAAAAAATAGTTTTTGTTTTTAAAGGAAACAAAAGGAAAACAAAACAGTTCATTAGCTAGTCAATTAATATTTAATATACAAAAAAAAGACTTATGTTTCATTAATGGTGCACAATTTATTCATTAAATATTGTTTTCTTTTTTTATTTTCCTCCTTGATATTATTGTGATGATTTCAAAGAAAAATTGTACTTTAGCGAATTTATTTGAAATTGAAAAAAATTATTGTTATTTATAAAGTTATATACAATGAATTAATTATATTTATTTTAAGATATTGGACAATTTTATTTTTTTTAAATTACTTTACATTTTTAGAAAGATAATTTTAGTTTATAAAAACTAATTCTTTGTATTTTTATTTTATGAAAAAATTGTTCACATGAAAAGTGCAATTTTTATATGTTAAAATTGAAAGAATAAAAGAAATTCATTTATTTTGATGAATATACCGAAGAAAAAACAACTTCTTTATAATCACTTTAAATTTTTTCTTAAGCATTTACAGAATATGAAGAAATTAGCCGATAGACTGTGATAAGTTTGTAAGAAATAAGAAACTCTTTTATAAATTCTAAAATTTATTCTTTTATATAAAATATAAATAATTTAAAATTTATAAATTTAAAAATTTATTTCTTTAAAAATTTTTATAATTATAAATTACAATATTTATACTTTTCATAAATTTTAAAATTTATAAAAATCACAATTATTTCTTCATACTAAAAAGAAATTAATTTTGACAAATGTGAAGAATTTTCGTAAAAATTTTTCAACACTAAAGAAAAATATTGAGATTTATCATTTATAGCTTAATTTTCGAATTCCAATCAAGAGATGAACTTAAATAAAAAATTGAACAAAGAAAGCAATTATTTGAAAAAAGAAGAACATTCTCAAAAATGAAATAAATTTTCATGCGTTGAATACAAGTGAGTTTTAAATAAATAAAAATAACAACACTATTTCATATATAGGTAATAGAATAAATAAGTATTCGTAAACAATTCAATTTTAAGAACGAGACTGCTTTATTAAATTTGTCACTTGTTTTCATTTAATTAATAAATATTTATAATTAAAAATAAAAAATTTCCCATTATTACAAATTTTATTCACTTAGAGTGCATAAAAAAGCATAAAATTTTAAATGCCTTCTCTTGTGTGAATTTTACGATATAAGTTTAATTGTACAGCACTAAAAAATATTATTTAGAATTTTTTATCGTTATGCGAAAAAAATTTGTAACAGATTGTACATATAAAGTATATACAAAATAAATGTTTTATACACTGTATACCTTATTATTTTTAATAATATACATATAATAATATAAATTCAAAATTAAAATTTTTTATTAATTATAGTACTGGGCAGGTCTAAGGCACTTAGATGCTTTGCGACCAACATATTTAGACGCTTTGCGTCCAAGATATTTGAACGCTCTGCGCTTAATAAAGTAATGGACGCTTTGCGTTCAAGATATCCCTACTTAAAATTATTGTACATGATCCTGTACAAGATCTTGTTCAAGAATTTGTACTAGATTTTATACAAGTTCAGATACAGGAAAATGTACACAGAATTGAAACAAGTTCTTGTATTTGAACTTGTACAAGATTTTGTACAGGAAAATATTCTGGTACAAGAAAATGTACATGATCTTGTACAAGCAAGCCATATTACTTTAATGAATCTGGCATCAGATTTTCAAAATTTAAAATGTCGGATCCAATATGACGGATAATTTAAAAAAATTTTTTAATTCACTGAATTCCCTTGAAAATCGTTACTCGGAGGATTTCGGGGTCGCTAATTACGAATCTGACATCAGATTTTCAAAATTCAGAATGGCGGATCCAATATGTTTCCAGAAGCTTAACAAACATAACTAATGATTAAAACAAAGAATTTAAATTTAGATTTTTCGAGCTTTAAATTTAAATATAAATAAAAAAAAGAAAAAAATACAGAAAAAATAAAATGTTTTAGAAAAACTATATGCCATATTGGATCCGCCATTTTGAATTTTGAAAATTCAATTTCAGATTCATAATTAGCGACCCCAAAAACCTCCGAGTAACAAGTTTCAAGCGAATCTAATGAGTTTTTAGAAAAATTTTCCGCCATATTGGATTCGCCATTTTGAATTTTTAAAATTGGACTTCAGATTCGTGATCAGCGACCCTTAATACCCCCGAGTAATAAGTTTCAAGTTAATCTAAAGACTTTTAACAATTTCGCCCATTCGGGTAAATTTTGCAAAAAAATTTGAACTTCAGACTCCATTTTAGAGCCGCCATTTTAATTTTTAATTTTCTCTATAGTCCTATCTTGTAGCATATATATTTATGTCACATTATTTGTAACATTTAGAATTATTTTTCTTCTATTTCTTAGTAGAAAAAATTGAAAATTAAACAAAAATTTGAAAAAAATCGTACTTTTTTTATAAAAAACATTAATAACTTTTTTGTTTATAAATTTTTGATTTTTTTATAACGCCATTCGATAGAGCACACATGAAAACATAAGAAATGATGATTGATGAATTTTTCTATTTTTTAAGGGGTCATTCACATATTACGTGATAAATATTTTAGGTATTTTAGACCCCCTTCCCCCCCTGCGTGATACTTTTTCTATAGTTTAGTATAGAAAATTTGTTAAAGCGTGATACTTAGCTGACCCCCCTCCCACCCCTAAATGTATCACGTAATATGTGAATGACCCCTAAGTACCGAAATAAGTCCTCAAACTTCATGCCAAAATTTTGTACTTTGGGCGTTAAAGGGTTAACACAACGTTTTAAATTTTTGACCGCCATATTGGATCCGCCATTTTCAATTTTGAAAATCACCGTGTAACGATTTTCAAGCGAATTCAGTGAATTAAAACTTTTTTAAAAATTATCCGTCACATTGGACCCCTGAAGAAATTGTTTGCCTTATTCACTCTTTCTTCGATATTTATTTAATACATCTTTTACCAAGTCTACGTATTCAAAATACTTTTTCTTAAATCTCGCATGTTCATCAGTAAAATCTAGAAAATACATTATTAGATACTAGCAACAATTGGCGCGCTTCATTTGCATTTTGTAATGACAATTTTTTAAAAAATTTTATTTTATCCGATCGTTTTGAAGAATTAAATTTTTGCTTCTCAAAAACTCACCAATCATGGTAATCATAGTGTTTCTAGGTATATCGTTTTAAATGAATGAGGTTCTTCTTTTATCGACAGTTTCCATAAATTATCTTCACCAAAAATGTGAATCAGTATCTGTTCTAAAATTATACGTGGATTTCCATAAAAATTTTCAACAATACCATCAACAGCATTGGGATCAATCAAAACTTCTTTCTAGGGCATTAATTCAAATTATAAAATAAAATCACCGCTGGAATCCATAAATATAATATCTCACGTTAGATTTTAAATGCTATCGTTACATCCCCCCTACTTGAAATATTAATTAATGTTAATTAAAAGGTGTGAACTATTTCATTAAGCAGACAATAAAAAAATTTAAGATTTTTTTGTATATTATGTTTAAAATGGTTTTACTAATTTTTTTTCCTGCAAAATATACTTTCAGTAGAAAACGAAAACTCGAAAAATTGTAATTTAAACATTAAGGTAAAATGTATTATATATGTTACCCTGAAGCTGTCGGCGGCACCCTTCTTCCTCCTTGTAACATTCTAGAACTCTGTTTATCGAGGCTTCGAATTCTGTTAGACTACGTTTCTTTCTCATGTATTCGCTTGAATCCATAGAGATTGCATTTTTAATGGATACTGACAGAATGTAGAAAATGTCGAAATAAATGCACAGTGATTTGCAATTTGTCATTTTGTTAATAATTTTATTAACCTTGATAAGAAATTAAAAAAGAATAGACGTGGTATCCTTAAAAAATTTTTTAAATTACGATTACTTAGAAGACTTACGTTGTCGTGATACCCAGATAACAAAATGCTTGCAGTACTGCAGAAATTTTGCACTCATACAGGGCCGCTCAAAAGGATTTGTCCACCCTACGCCATGCAAGGGCATTACAAAAAGTTTTGTATCTTCAATAATAATAAAGATAAAATCTTAATCAAATATTTATTTTAAACCTTAAGTATTTGACTTGAAATAATGCCAAAAAAAAATTTTTTTTAATGTTTAATTGCTGAAAAAAAAAATTTTCACTTTTTTTGAAAAATTTCAAATTGATACAATTTTTGAAGAAATCATCACATTTAAAATCTACAAATGTCATTGGAAAACATTTTTTGTCACCTTTCAAACGATTTTTTGAAAATTGCTCTACGATAATTTTTAAGAAAGATATGATCATTTGTTTATAAAAATAGCCTATTTTTTCAATTGTTGGTAACTTGAGAACAATTGATTTTTGAAAAAAATTGTTAAGGAAAAAAATGTGCCTCTTTGTGCGTAGAATTAGATAAAAAATATTTAAACAATAAAAAAAAAATTTTTTTTTTACATTTTTTCCTTCTGTATATATTTTTAAGACGAATAACATATACTTATCAATACATATCGATAAAATCTAACACAACATAAATTATCACTGTTAAAAAGAACAGTTAATAATTACATTTTTTAAATATTTAAATAACATTAATTAATTAATTAATTTCGTGATTTTTAAATTGAATGTTGTTTTTAACAACACTGATTTAATTATTTATAAACAAATAAATTTTATAAAAAAAAGAATAAACAATTTCTATTCGTTTGAATTGACTACGTAGAATCGTTTAAAGTCGATTGAAAAGAATAGCTATTTCTTATTTTTTTCAGTTCGCTTTTACAAGATTTACTTTGTTGATTCAAAAGGATAGGATTCTGTATTTTTTTGGAACGTTAAGCAGCAGAAAAATTTTGCGCATTCAAAAAAATGGAAACTCTTAATTCTTTTTTATCATCTCATTGACACGAACAATAGAGAAGAATTAATTTTTCTGATATTTTGCTGTTCACAGAGAAATTGGGTTTTTTTTGGAAATTCGCCTATTTAGAAAGATTAAAAAATCCTCGTTTAACAGAATATTTCTGGAAATTTAATCTTTTTCTATTCCTCGCTTCTTACGGGGATAATTCGTAATAAATATAAACTTTTCAACACGAATTCAACAAAAGTCAACTGTATAATATAATAAATTAACAACTTAGACTGCTTTAAAGAGCCTTTCTACACGGAAAAAAAAAGTTCACGAATCTCTCGTGAACTAGTATATCACTTTTGGATGGGACATAAAATTTCAAAATTTTCATTCACTTTTGATTAGAAATGGCGAACGTCAACGAAAAACTGAAACAAAGTTAATGAATTTTTGACGAACTGTGTTAAGGATGAACTACTGTTCGTCAAAAGTAGAGGTACAAGTTCACGAAAAAATCGTGAACTTGCGAGTTTCAGTAGTATGCGCAGTTCGTAATGCGCATCAAATATGGCTGATCAAGCATTCATCATTCAGTCGGTGTCATCGGTGTTTACATTCGGGCAAATTCTTTGATGAAAGTTATTATTTAGAAACAGTGTTTTTTTATTATTTAGTGAATATTTTTGTGTGGTAATTTCTTTTGTGATACAAATAATTCATAAATTAAATTAAAGGTTACGACAAGGGTCTTTTTCTACTTTGCACGGTCCTGAGTTTTACAGCAGACAAAGCTAATCGTGTCATTTGCAAAAGTACTGTGTATATAGGTTTAGCCGTGGCGGTTAGTTGTTAGAAATATTATGTTATAGGGTATAGGGTACTAGGTTCGAATCCCGTGAAGCGAATAACGAATTTTAATGGCGATAAAATTGTGTATTCTGTGTAGTTGGGTGCGTATAGGCGTCAAGTTATCAAGTTAAGTGAAATACTATCAAAAAAGTAGTGTCTGGAAATTATTTTTTCTTGTTTTTAGCATTTTTTAAAAGTTCACGAATTTTTCGTTAACTTTGACGAAAATTTCGGAAACCGTACTATGTTTCTAGTGAAGGAGTTGATGAAATTTTGACGAACTGTGTTTGTTGATTTTCAAGAATTTTGTGTCCCATCCAAAAGTGATATACTAGTTCACGAGAGATTCGTGAACTTTTTTTTTCCGTGTATTCGAACCTATTCGACCGTTATATTTTTTAATTTTTTAAATTAAAAACGACTTTAAATAAACACAAATATTTATAAATTATGAAAGAAACAAAACTGTGATTCGCACACGCACTTTTTATAAATAACAAACAATCACGACATTCACCAAACGATAAAAGCACATGCTCAGAGAGAAACTGGACGTCATGTGACTCAAGAGTCAAGACGGACAGCAACAAGTCAGAGATGCCATTGGGCGGAGGAATTTCATCCCCACTCTTGCGCCATTTTACATTGACTTAAATGTAAAATGGTGCAAGAGTGGGGATGAAATTCCTCCGCCCAATGGCATCTCTGCAACAAGTACATTTTCAGCGTTTTCAGCCATATTGGGATCTGAAATACTACGATACGCCATCTAGTGAGAGCCTTGTTGTGGTAGCCATCTTTCGTTTCGTCTCTTTTTGATATACGTTCAAGAAAAAGATAAAATCCAAGATGGTTACCACAAAAAGGCTAAGGGGTGGGTCAGTTTCACGTGATTTCAGATCCCAATTGGGAAAATTGTCTGCGCACATGCGCATCGGTGCGCATCAACTTTAGATAAATAAATGAAAATAACGTTCTACATACAGTAAAGTTTTATTTTTTTAAGTAAAAATTTTTTTGTAGCAATTTCAAAATATTTAGTAATTTATTATTATTTAAATTATAAATTAAAATCTATAATAAATATATATATGAGTAGTTCCATTATATTTCGACTAAAGTCGTTGACGACTAATTTTAAAAAATTATAATATTTTGCAGGAATGATTTTAAAGATATTAGAATCATCGAACAAAAAGAATTAAAAAATTTTTTTTTTAATTTATTGTAAAATAAGCATCTTAAGTATATGAAATCGTAAAAACTATCATATTTTCATCTATTAGAAAATATTAAATTTATTATTAATTATTTATTGTTAAATTTATTAAATTAAATATTTAAAAAATAGGTTATTTGACAGGTAAACTTTAAAATAATTTTAAAAATTCTTTTTGTTCAATGATCCTAATATTATTTATTATTTAGGTATTATACATAGTTCCTGCCTTTCGGCTTTGAACGCACTTCCGGCATTCTCCTTTACCTTACACGTTAGATTAATTATTTGATAATTTCAATTACAATAAATATATATATATATATAAAAAACTTAATTTCAAATAGTACCAAAATATACACGGAGAAACTTTTAATACCACTAATTCTTAAAACTGGTGAGACATTTTAGTATGTTAGGTTAGATTCAAGGGAAAAACGACATAGGTTATAGAAATTGCTATTGAGACTATCAAAAACACTCATTCAGTATATATTTTACAGTTCTTCATAAGGAAACTAACGAAAATTAGTATGTTGTTTTAGAAAGAAAATAATAATTTTTGCAAAGTTGGGAAAGCCATGAATTAAAAAGAAACACAACAAATTAATTGTCTATAGATACTCATAGAGACGATAGTGATACTTGGATCTGATGGTAGATGGCATTAGTGTATGTCACTGTAACTGTAGGTAAATATATTTAACACGACGTAAGAACCTAACCTATATTATTAACGCACACACGCACACGCAAGTAAAGACACGACGATTGGTCACGGAAACCGAAAGATCGCACGATTCGTTAGAAGTACACAGCTGAATCGTCCTTATATATTAAACGAGTGGAAAAATATGTGCCTTCGAGAGAGAGCATTTTTTAAAATAACTTTCTAATCAAATTATGTAAATAAGTAACGTGAAAAAAATTATGTTATATTGAGGAACAGTTCTTGAATTTAATTTGGCATGAGGAGACATTCACGTTTATTAATAAAAGGTTTTTTTCTTTCATACACGTGTGAATTTCAACTTCGAAAACATTAGGGTTAGTTCGCGACGTCAGGTGATGGACTCGGTGATGCTCGGGCGAAATCGGTTAAGTCCGCCCGCAGTCCTTCCAAAATTGGTATGTTACGTTAGAATGTCTCTTATATATTCTATCTATATGTGTAAAAAAGGTTAGAATTACCGTATTATTTCACAAACAAAAACTAGCATTTTATTCTTTTCTAAAGAAAAATAAGACTATTTCTAATGCAGATAGTAATTTTTGTACACCGAAGGTTGCTTAATATATAACGAACTTATCATATTTTCGTATTAATGTTGAAATTATTAGCACAACGCACGAAAAATCCTCACATTCTAACGTACTTTTAGAATAAACATAACCAAATATATTTAATATTATAAGAAAAAGTTTCTCCGTGTAAAACATTATGAACATTTTAAACTTATAAAACTTCAACATTATTTATTGTCTTTAAATTCAGTCTACTTTTCACTTTCTTCCTGGTTTGCACTATTTTCCACTTCCTGCCTTTGCTTTTCAATGTACTTTAATACCTTTAAACCTTGTCCTCCATCATTTAAAATTCGTTGCATTCCTTCCTCGGTCCTTGTTTTTTCGCATTCTTCCATCACATGCACTAAATTTTCTTTCCCTTCTCCACATATTCTGCACAACTTTTCCTTTTCGTCCTGCCAATAATCCTTTGCCTTCAATTCGTTGCCACATCTAAATCTTGCTATTAAACTTCTATCCTTCGTCTTCATTCTTCCTTCCAAGTAGATGATCCTAATATCTTTAAAATCATTCTTGCAAAATTTTATATATTTTTAAAATTAGCCGGCAACGACTTTAGTCGAAATATAATGGAATGACTCATATGGATATTATATAAATTGTATATTAAATTTTAAATTGTAAATTATTAAATAATTTAATTTTAAAAATTTTTACCAAGTTATCATTAAAGTAATTTTCATAAATTCATAAATTTTATTGATTTAATGTACATAATATAAGATTATTTGAGGGGCTTATAGTAAAAGTGGTTTAAAAAACATTGGGAGAAAAAGTGGGATTTAGTGGTCAAAAAACCATCATTGTTTTAAAAACGATGCAAAAACGTTTTTAGAACGTTTCATGTCTGCAA